CCACCCCCTGATATGATCGTATCGGAGTGGTATTGATGCATTGACGGATCAAGCATCGCAGCACAGGAACAATAAATAAACTAAAACAACTAAATTATTAGGGGTTTTCTTCTTCATTTGACTATTAAGACTGAATCACAAAGTACATATTTATAACGATGTAGGCATATGTGTACTACGAGGATGGGGGAACAGGGCAATGTGCTGTGGCCTTCTTGGTCAACCCTGAGAAGCATGGGACTCCTGTTCCAGTCACGTTTCAGAATGGCTCATATGTCCTGCCACCAAAGTCAATCAGCATCCTGCCAGACTGCAAGAACGTTGTCTTCAATACTGCCACGGTAAGGCCTCGATCGTGTCTGTGTATGAATCTTAACCACTTTATTACGATTAAGTACGTACTAATTAAGTGATTAAGTAGCTAGTATTAGCGCTTAATCCAGTCGAAATGTATGTTGTTTAATTTTGATGTTAATTAATGGACGGATAATGGAGTTCAGGTCAGCGCTCAGTCCAACTCGAGAACAATGAGCAGGAGCAAGATCTTCGACAGACCAGAGCTGTGGGAAGAGTACAAGGAAGCTGTTCCTCGCTACGACGATACGACGTCGGTTAGATCCCAGAAGTTGCTTGACCACATTTCCACTACCAAAGATGCTTCTGATTACCTTTGGTACACGTTTAGGTACGTACTCATTACTGTTACTGTTACTTAATTGTACTAATGATATTAGACGACGTAGCGTCGTACACAGTTAAGCTTTAATCCATAATTATCTCGACCTTAATCATGCTTAAGATAAAGGAATTAATTAATGTTGATCATGACGTGTAATTACTACTCGTTGACCACAACTGCAGGTATGATAATCAACGCATTAGTAATGGAGGTTTACTCAACGTGACCTCCTTAGGCCATGCTTTGCATGTGTTCGTCAACGGTCAACGCGTAGGTATGGCAAGAGTTACGATTCTCATGTATGTCGTACGTCGATACAATATTTTGTACCAATACCTGATTGACGATGTTTAAGCGATACGAATGTTTTTAATTGAATTGAATAATTGGGCAGGATCTGCTCATGGGAGTCATGAGAAGCCAGGGTTCAACCTCGTAGCTCAACTTCCTCAGGGTGCCAATAGTGCTGGAACTACCAATGTCACTTTGCTCAGCGTCACAGTTGGATTACAAGTATTATATCAATTCATCATCAAACCAATTCAATTTAATTCAATTACATACCAAACAAATGAAGATATTTAATGAAGAAATGAAAATAATACCTACCCTAAATTGTTTTAGGACTCAGGAGCATTTCTAGAGAAGAAGGCAGCAGGACCAATCAAAGTTGTGATTCGAGATCAAAACGACGTCGTACATGATTTTAGAAAGCATCCTTGGGGATATCAGGTAGGAATGGTGGGGGAGAAATTACAAGTATTTACTGAGCAAGGAGCAAGGCAGGTTCAGTGGAGAAGCTTTTCCAATGGATTCAATCCAATCACTTGGTACAAGGTAGAATAATTCATTTATATATATATATATAAATCACAAATTCAAATTACCATAATTAATTAATGGGTTATTAATTAGTTGGAATGGTTAATTAGCCTGATTTTGTCATATTTTGCAGACTGTTTTTGATGCACCATTGGAAGATGCCCCAATTGCTTTGAACTTGGGTTCCATGGGGAAGGGTGAAGCTTGGATTAATGGCCAAAGTATAGGCAGATTTTGGGCCTCTTATCACACCCCAAAAGGTTCATCACAAACATGGTATGCATTTCCCCCCAAAATCTCATTAGATCATTAACAATTTTGTTAAAAAATTAAAGTTCAATAACGAATTTATCAGCAACCTTTGAAACTCAAATGTGTTTTAGAACATTTGTAGGCTACAATTAATATAGCTACTACAAAATGAATCACAAGTTAGCTTAGGTAGCTTCTTGTGTAAATACTTCATGCCAACCATTCTAGATTTGATGGCAAAAAGGACCCAACATTTGGGTAGTTCCAAACCCAACTTATTATGAATCGAATCAGGTTTGAGTAATTTCAGTTTTGGGCAGACTCATACCCAATTTTTTAGTTTTGGTTTTAAATTTTATACGTATCATTGGATACCCGAAATAAAAATGAATGTTTGGTTCAAATGCAGTATGTATTTGCCTTATTTTATGTTAGGGAACAAACAGAAAGGTGGAAACAAAAACATTAAAAAGTGTAATCGGGTTAAAGCAGTGGCGGATCCAGAAATTTTTTATAGGGGTGTCCTCTCTAAAAAATGAAAAATAAATAATTCATAAATAAAAAAATACATGACTAGTACAAATTTAACAAAAGGCCACGACGTGTTTTCATATTATGAAAAGAATATAGAATATACTCGACGTCGTCACTGCTCAACAAATCTATATATCATACTAGACAATATTTCACGAATTGATCGCATATTCAATTTCTAACCTTGTTCATAATATAGAATATACTCGACGTCGCCACTGCTCAACAAATCTATAAATCATACCAGACAATATTTCACGAATTGATCGCATATTCAATTTCTAACCTTGTTCTTTATGTAACTCAAAGTTGAAAGACTATTTTAACTCTTGCTGTGTAACTATAAAATCAATTCAAATTAAGGATAGCCCGTAATTAGTGTAGTTGTTAGGTTTTGAAAATAGGTGGGGTAAGGAATAATTTTTTTACTATTTCATAGTGTTTAAATAGAACAAAAAATGAGTTGCAACCTAGAGTATATGTTTAATAATAGTAGTGTCCTAGGTTCGAATAACACAAACTACCATTTATATTTTTTTTTAATTTTACACAAACTACTATCGAGAGTAGTGTAATCATTTTGTTCAAATTTAAGGGTGTTCCGGATTACCAATTATAACTTTTTTTGGATACGAAACTATAACCGGGGGTTGGATAATCGTTATTCCAAATTTTAGGGGTGTAACGAGACTGTCGATATTGTATTTTGTGTATACAATCACCTGAACCTAATTAAATGGACTTATTTAGGTCCGACTCAAATTAGATCCCATTTAAACCCAACTCAAGTTCAAATAATTACTAAAAGTTGCATCCGATAAAATACTCATAAAAATCATAACAATTGAATCAAAATTACGACGAATTTCCATCATGCATGCATATATATATCTCACAACTAACTAAACACCTCAATTTCCTCTTCTTTCTTTGTTTTCCTCCACGTCAAGGTATCATGTGCCGAGATCTTGGATCAAACCTAGCGGGAACCTCTTAGTGGTACTTGAGGAAGAAGGCGGGAACCCGCTGAACGTTTCATTGGACACAGCAACGTCGACCGCTTTCTCCCAACTCTGCACCCACGTGGCCGCCGGCGTCGACTCTCCTGATCGCGTGCCTTCTGAAAAAAGTCGACGTACTAATACGACCGGTCGTTTGATGAGGCTCAAGTGCCCTAAGAAGACCAGAATCTCCAAGATCGCGTTTGCGAGTTATGGGACTCCGATGGGGAGTTGTAGCGGCGAGAAGGTGTCGTCGGAGTACTTGGAAGGAGCTTGTCACTCGAAGAACTCGATGGCTACGCTTGAAAAGGTACGTAAGATGGTATATGATACATAATTGAACCTCTCTCAATAACGCGAGCTATTGGAAACTAATTGGTTCTCGAACCGTTTAAACACGTCCATATTCACTAGCTAGCTTTGTTGGCTGGCTCTCTTTAATTGCATGGAAGCATTGTCTTTCATGGTTGGCATAGGTTGTACACTCAGTGGCATAGCTAGACATCGAGTCCACTGGGGTCCTTAAAATTTACTAACACTAATGCTTGTATACCTAATGAATTTTGAGTTAACCGGGATCCTTGATTAGCTAACATCGTTGAAAGTATGGGATCCTAAACTTAAATTATCGTACTAAAACCTATGTATTTAAAGGGTTTTGTTGCCCAATTGTTTACCTAGGACCCCTCTCCTCCTTACCTCCCTCCGCTACTGTGTACGCTAAATTGAAGAATTTGTGATCAATGCATTTGAAAAGGGATATTTTACGAAGAAGGTATTTAGTTGGGTATTTCGATTCATAATTCGCCGAATTAGTGATAGATTCTGAACAATTAATAACCGATTTCATCCAAATTCTCTGTGCTCTTTTCATCTAGAGACTTATCTGTCAAGCCTTGATATATTAGAACCCATTACTTATTCGCGGTAACCCTCGAATGTACTCATCGACTATAAAAGTGGCCGGAGACACGTTACCTATATTATGAGTGTAACATATATATGAAGTAATTTTACTTGCCAATGGATTTTGTATTAAAAATGATCATGTATATGCTTTCATTAATTTTAAGGATGTTGCTTCAATTTGAAGGGATGATTTAAATGTGTTTTGTAGGAGTGCTTGGGGAAGGAGAGATGTTGGACTTTGGTTTCGAATGAGCAGTTCAATGATGATCCTTGCCCACATACCCCAAAGTCCTTGCTGGTTGTTGCAGAATGCACATAATTGAGATTAATTAGTCAGCCAACAACAGGAGCAGCATCATTAATCAAGCTAAGCAGATGATTAATTCAAGTAACTAATTGCTTTGTTGATTAGATGTAGATTAATGGTGTTAAATATATTGATTGATTAACAAGGGGCAACTAGCAAAGAGATTAATATTTGATCGGAAGGAGGAAAAAAAAAAGATTAATGTTAGTGATTGTTGCTGGAAATTTGTAAACCTCTTGTAATCAATTGTAATACTAGCTATTAATTATCCCCCAAAATAATCAGGCATGTTATCAAAGTAATAGCTTAGTTTGGCCTTGCGGTAGTTTTTGCATAAGCAGCTTCTGGCTGGAGCTTTTATATAAGTACTTTTCGAAAAAAGCAGTTGAGTGTTTGGCTGCAAAACTATTAGAAGTGCTTTTTAATATGAAAGATTGTGTAAAATGACTATAAAAGACTTATAATATAAAATATGAATAAAAATTCTAAACGATAAAAAGTAAACAAAATGGATCTTGTTAGATTTCTTTTATATTAAATAATATGATTTTATAATTTATTTTATTTTTAAAATGATATAAATGAAGGAAAATTATATTTTCTGAAATAAAATTAAAATATGGTAAGGATAATCTTGTATCTCCAAAAGCCGCTACTACTGGTTAATGTGACTTGAATCGGACTATCAGCTACTACGACTGGTAGTCGGGGTCTCGTTGTTATTTGGGAATGGAACATGAGACGGACAGGAATGGAAGAAGAAGAGCAAAGGTAAAATATATACCGTGGATGATGGTGACAAGTTGGTGGAGGGGGTGAATTGTTGGGCATAGGATTCCTTTACTGTGATATGATGATTTTGCTGGTTTCATATCTGAAAGCTACAACGCCTTCTGCTCTGCTGCAGTCTCTCTGCAACAGCAGCATTTCTGCATCCTCGTCCATTTCCTACCCAACGGTCTCTGTCCAGTCGCTGGGTTTCTCCCTTCAGATTTATTTCCCCCCTCTTCTCAAACAATGCATGAAAAATGTTAAAACCTATATGATTAATAAAATAAAATCATATCATAATTCGAGCCGTTGAACGAGGTGAGTTGTGGGCTCGTGGGCCGCGTGACAATAAGAAATGCTGGGCCCGCAGTAACCCAACAGTCTTTTTCCAAAATTAAAACGTTTAAAAAAAACAATCTCTCTGCGGCTGCAGTTTTCACTTTCTTCTACTTTTTCTACCGACCGAACGCCAGAGGAAAAGAAGAAGAACAGAGCATCGCTTTACGACAAAAAGGAAAGGACTGCAAAATGTATTAAACAAAGAAAAACCAACACTTTACCGTTCACTCTCAGCTCATTCTCTCATCTCCACCGAATAACAAAGAACCTCAAACAAATGGCTGACGAACCTCCGCCCTCCGCCGCTCCTCCCCCGCCACCGCCTCAATCCGCCGCAGAAGAGCTGCCGGTAGCACCGCCACCACCACCGGCTGCTGAGGTCTCCGCCGAGGATTCATCCGCCGCAGCGGAGGCATCACCACCTGCTTCTGGGAAGGAGAAATCGCTGGCGTCTATGATGGAAAAAGACGAGGCTGCTGGCGAGAAGAAAGCAGAAGAAGCGGCGCCGGTGAAAGCCCAAGTGGTAGCGAAATCGGTGGTGATCAAAGAGGAGTTCACCGGCGAGGCAGGGGCGGAGAAGAAGGAGAAGTTGAAGGTTCCGGAGTCTCTGGTCTCGTTCAAGGAAGAGAGCAATCGAGTCTCTGATCTGTCTGATTCGGAGAGGAAGGCTCTCGATGAGTTCAAGCTGCTTGTCCAGGAAGCTCTCGACTCTCGCTCCTTCACCTCTCCTCCGCCTCCACCGCCGCCAAAGGAGGAGATTCAGACTTCCTCCTCCGCCGCTACCACCGCCGCCGCAGCAGCAGCTACGGAAGCTCAGAAAACTGAAGATCAAAGCTCCGATGTCAGCACAGAGATTACTCCTCCGGTGGCTGAAAAGCTAGAAGAAGAATCTACTGAGCCTGCCGCCGAGCCCGCCGCTCCGGTGGAAGCTGCTGCTGCTGCTTCTTCTTCGTCGTCGTCAGAGGTGTCAATTTGGGGGATTCCGCTGCTCGAAGACGACAGAAGCGACGTCGTTCTGCTGAAGTTCCTGAGAGCTAGGGATTTCAAAGTGAAGGAAGCGTACGCGATGCTGAAGAACACGATCCAGTGGAGGAAGGAATTCAAAATCGACGAGCTCGTGGAGGAAGATCTCGGCGACGATCTGGAGAAAGTCGTGTTTATGCACGGCCACGACCGAGACTGCCACCCGGTGTGCTACAACGTGTTCGGCGAGTTCCAGAACAAGGAGCTGTATCAGAAGACGTTCTCCGACGAGGAGAAGCGGACCAAGTTCTTGCGGTGGCGGATTCAGTTCTTGGAGAGGAGCATTAGGAACCTGGATTTCAGGCCCGGCGGCGTCGCCACGATCTTTCAGGTGAATGATCTGAAGAATTCGCCTGGACCGGCGAAGAGGGAGCTCCGATTGGCGACCAGGCAGGCCGTGCAGCTGTTGCAGGACAATTACCCGGAATTTGTAGCCAAACAGGTAATTTATCTGCTAGCTCGATCATTTCTCGATTATGATTCACTGAATTTGAACTGATGAATGAGGTAATGGATTGGATGCACAAATTGATATTTGACCCATTAGATTGAATGCCTGTATGATGGAAAATCACTAAGCTGCTCTATTCTTGATTGGGGGTTTGCTGTTGGGTTGTAGGTGTTCATCAATGTACCTTGGTGCTATCTTGCATTCTATACCATGAATGCTTGTATGATGCAAAATCTCTAAGCTGCTGTGTTCTTGATTTGGGGGTTTTGTTGTTTGTTTCTAGGTGTTCATCAATGTACCTTGGTGGTATCTTGCATTCTATACAATGATGAGTCCCTTCATGACCCAGAGGACTAAGAGCAAGTTCGTGTTCGCCAGCACGGCGAAATCTCCCGAAACACTTTTCAAGTTAGTTGGTTTTGCAGTTTCTTATCAAGCTTCTTCCTTTATCTACTTCTTCTGTGGTGTTGTTTCTTCGTGATCCATGGTCATGTTGGTTTGAAGTCTGATTGTGTGATGTGATGCTCGAACCAGATACATATCTCCTGAGCAAGTCCCAATCCAGTATGGTGGATTGAGCGTGGATGACTGCGATTGCGATCCAGAATTCACTTTTGCTGATCCTGTTACCGACATGATCGTGAAGCCGGGGACCAAGCAGACGGTGGAGATCCTAATTTATGAGGTAATGACCAGCGCTGTTCTGTAGCCTTGGTTGAGTACTTGTACTTTGACAAAAGCTTCAAATTAACTGATGGGGTTGGTTGGTTGTCTGTAGAAATGCATGTTCATCTGGGAGATACGAGTGGTCGGGTGGGAAGTGAGCTACAGCGCCGAATTCGTCCCCGATATGAAAGATGCATACACGATCATAATCCAGAAGCCGACGAAGATGACACCAACTAGCGAGCCGGTGCTGTCGAACCAGTTCAAAGTGAGCGAACTGGGGAAGATACTGCTGACGATCGACAACCCAACTGCGAAGAAGAAGAGGCTTCTGTACAGGTTCAAGATCATTCCCTTGTCTGACTAGTGTTCAGAGAATCAGTGACTGGTGTTGTATTTACTTAATTTTACATGGATGTTCCAAAAATTTCATGGTGTTAAAGGTGAGTGAGAGATGGATGGACGAACTCTTGAGGGCTCCTTTCTGGGTTTTGTTTTTGGCCTATGTGGTTGTTGTTGCTTCTGTTTTATTGGCATGTTGTAAATTGGGGGTATGAGAAGTGGATTTTCTGACACTTTATTTCTTTAGAACATTCTTCATTCTTGTGCCGGTTGCATCCACATGTTTTCTAGTGCTGCACATTTCATTCTCACATCGATGAAGCCTCGACTTTGCATAACCCACTTGCTTTCGCCTTTCGCCATATAGTAAGTACCACCATGGACAAATGACATTTTCGTTCACGAGCCTAGTCTTCGTGCTAGAAAGGATGTGGAGATTTTATGAAAGTCGCCTCTTCCCGAGTGAGTCACTCGCAATTCAGAGGACTCAGTTCATATAGGATCAACCAGACAACAAGGGGCCTGATACAAAGATCATTCAAGATGTTTATAGCGTTTGCAATGAGTATATGTTCTATTATCTGACGAAGTTCAGAAGTATTATAGTTTTTATAGTCCAGCTTGATTCTCAATGTACAGTTTTGAGTTGCTTTAAAGCATAATTATGAGTGATCACCATTATGCAACTATGATACATCGATTCGAGCTATTAGACAGTGATTAAGAAGTCTTAGTCTCCCATATTTAATAGAGATGGTAACTATTACATGCATCATTAGCGAGCAAGGACAATCTCTACTTCCTGATTTCATTTCGCTCAAGTCATCGATCTTATATTATGGCAATAAACTTTGTATGATTCATAGGGTTTTTCGAATCATGGTTGATTATGAATGAAAAAATAGGGTGCACCATGCATCAATTTATAAAGAAAAATTACCATAATCCTCCAAATTGATTCACCCTTTTTCCTGTAACTACTTTGGAGAGTCTATTTTTTTTCCTTAATTATTTTTGCATAATTATCCTTCCCAATTAACTATCATTTTTGCGTACTTACCCCTTAATTTTCCAATATAGCAAAAATAGGATAAACTTTCTTCTCAATAATGAATACCGATTTTGCTTACAGAAAGGAAGAATGAGAATCGTTGGCCAAAACATCTTAAATTTCAATCTTGAAGTTCTAACTGTCATACTAGTACAAATAATAACGAAACTAAGCTAGCGATTGTCTCAAAACTAAATAAGGCAAACTATACTAGCTAGGGTTGGTAGTTTCCTTACCAAATTTATTGAAAAAAAACAATTATTTCTACCTCAAAATAACAAGAAGAAAAAAAGCATCTGGACGATTTGACATCAACAGCGAAACTATTTCAGGTTGGGATTAGCAAGGCCAGTCATACTTGCAACACAGTTTACCGACGAAAGGATTGCAACACCAACTGCACCATGGATACCTACTCCCTTCTACTTGGTAATCCGCCGCCACAGGTGGCTTTCGCGTCATCATCGTCGCTGGCGTCGTCCACTCGACAAACACATCTCTCGTCGCACTACAAGGACGTTGTTGTATCGATACAGAAAGAAGCAGCATCCCTAAGAACACGATTGGAATAAACTGCCTCCTATTTTTCCACTCGAAAGCCTCCATGATTTCTGTTCTATATAATAATGCTCTCTATATAGTGCTCTGTATACTGTAATAATTTCAATTTGCCTCTCTGAATGCGGTGAAAATTTTACTTTCTTATATAGTGCTCTGTAAAATTGTATTTTGTAATAACAAACTCCGATTTTTCCTTTAACCAATTACCACTATGTATTACTTTCTGTTGTAACAAAACCCACTTTCTACCCCTCGTTTTCAGCCTGTAAATCGAACTTCCTGATTCAACTGGGTTACGGGTCGGGCAGGTTTGGACCGGTGGACATTTTAATCAACTCGACTTGCGGGTTGGGTTGATGGGATTGGTCACTCGGGTTCGGCTAAGATCAGAGCCGAAGACCCATGCATGGAATCCTACCGAAGTAACTTCAAGCCACAATGCATAAATACCACAAATGAAACAGATCAGAGCCGTACGGCACCGCAGGAGCAGAACAACGGAGGATACAGTCATATCAAAGATCCCATCTTCGTATAATAATATTACTCAATCGATCAGTACAGTATACATATCCATGTGTAAAATCACTACTGCATCAACACCATCACCATTAAACACCATCACGATTAAGAGAGAAAAGAAAAGGGTCAATGTCCACAATGATCAGCTGGAGGAAGCAGCCTGTGATCACCATAGTGATCATTGCACTTGTTATCATGGCAGGACTGCAAATCAGTGACGCGAGGATCGTTAACATTGTCAACAGGGTAAGCAGCAAGAAGATACTGATAGTGCACTGCCAATCCAAAGACTGACGACCTTAGCGCCCGCGCCATGAACTACAGCTGGAGCTTCGGGGACAACTTCTGGAGGGTCAGAATGGCGCTTTTTTGGTGCCGCCTCGCGTTGGAAGACAAGCGCCTTTCGTTTCGATGCGTACACTGAGCAACGCGACGGTGGTGGCTATGCAGTCACGGGGTACTATGTCAATGAAACTGGGGTTTATGGCCCTGATGATTGCAACAAGTGGAGGAGGTCGGAGTCTGAGCTGCTTCACGAATGGAAGCAGATTCAGCTCCGTTAGAATCCGTGGATCGATCAGTGAAATACAAAACGTCCATCTCTCAATAATAAATTAGTATAGAACCAGAAAACTAATCCGCACTGTAACATCAAAAAAGTTTAGGACGATCTCTTGACAGAGACGGCTGCCCTAGCACTCATGGAAGTATGATAATTACTGCTCCTCTGTTTCCTATACGACGAGTATACATCATCATACTGGCTCACCTCATTAGGGTCAGCGGTTGCCCCCAATCCAAGTCTCCCAGAACCCAATGCTCCGGGTTTTCGCTCCACACTTCCGTCGGGATAAGTACCGGTCTCGGGGTCCACAACCTGCAGGTTTTGAGGTGGAGGGATGCAAGCCCCGCCCTTACGTATAGGGGACCGGTCCCTCTCATAGTCGCTGTAATCGTCTTCGTCAGATGACTTCATCGGCTCTTCTGAAGGGTTGAGTTCTCCGATGTCCTTGAAGTATTCTGACACCCTCTCGAGGACTTCGGATGGAGATACTGCGGATGGCGGGATCATGGTAGGGATGTCGAGAGGGCTTAGAGGAGAGTATGGGACGCCACTTCCGATCTGCATTTTGCGGACCATACCGGGGATGAGTCCCGGTGGGAACAAAGGGTATGGTGGTAGCTTTTCGGCGAGGGTTTGGGGAAGAGTTTGTAGCAGAGGTGATTGACTAGCGGAGCCCGAGTTTGCAAGAAATTGTTGGGCAGCAAGCGGTGGCATGGCCAAGGGGACTTGTTTATCAGCATGCTCCCGCTCATGTTGCTTATCTAGCTGCCAATGTGAAGAATGGCCATGGTGCTTTGTTGGTTGATGTGGGAATCCTGCAACAGAATAAGAAAGCAGAACTGAGATTGGATCTCGAGCTTGACCGTATTGCAGAAACTATCTAAAGGAACAGAATATTATACCAGCAGCAGCCATTGAATCTGATGAGTCTTTTGGAGCTCCTGAATCCGAGCTTTCTGGTGCCCCGCTGACCATTTCTCCTTCCAGAGAACGAATGGTATCATGATCATAAACCTCCTTGGAGCCCCAGAACAGCAGGATTTTCTGTAACCGTGACTGATTCTCTTCCTTATTCACAGGGTTTTGGTAAATTCTTGCAAGCATTGAACCCAAGACTGGCTTGAAAGCAACGGCCTCATTGTCAAGCTCAAGAGGATTAGCCCTTCTCTGCAAAATGTAGGGTACAGATCACCAAAAGATCAAAGAAGAATGATAAAAATCAGAATATAAACACATACAAGATATGGGCTGTTCTAATGTAGAATTCTCGCCCTGCTCAGAGTACGGAAACCTAGCCACTTTAAACAATTGAGAAAGAATTCTGAAGTTCCATGATTCCGAATTCAGAAGGTGAAATATCAAAGGGAGCCTAACTTCAGCTCAGTTATTCCATAAAAAAAATCAAGGAACTATAGCCATAGCCGCAAGACATGTACCTGTCGAAAAGTATATCATTAGCAAGGTATACAACATGCAGTTGCCTCTCCGAATCATCCACAGAGAAAACCCTGTCTCTCATACCCTCAGCCAAACCAGGTGCAAAAGGAGATCTCTGCATGAACCAAATCTTTGCCCCTTTAATCGAATCCTTTGTACCATTCAAACTATTCATCACATTAGTCAACTCCACCGCAACATCCGATGGAAGTGGACCAGAAAGACCTCTAAATGACTTGGAAGCCGGATCAAAATCGCCTACTCGCCCGTGTGCCCCAAATGGCGGCTGAGGCGACAGGTGCTGATGCTGATGTGGATCGTGGAACAGTGGGAAACCCGGTTGTTGCATTAGCTGAGGTGGAGGCTGCATCAATGGCACAGAAGATGAAGGCGGGAAAGAAGCATTGTAATGGCCAGGAGGTGGAGGTCGAGTAGACACCCAAAGCTTATACCGATAGTAATTGTGCCCCTCGCCACCAAATAGAAAGCTATAAGCAGGATTATCCTGCTGCTTGTGTCGAATCATCGCCTCGAATTCTGGCCCGTTCTTGGCCGAGTACTCGACTAGCTTGTCAATCCGTTTATGAAGCTCGGGATCAGATGGAGGAGGCGTTGGCAGTGATGGTGGAGCTGAATCGTAAGGACCACCTCCGTGGAAGGGAGATTGAAGCATTGGCTGAGGTAAGTAAGAGGAAAAACCAGGTAGAAGCTGCTGCTGGCGGAGAAGGTGAGGGTGTGGTGGAGCGTGAGGGTGGAGTTGAGGTTGTTGCTGCTGCTGTAAGTGGTGAGGGCAAGGGAATTGTTGTTGCATTGAAGGATGAGGCGGCGGGATGAATGCCGGCGGTGGAGGAAACTGCTGGCCTTGATGCTGCGGGTGAAACCCAAATGGCTGATGTTTTTGTTGTTGCTGCTGTTGAGCATACGCCATTGCTGCAGCGGCGTAATCGTGCGCCGGCGATCGGTCCATCAACCTAAACCAATCCACAATTTCAATAGACAATATATAACTGAGAAAAGACTTCACCCCGAATAAAAGTCGTTACTTTCCAAGATTCTTAGAGCTTTAAAGGAAAACGATACACGAAAACTCATCAATCTGTATAAACTATGGCGGCAATTGTTCTTCTTGGCAGTTCACAGTGGAGAGAAATCTGAAGGGAAAAGGAAAGGTAGAGGGCGGGAAGGAAGCGAACCTGGACCAGATTAAATGGTGAGTAGCTTTCTACGCTGATTTCATCAGAATGGCGGAGGCGGCGGGGAGAATGGGAGAGCGACGCAGGCACGACTGCCGCCGGTGGCTTTGGATTTGGGAAATTCGAAGAGCTCCGACGAAGGTTGTGGAAGAAAGTCGACGGGGATTTTGCCGGTTAGGGGTTTAAGAATTTCTGAATCGCTGAAGCTTTGATGATTCTGCTTCGTTTAAACGACGCCGGTTTCGCGCTGAATATTTTAATAATGGGCTTGGATCTACAAGGGTAAATGGGCCGACGTGAAATTGAAGCTGAATTTGTTTCTGCCCCGCCGTCGTTAGAGTAGAGAGCTCAGCTGCTCGATAAACCCTTCTCCAGTCTCGCGGCTGAGCGAATCTGAATTTTGGAGCGAAAACAGCGACGGGGAAATGGAGGACATTGAAGATTTATTGATCGGAAGCGGGGGTGGAGCTCCACCTGGATTCCGATTGCCACTCAACACAGTCGCAGTGAAGCCGAAGAAGAATGTTAAGAATGGAGCTAAGCTGAACGGCAGCATGCTCTCTGAATCGCCTCTCTTCTCCACAGTTCCTGGAACTCAGGTTTCGTCTTCTCTTCTTTCTTCTGCTTTCATCTAATCTATGTATGGCGTATTGGTTCCTTATTTCTGAGCTTGTTCCTCTGGTTCAGACGATATACATCAAGACTTTCGGATGCTCACACAATCAGGCAAGTTATTCTGCTCTCTTTTCGTTAGAATTCATCAATCAGTTTTAACTTCATATGATCGGATTTCTATGCCTGGAGCTGAAATGTTTCAGTTACACTTAGGTTGTTGTATGTTAGCTCTATAGAACCTTTCCCTTCTGAATCCTCATTCCAGACTGTAGAGTTCGGATAGAAGAGGTAGCAACCAGGAATTCCTGTAGGAAATACAGAATCTCGTCAGCTGGCTTGGCTGATAATATCTACGTCGATGGGATGATTTATCTAGATGAGAAACGTGACATGAAATCATCGTGTTTTATTGAGAGTGTAAACTAGGCAAAATAGGAGATGAAGAGAGAAGAGAATGAGTGAAACCCAAAAGGTTGTTGGACTTGTTTCCTCCCGTTTGTGAGCTTAGACGCTGGAGTAAGAAAATGAGATGGGTGGAGATACCTTGCACCAGTGAAACGTTAGTCACTGTGGGCATATGTGTTGCCTTCCCAAAAGTACTTGTATAGTTAGGTCATGAAGAGCTCACCCTAGTGTTTTAACCGGGTTGCAGCTTAAGCAGACTACACTACTTTTGAGGATTTAGGTTCTGTGATGAGGAAGCTCGAAATTGAGACAAAATAAGAAGTGGAGACGTGACATTTGAAACTGGAAAGTGAATCTACTCGGCAGTAGTTATGAAACTGGAAGCAAAGTTATGTGAAGCGAATTGCTGTTGATATTTGTTATATAAGAACTTTTTTTCTTGGACCAGACTAAATGAAAAGCTTCTAATTGTTGCAGAGTGACAGTGAATATATGGCTGGTCAGCTTTCATCTTTCGGCTATGGTCTAAGTGATGATCCTGAGAATGCAGATCTATGGCTGATCAACACGTTTGTACCATTGCCTTTATCATTCGCTTCGTTGCATTTTTCGGTTGAAGACTATTTTATAGAACTACTTTTGAAGAATGTGTTACTGTCTTCCTTAGTGTAGTGTCGTTTTGTTTGCACCTGCTGCATGAAGCCAAGCTAATCTGTTGCTTGTTAGGATTAAAAGAATTTGTCAACAAATATGTCTTGAAGTTCTTTCTTCGAGATATATTTCCTATAGATCCATTATAGCTAGGCAGTCATATATATTTGTCCTACTGCTATGTGAGTCTATATGCCGCGACATAATGCTCATAAAAGGATAATTGATATCATGCTTTCTAGTCTCAACCCTTGTCCCGTGGCATTTCCATGCACCTACCTTCCTTGTGTGGTAGAATCTGAAGTGAGAAACAATAATAGATTATTAATGAGTGAGAGGAAGTTGGATGATCGACCATTCTATTTGGGTTGGCTTGAAAATATTGCCATTCAGGAGAGTGAAAGTTCTGAAAGTTTGAATAGGGTTTTACTGTGATGAAAGACCCGTTCGTCTTACCAAAAAAAAAAAAAAAATCCCGTTCCGGATGAAAAATGTTAATCTCTTGCATAAGGTTCTTTTTGGTGGGTAGTTAGGTACCATTGAAGAGCTTCATGTGACTCATATGTCTGATGATTGTTCTTTATGCAGATGCACAGTAAAAAACCCAAGTCAATCTGCCATGGACACCCTTATCACAAAGGGTAAAAGTGCACAAAAACCTCTAGTTGTAGCTGGCTGTGTACCTCAGGGAAGTCGGAATCTGAAAGAGCTAGATGGAGTCAGTATAGTTGGAGTCCAGCAGATAGATCGTGTGGTTGAAGTTGTCGAGGAGACCCTAAAGGGGCATGAGGTTCGGCTTTTAACTCGGAAGACATTGCCAGCACTTGACCTCCCAAAGGTAGAAATTTCATATTGGGCTAACAATTATACTTGATTTATTGCTTCTCTTTCTTGTTTTTCCCTTACTTCTGTAACTTTTTTACTCACCTGAGCAAGAGTATTGTCTTGTGTCATTCACAACCTGTTCTGATTTCTCTCTTTTCTTGAATGTTTTGACCTTGAACTGCCTGACAGGTCAGGAAAAACAAGTTTGTCGAGATTCTTCCAATTAATGTTGGCTGTTTGGGAGCGTGCACTTATTGCAAGACGAAGCATGCCCGTGGTCATTTGGGTAGCTATACCATTGATAGTTTGGTGAGTCCACAAAATGGAATAGGTAGCTTGTTTTTCTTTTGTGTATGATTTTTCTCATACAGAAATTCAACTCTGCAGGTAGGACGTGTTAAAACAGTTATAGCCGATGGAGTTAAGGAAATCTGGTTGAGCAGTGAAGACACTGGAGCATATGGTACTTTTTTGCATTTCCTCCATCATCTTTGTTGTTCGCATGGGGATTGTATTTCTCCTGGATGACTGCCTTCTAATGAAATGGTACTTGATGAAATCTTGTAGGTCGTGACATTGGGGTTAATCTTCCTACTTTGTTGAATGGCATTGTTGCTGAACTTCCTCCTGATGCAAGCACTATGCTGCGAATTGGGATGACAAATCCTCCCTTTATTCTTGAACACTTAGAAGAGATAGCAGAAGTTTTACGTCATCCATGTGTTTACTCATTTCTTCATGTGCCAGTACAGTCTGGAAGTGATGCTGTGCTGAGTGTAAGTCATCCTTCATTCACAGTGATGAATGATATTATTTCTATGCTTTTTGAGTTTTTTCTTAAGACAGCTTCATGGCAGATATCTTATTATTTGGTTTGTTTCTTCTCAGGCAATGAACCGAGAGTACACTGTTAGTGAGTTCAGGACAGTGGTAGATACATTGACTGAGCTAGTTCCTGAGATGCATATTGCTACTGATATCATATGTGGATTTCCTGGTCGGTTTGTCTATTTTATTTTCCTTTAATGATGTATTGAGCTTTACCACCCTTCTAATTGCTTGCTATGTTGCGCCTTCTTATGCTTTACCAGTTATGTTGAGTATATGTTCGTTAATATTGCTCTTGTGAATGGAAAAAAATTGCTAGCACTAGCTATGTCGGGCCACCTTCTGCTGATTTGCGGATTAGTTAGCAAAAATGAAGCACTAGCAAGAAAGAAAAGGAACTTTTATTTTGTAAGGTGTTGGAAGAGCTTGTCTAGAACTGGTGATATTGCTTAGGAAAAGCTCAATTTTGGACTTGGGAGAAGTGAACTGTGGATATTTTACTAATTTTTTTGGACAATTCAATTGTTCTTGCAATTGAGATATATACTTCTGGATATTTCAGGTGAAACAGATGAAGATTTTGCTCAAACCGTAAGCCTCATTGAGGATTACAAGTTACCTCAAGTTCACATTTCGCAATTCTATCCTCGACCAGGTGCAATAGAGTTTATTTGAAAGTGAAATGTTCATTTTCAAGTTTGAAAAAATTAGATCTCCTTGCATTTAGATACCTTTCTTATTTTGAAGTTGAGCGTAGTATTTGATTGCATCAACATGGGAATTCTTTTGTATCTTAGGTGCAGAAGTCTTAACATCGGGTGTATTAAGAAGTTCGTAGACTAATAAGTCTTGTAGATAATTGAAGATGTGTTGTTCATATATATAATCAGATATATTTCAAGAATAAAGACCTTGAGGAAACATAAGTTAGGAACTGTTTACAGCTGTTGAACTTACAAGTATTAAGATTTTCCTTTTGTGAAATAGGAACACCTGCTGCCAGAATGAAGAAGGTTCCTAGTAACATAGTGAAGAAGAGGAGCCGTGAATTGACTGCTGTTTTCGAAGCTTTCACTCCTTACAATGGAATGGAGGGCAGAATTGAAAGAGTCTGGATAACAGAAATCGCAACTGATAGAGTTCACTTGGTACGCCTACTAGCAATTCTTACTTCGGAATTTTAGATCCTACCACCTTAACACTGTAGCATTATTCTCATTGTGTCCATCCTAACTCTTTCCTTCTTCTGCTAGGTTGGCCACACGAAATCATATGTCCAAGTGCTCATAGTTGCTCCAGAAACCATGCTTGGATCCTCGGCAATGGTTAAGATAACATCAGTTGGTAGATGGTCAGTTTTCGGGGAAGTAATCGAGATACTCACTCAAGCAGACAAGAGAACTTCCACCAAGGAAAGGTTGAGTAGCGAAGTCAAGTGTGCCCCCTGTGTTGATCAAGACGAAAGCTGTGCATGTTCTGGAGACAATGCAGCTGCACCTTGTGCTTGTGGCCTTGAGGGTTGTGGAGAACAACAGAATGGCGCTGGAACTGACACTGCTTCGCATAATCAACAGTTGCTAGAAGATCAAAACAATACCAGTCTGATAGGAATTTTTTTGTCGAGAAGGCGAAAAACTTCGACCAGAAAGTTGGATGATAGTAGAACTGCTTCAGGTGACAGCCCAAAGCAAGAAACTAGCAGAGAAGAAGCCCCAAATGAATGGGGCTTTGTAGATAGAGTTTTCCTAGGAGGATTGATTCTCAGCTTATTCACATTTTTAGCCCTCCTCGTACATCTCGGATTTAGGATTAAATTGTCCAAGTAGAGAGTGCATTTTTCCTTTGCGTCACTTGTATGTTACGACACTTATTTGTCATGGAGAAATTTTGGTACCTTTAACTCAGCATTTCACTGTGCTTCTTCTTGCAATATTTCTGCTTGTTAAGTTTTTGTTTTATTGAATTCCAATCTGAAAGTTGCCTGCTTACAGTGTAGTACATACAATATATGCTCGTCATCAGAAATACAGAATGTGGAATCGAAGCTCCAGTAATTGAAGAAGAATAGTGGAAGAAAGAAACTCCAGCAGAGAGTATACAAATCTACAACATACAACCATGGAGGCAAAGAAAAGGTACATTCTTCCTCTTTTACCTCTCCTTTCATTATTCACCTCTTTTTACCCGGCAAGAATATATCAAAACTCATCTCATCACAGCAACAAATCTGATTTCGCAGGCAGCCTCTTGAAGAAGTTGACAGGAACAGAAGGCATTCGACTCCGAAACCTGGGATGCCTGAGCATGTACAACCCAAGCAGCATGGCCACAATTTGAAATGGCGTAACATAGATGACCACAGCCAAGATCAACGAGAAGATGATGAAAATGGCAGTAGCCCTCGGATCACGCCAGCTAAGTAATGCTAGGGCTCTCTCCCCTTGACTAGCCAAATCGCCTATCACAGTCTGCACTCTCCCTGCAACGCTTCTCAGTCTGTCATACCTCATCCTCACTATATCGGAAGGTCGAGAAGTTGGGAATGAATCGAACTCCTCATCCAGCTCATCAGGATGAACATGCTCTGCTTGTGAGAGCCTTATATCCATGTGGGGTGGGTGCCTCGGCCTGAACCGGTAGTTCCACAACCCGATTACAAACAGGTAGAGAAAGACTGTAGGGAGAACTAGCTCTGGGTAGCAAACCAGAATCAAGAACAGGATGTGGACAAGACACGTTGTGATCGGGTTCCTCCAGAAGCAGATATCGTTAAACCACTTGAAGACTGCTGTCACACCCGAGAGCACCGACATTATGCGGTGGAAGTTTGCTTTGCTTCTCCTCAAGCTCCACATATGGTAGTCGACGTCGAGCATGTACTCAACCACTTCCCGACGAAGAGGTGGCTCGGATCTGATGAGCCGACCTGCAACAATCTGCATTGCTTGATGGCGGAGCCAGTCAATGTGGCGGACAGGGATTGGCTGGGCATAATGCATCTTGGGGAGTAATGGCTTGCCGTATTGGACCACCATGTTGACCCAAGCCGTACAGGTAAACCTCAATGCCAGCTGTATCTCTCCGTGTTTTTTCAATCCGTTTGGTTGCAGAACTAGCAACGGATAGTAATGAGTGTAGATTTTATCAGTCTCTAATGTGGATAGCCGGATTCTCACTTTGCCGATTCTCTGATCTCGGGTTTCACTATGTCCGTTGATGTGCCAGTTGTCAAAGACTCCAATGGTGATCACAGTACAAGGATCGTAGACTTCCCAGCTGAACTGCTCGTTCCATTTCGGGTGCAGAGTCTCGAGAAGCGTTCTGGTTCGAACCCATTTGTTGCCATACTTTGCCACACAGTAAGAATCAGTGGTTCTGCCTTCTCTCCCTTTCATTGGAAGAAGATTCCTAGCACTGAGAATCCCGAGCTCAAGCATCCCGATGCTCGACTTCCTCAAATGCTTCGATGAAGGCTGAAGATTGCTGCTGAAATGGGTGGATTCATCAAGAACATGGTATCCAGCTTCCAAGCACAAACCTAGAAGAATCTTGCTGCTGAACTTCTCCTTCCTTTCCTTCCCTTCATCATCAGATGAATGTTTCATCAAACTGAACCATCGAGGCTCGGGCATTTTAGTTGTCTCAAGTCTCTGAGGTACATTTCTTAGTGGTACAATCGCCCTCCCGAGAATCTCATCTCTGCCAGGTCCAACTCTATCCTCAACTGATACTATAATGAAATCCTCGAAAGGTTCAGATGCTACATACATAAGTTCTTCATTCCAAATGGGATTCACGGACCTCATTTGAGAAGGCCTCGTGGCTCGGACTTGATTGCTAAGCACAACCTTCACACAAGCATCGGGCACTCTACCTTTATCGTGAGGTACGAGATCCTGAGCTTCAATCACTTGTACTCTAAGGTAATAAAGCTTTGGCGAGAAGTAAACTTTTCCCCTTGTGTTTGCCAGGTTCGTTTGCCCAACGTCGTGAGCATCACTATGCCATGCGTCTGGGAAAGCTTCATCAGCTTGAGTCCCCATCCAAACCGCCAACATGATTTCGCCATCTTTGCCTTTGAATCCCTTCTTGTCTTCGAGCCGATACCATTGCGGCGCCAGTGGGCTATCTGGCGGCACTCGAAGTGGAACCTCAGTAAGATCGAAGTAAACCCTGCCCACGAAATCATCTTTAGCAAAGTCCTTATCTTTCACCATGACTTCAAGCAAATTCGACTGCAGCCTCTCTTTCGAGAAGGCAAAGGTTTGATTCCAGACTGGGTACTGATTCTTCTCCAGATAATTCGTTTTCCCCTTGTAGTTACCAAGCTTGACTTCCACGTAAGGGTCTAAGCTACCTGAGACGTCCATTACAGGGAGATCTCTGGCTTTCACCACACTGACGTAGAGGAAATGCATCTGCTCGACCAAGTCGTAAGTGCTCGATGTCTTGTCACCACCTCTGTATCTCATTCTCGCCGCCAATGGCGGGCTGGTCTCGACCAACAAGAATTCCGGATTCTGCTTCGGCATGTGCATATGGTGCATTACTGAAGTGCCAGCTGCCGGCGCCGCGGCGCGTGCGTAATCCGTTCTCGTTTCAATAACCGGCGTTTTCTGATGGTGTGCTTCAACCCCCATTCCAAACCCACCACCGGAAAACTGCGGTGGAAACGCCGCAGCCGGGGGGGATTGCCTCTGCTGCGGCGGAGGATGGTGGTGGCCACCTGCTCCGGTGGGTATAGAGTGAAAGGTGCGAACTTTATCCTTCTCCTTGTGTTTCTTCTTGCTCTTCATCATCTCTTCATCGTCGTGGTTGTGCTGGTGAAATTCTTCTTCCTCCTCCTCTTCTTCACCCTTGTTAGGGTCCATCTCTCGGAGAGTAGTAGGCTGCTCAGCCCTTTCTCCAACTCCCGGCATCTCCGTCGCCAGAGTAAAGCTGCTACCACCGGCGTCACCAACCACAGCATATACCCTGAGGGAGATCTCTCCCTTGATGTGGGAAAAAAGCCCACGTTTATCAAGTGGGTATCTCTGGACAGTGGAATCGGGCTCAGAGAAAAGGACAGAGGAGCCAGAGATTCGGACCCGGCCGAGGAAATTCTTCAGCTGCCCGCCGCCGCCACCGCCAGGTACGTTCCCTCTGCCGTCGTTATAGACCACAACTTGAATGGTAGAAGTAGGGAGATCTCTAGGGTCGTTGAAGTGTAGGACGAGCTTCTCGTTCCATTGAGGGTTGAGGTCTTTGTGCTTGGTTGAAGTCCTCTGCTTTTGGCCCTCGAATTCCACTTCCACGAACGGGCTGGCCGAGCCTTGCCCGTCTTTGGGCATTAGGTCGCTGGCGTCGACTACTTCCACCACCAGCTTGGCCATGGTGGTGGTTTGGGTTGTGGTCTTGTGGAGAAGTGAAGAAGGGGAGATGGGAAATTACTTTTTCATACCCGGAGAAAGGGGCGAGAGAGACTAGAGATGGGGAGGAAATGGTGGTGGACTGGTGGGTAGTGACTAGTGAGAGCCAAGGCTGAGCCTAGCTTGGTGGAAATGAAGAGAGAGAGAAGTGGAAGATGGTTGTCATTTTGGACTAAGAAGTAAGAAGACAGAAAAAAACACGAGGGGAAGAAAAGAACAGAGAGAGAGAGAGAGAGAGAGAGAGAGGTGGGCCAGAACCAGAAAGAAAGAAAGAATTGGTGGGTGCGTAATGTTAAATCATAAATGTTAATGGTTGGAGAGGGAAAGCAATGTGTGTATATTTGGAGGAAGTGTCGGTTTTGATTTTGAATTATAATGGTAGTGGGGGACTTAAGAGGGGCTAATAAAGAAATGAATACACCTAATTATGTGGATATGTGATGTTCAACCTAAAATAGCTCGACAATTCATGCCTTAAGCTCTAAGTAGTGATTTTGGAACGATTGAGTTCACATATGAACTAAAATGAATAAAATTTTAATGTTTACAATGAAATTGTGAAAGTGAATGGTTCGGCATCCTGTTCCAAATTTGAACCGAATTTTATAATAAACAATATGATTTGTTATCATACATAAGTCGATGAACAAGACAAAGATTAGCATTCAAATAATTTTAGTGCCCTAATGCTAATGTTTCATATGATAGTAGTGTTTAGTATCTATGGTTATGAAGAAAAAAGATGAAACTTGACAAGTGATATCAGTTGTTTTTTCTGTCTTCATTTCTTCTATTTATATAGATGAAGTAAGTAGTCGTTATAGAGAACTGCTAGCTTGGTAACTGCCTCTCCAATCTTCTTGGTGGCTCTCAAACGAATTGGTGCCTAATTGGTGTCAGCTTGGGTGTTAAGTTGGCGATGACTTGAACTTTTTCTGAAGGGGTCTTCTCATAGCCTGGCATGATAAATACGGTCACAACCTTGCTAGCTTGCCTCTATGGTGAAGCATAAACATCATATGACCAGTGTCCTTGATGAACTAACTCATCTTACTATCATATCTACCAAGCCTTGTCGTCAGGGTCTCATTGGCATCCTCGATGGCCTTGGTGACTCTATGTTTAGTCTCCTCGTCACTCTTGTATCGCCAGCTTACTCAGTCATGTCACCTATCCTCTTGGCCTAGTACAATAATCTCGGCTTGGGACCAAGTCTAGCTACTCGCCTTGTTGTGATAAGGACAACCCTATGGCTACATGGCAAGCCTTCCCTTCTACGTACCTTACTTACCAAAGCTCACCACTCGATCTTGTTGGCTAGGCACCAAACCTAGCCTCATCCATCAAAATTTCATACTTAGCCTTGTGGAATTAGGTTCCAAGTTGTCAATTTTTCATTTTTTCCAACAAACCTTTCATCCTTCAATTTTATAACAAACCTTTCATGAATCACTATACTTTAATGGACATGGATGAAAAGGTAGGTCTATATGTATCTTTTCTCTCTCACACTATCCTCCCTTTCTTTCCTCTCACTTTGTTAGTTGTGAGATTGTTTTGTTTGTAGCATTGTTACAAAAGCATCTTTGGAAGATTTCCATATGTTCATTCATTCATAGGGTCCCCAAAGCTTTTTGTAAAGTTCTTTTGTTTCCCAATGTGCTGGTGGATAGAGATTGACACATGCATGGGATACAAAAATGAAAACACCAATTAACAATGACCTCGCATTTACTTTTGTTATACAAAACACTATTTAGTATATTTTAACAAGATAAAATATGCTTATATCGCACTATGAAATTCACAGTTACAAGAAGTGGATTATACATAATAGAAACTGAAAGCCTGAAACCAAACCAAACAATTCAAAACTTTATGCGTCTCTGATATTAATGGTTTCAATTTGGTTTCACCATTCTTAATCTTTTAAAAGCGAAACTAACAAAATTCGGAATTCACAAATTTATGCTCAAAGCTAAACTAAATTATATGTTAATTCGATTAGAACATTGAATATTCGTTAGATCCAACTCGGACTAATCTTTGTTCATCTCAAATTGAGAGCATGTGGTGAAATGTTGCTTCAATTTTGTTTCCTTTCAGGGACTATGATCATGGTAGTCCTGAACTTTGGAGAAGTTGAATTTTTCTTTCAATTGAGTAATGTATACATATCACATCTCCAATATATTGTATTTGCCTCCATCCATGATAATTGGCTATCACTATAGGAACAATAAGTATTTTCACTTTGTTTGGTAGTATCATCACAATAATTAAGATGATAGCCCCTAGAGAGATATGTAGTACCCTTCTAAGAATTGACTTGAGCTTGAGCACCTTTTACTAGTCATTATAAATGGGTAGCTATAGTGATGGTGTTGGTCAATTATTTTGCTATTGAGTATCCACATACACAAATGGATGATGATTCTTTGTTTAATTCCTCAATCGATTGGATCTTATTGATTCCATATGAATGTCTGTATTGATCTATCGTGTTTTTTAATCATTACAATGTAATTTTATGCAAAATATTGTTCTACAATGTAATCACCACAATAATGAAGATATATTATTCTCCCAAAATTATACGAAATTGGAACAAATTAAATGGGAAAAAATCCAGGCTAGCTAGAGTCTGTTAAAAGGAATATAATTGAGATGCAAGTTTGTTTTCTATATCTTTTTTGTTGTTGTTTTGGGAACATTCAAATTGCATCATGCATGCCCATATGAAAGAAAGGCCACATACCCTTCAACCTTTTGGCTGCCTCCCTGAAAAGGAGAAAAGGAATATACTCCTCGATCTTCCATCCAATTCAGAAGAGATTGATGAGAGATGCTTTATCAGAAGAACTAAAGGGGTTATGAAGTTTCAAGAGAGGATAGGGTGATTCGAATTCATGATTTAGTTCAATTATCTCATTTTGTAACAATCAAATCAAATTATTTCATTTGGTAATACAAAAATCGGATAGAGAATTTGAGTTCGGAATTTTTGATTTGTTATGAGATTCTTATAATTATCTTAAAGGTGTAGAGCTAATTCCAGTTGTTTCATTACAAATACTTCATTTTGTAAAATGAAGTAATTCGGTTAATAACCTCTTTTTCAAATTGTTCCATGCAAATGATCATGTTTTGTCATAATATCTCTCCTGGATCCATTAGAATCTGACATTGGAGAGGGAAAAGTTGAAAAGTTTAACAAATTGGAGAAGTATGTATGGGATAATAAGCACACATTCCTAATTGTTAGGAATGACAATCAAATCCACTTGTATTGGACTGTTTGTGATCTAATCAACGCGGTGTAGATAAAATCCGCAAACAGATTGATGGAAATGGAGAGAGTATGATTTTAGTCTCCCCACTTTATATCCATACTCATATCCGGGTCACCAAGAATATTACTTTGTTTATAAAAATATAGAGATTATATTTTAATCTGTCAATGACAGAGGAAGTACATGTTGTACCAGGAGTTGTTGTTGAGCGCGAGTTCGTCGAAGATGAACGAGAAAATGGAGGTGCAGGTCGAGAAGAACTGGAGGCTCGAGATGGACCTGCCGCGAAGTTGGATGGCGTGCGTGAGATTCTCAGCAATAAGGCTGATCAAATTATAAAGCGAATCGAGCAGAATCAAAATAGGAGAATGAGAACTCGTAATTCATGATTTTTTTTATCCTTTGGATCTCGTGATGAAGTATCGATCATAAGGTTTGCGAGGATTTGTGTAGCAATGCGACAGAATGAATAAATAAAATTGAGTCAGTTAGTTGCCTTTTAAGAAATCATTTTACAATTATGCCTAATTATCCTTTTATGCGATATTCGTTCTTATTTACCGCGCAAACTAATAATGATGTACATCTTATTTACTTCATTTTGGATATTTATGAACTAATTCGATAAGATAACATTTTATGCATGCCTATTGAAGTTATATTCAGTTATCTGCTACCTAAAACCCAAAGAAGTGTACCCGTAGTACACTTTCGATATTGTCCATGCATTGCATTGTCATTTTGATCATTAACCCATCTCAAAACGATCTCAATCTTCTTTTTAACTTGTACAATAATAACAATGAGCAAGAAAATATGTGAAAATCATCTTCATTAACGGAGTGCTATTTTGATTAGGAGTATTTTTATGATTAGGAATAGTAACAACTAACAAAGTATCATACCGTTATAAAAATGTAGTTGAGGGACTTGTTCGAGAAACATCTATAATATAGGCACTAAAAGGCCATTATCTCTACAAATATTAAATAGGTCGCAGGGTCCCATGCCTTTCTCCGTCATTCCCGTCCCCAATTCCCCTCTTCTTCTTCTTCCCGGCCATGAACCGAATCGATCCCCGCCACCGATATCGCCGCCAATCACAATCCAAGCCATGATTCTCGCCACCACCGCCGTTTCCTGGCTCCGATCCCGCTGCAGCCGGAGAAGCCGCTGCGTCCTGATCTCCCTCTGCTCCCCGCTCATCCTGCCGCTGCTCTTCATATCTCTCCCTCTGCTCTTCGCGCTCGAGATTTGCCTCTGGCTCCGACTCTGTCGCCGAAGGAAGCCGCGGCGGTGGCGGTGGGGCGGCGGGGGGAGGAGGAAATCGGCGCTGATCGAAAAGGGGGCGACGGTGGCTCCGGATGAGCGACTGCGGCGGTGCGAGGAAGGTTTGCGGAATCGGGAGGCGGATGCGGAGGAGGATGGCGAAATTATTGGGCGGCTGTTGCAAGTTTACTTGGAGGATCAGCTACGGCTGGCTGGATCGATTGTGTTCGAGAGCGATGATGCGGCGGAGAGCGGCGGCGCCGGCGGCAGATTTGGCAAATTCGGATTTCGCGATGAGAACAGAGAAGCGGTGGACTCCAACATTGTCCCGCTGTTGACCTAATTTGGTTTTGGGGTTGGGGACTTATTAGTGTCGCGTTTTGTGTTTTCCGCTTTTTTTTTGGTTAGTTCCTCAAATTTGGGGGACTGTTTTAGAGATTTATTATTTTCCACTGTAAAATCAACACATTTTTGTTTACCTTGGTGCTTATTAATTTTATTCAAGTTACATGTGATTCATGCTATACAACTTATTTTAATAGGACACTTCTCCATTGCAATCTTTGAAGACAAAATTTGACAACTCTTTCACTAGAATACTATTATTTTCTCCACACACAAAGTGGACACGTGTGCGCGACAATAAAGTTAATACCTTCTTATGTTCTTCGTTGATTTCCTCAATTCTTAAGTTTTCAGCCTAATTTTCATGTCATTTAACAATGTTAACTTTCTTCTATGTTTCGCTACCGTTAAAAATAATCATTAGTAGGATCCAAACCCATAAATATGCAAATCCTAGACTATAATTTAAAGTATTTTAACCATTAAAACAAACTATATTTGATGATGTTAATGACAAATCTAGGGACTTTGCTACGGTGACATGTCACCGTAACTTGCACTTTTAGGTCGACCTTATATAAGATTAGGTCGACCTTATATAAGATTAGGTCGACCTAATATGTCGTATCAGTTTTGTGAGGTTCAACGACGCGGTTGGCCTTTTATAACAAATGGTCGACCTCTTTGGGAAGCGAACAGAATGAAATGTCGACCCAAATACCTCATAGGCCGACCATTTTGATTAACTGAGGTCGACCGCATAAGTTGATTTTCTTGTATTCGGTCGACCTCGTACCGGATTAGGTCGACCACAAAACCAACACTTGATCTTCATTTTACGTCAAATGATGATGGATAAATGGATACAACACTTCTCTTCTACGACAAAACCAACACTTCTCTTTCTGTAAATGGTCGACCATTTTGTTGATGACCGTCATCAAGTGGTCGACCTCTATACCTTTACGGTCGACCATTTTGCTTCTGAAGCCAATGAGAAAGCGATGTTTTATTGTGGTCGATCAACAATGACAACTTAAACTACAAACGGTCGACCACTACATTTTAAAGGTCGATTGTGATAAGTCATCAGGGTGCCCACATTAGTGTATTCGGGAACCTCACAAAACAGAAACGACATATTAGGTCGACCTAATCCTATATAAGGTCGACCTAAAAGTGCATATCAGGTCGACTTAATCCTATATGAGGTCGACCTAAAAGTACAAGTTACGGTGACAGGCATACCCCAAATCTAGTGTGATAAATACATTTGACGATATTAATTTTAACATGAGGGGTATCATCATATGTGTTTAACACCAAATCGAATTCCCTCGATGCCGATAATCTTCACGAAATTCTATTTAAACACTGCAAATCTCACATTCAGAACTGATCAACGATTCGACGACGGGAAGTATGATTTCTTTCATGTTGTTGATGAGTTCATCTAGATTCCTTCCATCTCTTAGATTATAGTTGATTAGATATGAGTAACCAAATATTGATAATGTTTCTAGGGTTCTTTTTATCTGTTTTTTTTCTCTCTCTTTGTTTGTTTCTTGTGTTACAAATTACACCAAGAAGATGGTGTACCTACAACAGAGGACTTCTTTTTTTTTTTTTACCTATACAAAGAAAACCCTATATCCACATATGTTCACCGTCTTCTCTGTACGTAGTTTCTCTGATGCCCGCTCCTCATCGGACTCCCCTCATTTTTTCTTAACGAATTCATCACGTCACAAAAGATAAAATTTGCCCCATGTCCTTTAACGACCACACTCTGCCTTGCCGGCCAGCCTACACAGTATATATACCCCAACTCTCCCATCGCCACAACTCACACAATTCACATAGCAAAGAAAAAGCAAAGAGAAACAGAACAAGTGAGAGGTAGAAATAAGCCGAGAAATGGAGAAGCCAACGACGACGACATTCATCTTGTCGCTAATGGTGACGGTCTTATTAGCCACCACCTACGGAGCAGCAACGGCCAATGCTAGGGAACTCGGCTCCGGCGGCTTCACTGCATATCGTGGCGGTTTCAATGATACGGCGAGGATCGATGGTAGTAGTACTGTTGGCAGCTGCGGCGGGAAAAAAGCGAAATCGTGCGAAGACGATCTCTGTTGCAGTCAGTACGGCTACTGTGGTAGTGAAATCGAGTATTGTGGCGACGGATGTCAGTCGGATTATGGCGAATGTGGTAGCAGCGGGACAAGTAGCGCCCCGCCGCCGCCGCCAAAGCGGTAATTAACTTCAACGTGATGATCGGAAGTTGGAAGGGGTATGTGCTTAATTAGTAGTAATGATGATGAATAAAGCTGTGGAATTCAGCTATGAAATAATAATTATTGATAATAATGGTAATACTTTGATATGAAATAAAGCTTTCCTGGTTTTTTTTTATTTTATTTTACTGTTTCTATAGAAATGTTATCTGTGTCTCCAGTTACCTTTGTATCACATATAGAAGCTGGTGCTTCGTTAATGGGAATAAAGAGAATTTCTACTTCTTAAATTAAAATTTCTCGTTTGATTTAATTATTTGGATAGAACGTCCCACGCGCGCAAAGTGACTCGCAAAAATCTAGCGTTAAATTAAAGAAATAGACTTAGCAGAATGAAGAAAATTAGAGTTAAATCGAATAGAAATAAAACTCGGGGCGTAACGAATTCAGACAATAAAAGAAGGAAGCAAAAAAGTGGTTTTAGGTTTCAATCTTCTAATGATATTAAACGAATGAACAAGTGCAATATTTATAGGCATAAAACATCTTTTTTTCTCCTACCTAAAACATGAAACTATTTCTCACACAATTAAACAATAATCAAATCTTACCAGACTCATGAAAACAATAAACAACACGAATATCCCAACAATAGTAAATATTATTGGGCTACATAGTTGAGCGGACTTGGGTCTCGAGGCCCAAAGGTAAAAATTGACTGACCAGGCCTAACAGAGTGTTCGACCCAACCAAAGGACCGAGGAGATATGCGGTTCTGGGAATCTTGGGCGTAGGGATGGTAATGGGTCTAGTTTTGCCAAACACAAACCCAAAATCATGGGTTTATCTGTGAAAAAAACTTGTGGTAAAAACCACTGTGTTTGAAAAACTCAAACCCAACCCGCTGGGTATCAGCAAGTTCACGGATACCAATGGGTTTTTGTCTTAAAAAATTTACAATAACAAGTTTCTATCAAAATAAAAGTCAAATACCAATCTCTCAATACAAATTATCCATATATAAAACACCATTCTAGAAAATTAAAGCAAATCACAAATTAACCATACAAATTGTTCAACACCAATCTAGAAAACTCAATAAAATTGAAGCAAATCATAAATTATCCATAAACAACAAGATTAATTGAAAGCTTCTTCCTCTTTGTCAATTAAGCTTCTTCACGCTCCACTCCAGGGGGCGGAGATAGCATGTAATTAGGGTGTTCCATGGCACACCCTTGGATTGAGACTAGAACATCAAAAAATAGGAGTATTAGTTATACTATAGTTAGGATTTGAACATGGAACCCCCTTATTATTAGCTTTGGCATCTTCCATTAAACAACAATTACTTACATGATACACCAATACGTTTTATTATATATATATATAATTATAATTAATTTACCGTTTACAAATAATAAGTAAATTAAATTAAAAAACCCCATAATTGTATCTTTATTCAAGCAGCAGTCGGAACTTTAGTAGGATGGTTTCTACAAAAATGCATATGAAATTTCCATCTGTTTATCTTCTTGTGAAGTTAGCATTGTTTCTAGCAGTAGCTACTACAAGTGTTGAAAGAATATTTTCTGCAATGAACTACGTAAAGAACACTATTCGGAGTCCAATGAGTGATGATATCATGAATAATTTTCTTTGATAGGATACATTCTCAGTGACATTCTTGATAGTCTGGATGATGAATGTATTTTACAAACTTTTCAAAATATGAGAACCCATCCTGAATCACTATAAAAATTGATAGTCATTTTAATTTTTTAAGCTGGCACCCCCTTACCCAAAATCCTGGCTACGCCACTGCTCCACTCGATAATATCAACTTCATTCTAGACAATTAGAAAGGAAAAATTAGTCATGTCTCCACAAAAATAAAGAAGATTAGTTGTTTAGAATATTAAATATACCGAGAAAATTAATTATATGGGTGTTGGCGGGTAACCATGGGAGCGGGGAGATATGCGATTCTGGGAACCTTGGACGTGTTGGAGAGTCGAACCCCAAGTCCGAGGAGGAGCTAGGCCGTTTGACATAAAATGTTGATGGCGACAAGAGGGAAGGATCAGCTGGAAAGATACGTACCTCGATTTGGGTAAGACTGGGGATTAATTACCCGTCGTAGGCGGTCTACACAGAGACGAGGCATACTTAGTGCGCTTGACATAGCATTTAATGTCTTACCCACTAACTAACTAGGTATAAAACTCCATGAGAGCATTAATGGTAAACTCAACTATTCTCTTTCTTTAAACCTGACACATTCTCTCTTCCTTCTCTCTAACTTAATCTTCAGAGAGTGTCCTCTGCAACCGCCCACTGAACCTTGTTTTGCAGGGTTTAGGAGTGCATCCCCTTACCAAGAACATGCGTCTCCCTCGTGTTCTACACTAACCGCTTAGTACTTTCTAGGCTTAAACAAATACTAACTAAAATAATAAAATAGATGAGTCTATAATTCCCTAATTCCCCATGATAACTCGTCTCATAACACTTTGCTTATATCGATCTTACTAATACACGAAGAAAGAAAGCTCAAATGAACTTTCTTTATTCTCTAAAAAAAACTGAACATTCTTTAGATCTAGTATGTTGGACTTAGTGCTCCAACAGGCAAAGAACAACGACGAAAGATGCCTCCTGCAGCAACAGATTCAGCACATCCCTGCCTCCATTGCGTGGAAACCACCCCGGGAGGGCTGGATACAAATTCAAACGGATGGGTCTGTTCTTCCAAGCTTAGGAGTTGCATCAGCAGGGGGACTTATCCGGGACCACTTGGGGAGATGTCTTGATGCGTTCGTCTGCAACTTGGGGAGCTTCACGATCACCATGGCAGAGCTGAAAGGGGCAGAGATCGGACTCCTTCGAGCTTGGGAGAAAGGCTTCCGCAGAGTAGAGCTAAGGCTGGATTCTTCGACTGCTATCAGCATCATTAAGAATCACAAAAGACATTGATCATAGACATGGTTTGATTGTTGCTAGGATTGGAAGACTTTTTTATTTTGATTGGGAAGTGTCTGTGTCCCATGTTTATAGAGAAGGCAACTTCGCAGCCGATTACTTGGCTTGCAAGGGCCATGATGCCCCTTTTGGTACACATTCCTTTGATGTGTACGATCCGGTTCTGTGTAGCTGGATCTTGTATGATACTATGAAAATCTCCATAGATCGTTCTATTATTAATACGAATTAGGACGCTTTGACGTCCGTCTTCCTAAAAAAAAATGCTGGACTTAGCACGCAAAATCATTATCGATCTTGAAAGTGTATGCGAGAGACCACAAGAATGTATCAGTAGTCGCCACCATACAAAACACTTCTCTTTAATAATTTCTTTGCCGTTTTACCAGAGGACATGATAGCGCGAGGTTGATGTACGAATTATCCGAATAAAGAAAACAGAAGCTCTCCGACGCAAGTCCAATGGCGCATTTTACATCCCCGCAGCGCCATTTTCACACTACTACTGAAGCACTCACTCCTCCGGGACCATCTGATGGCCGCCGACGATATAGTCGCCGCCGCCCCTTTACTCGAAGACCACGACATCGTTCCTGGCTCCGTTGACCACCGCGGCCGCCGGATCCGCGACCGCTCCTCCTTCGGCGGATGGAGATCTGCTGCTTTCATAATCGGTACAAGATTTCCCTAATTTATTTTTGTTTGTTTCTTCTGTCGATTTTGCTTTTCCTCTGCGTTTTTCTGATTTTTGGGTCTACGGATTTCGCGGCAGTGGTGGAAGTGGCGGAGAGGTTCGCTTACTTTGGGATATCGTCGAATCTGATAACGTATTTGACGGGGCCGCTCGGGGAATCGACGGCGGCGGCGGCGGCGAATGTGAACGCGTGGTCGGGGACTGCTACTCTGCTCCCGGTCGTCGGAGCTATCGTCGCCGATTCCTTTCTCGGCCGCTACACGACGATCGTTGTCGCCTCTCTCATCTACGCTGTGGTCAGTTTTCTCCCGATCCGATTTAGGGAAAATGGAAAATATGCCGTTTGATCCTTTAAGTCTTACTATGCTCTAGTTCTAGTGCATGGAATATTCATTTTTGGTCATTCAAGTCCATTTTAACTTTCGCAGGGGCTGGGGCTGCTTACATTATCAGCTTCACTGACATCTGAAACAGCGACAAAGTCCCAGGAAGTACTGTTCTTCACTGCTCTGTATCTCGTCGCTATAGGTCAAGGCGGCCACAAGCCATGCGTGCAGGCATTTGGAGCGGACCAATTCGACGAACACCATCCGAAGGAGAGCAAGGCGAAGGCGTCCTTCTTCAACTACTGGTACTGCAGCATGGCGATTGGGATCAACGTGGCGCTTCTGGTCGTAGTCTATGTGCAAGATAACCTTAATTGGGGCGTTGGGTTCGGAATCCCCTGCTTCAGCATGGTTGTCGCTCTGTTCACGTTCTTGCTAGGCAAGTCGACTTACAGGTTTAGCAGCAAGAGGGTGGAGGAGAGAAACCCGTTTCTCAGAATTGGTCATGTGATCGCTAGAGCTTTTAGAAGCCGTGGGAATCATAGTAAGGTTTCATCAGGGGTTACAACCAGTGAAGGAGAGGAATACCTGTCGAGTCAGAGCTCTCACCAGTTCAAGTAAGAAGCTTTTTTGCTTGGGTTGATCCCCATTTGTCATAAAGATTACTGCTTTCAAACTTGTAGTAATGACTGGATTTCACCTATGCTTGCTAAGCACGTCTCTGCTGATTCATTGTGCTGCTTAAGTGTAGCTTAATTCATTTTGCTACTTATGTGAAATTCAGCCTGATCGACACCTTTTTTCCATGTCTCGTAAGGTTCCTCAATAAGGGTCTATTCATCCAACGTGACTCCACCATGGACGAAGAAGAACAGCTCAAACAACTTTGCAGCGTGAAAGACATTGAAATGACCAAGCAACTCCTTCGTCTCGTCCCAATATGGTTCTCCATCCTAGCCTACGCGGTTGTTTTCGCGCAAGTCTCGACCTTCTTCACGAAGCAAGGCGCCACCCTCGACAGAACAATCTCCCCCAACTTCCAAATCCCACCAGCTTCCCTTCAGTTCTTCCTCGGCACCGCCATCATCGTCTTCATCCCTCTCTACGACCGCGTCTTCGTCCCCATCGCCTCGTCCCTAACCCTCAACCCGACGGGGATCACAACCCTCCAGAGAATGGGGACAGGGATGTTCCTCTCCGTCGTCTCCATGGTGGTTGCGGCCACGATCGAGATGAGGAGGCTGAGAATGGCCAAGGACCGCGAAACGGTTTCCATCATGAGCATATGGTGGCTGGTTCCGCAGTATGTTGTCTGTGGGGTATCAGACGTTTTCACCATTGTTGGGCTTCAGGAGTTCTTCTATGAGGAGGTGCCAAAGGAGCTGAAGAGCTTGGGGTTGTCGTTTTACCTTGGGGTGTTGGGCGTTGGGAGCTTTTTGAGTGGATTTCTGGTCTCTGTGATTGATGAGATTACTGGTGGAGAAGAGGGTGATCAGGGATGGTTTGCTGATGATCTTGATGAGGCTCATCTTGATTACTTCTATTGGCTTCTTGCTGGGATTAGTGGCCTGTGGTTTGTTGGTTACTTGTATTTTGCTAGATCCTACGTGTATAGGGAGAAGTAGGGGATGGTAACTATGTATTGAAAACCCTTAAAAAGGGCAAATCATTCCTTCGCTAAGAAAAATGGGGTTTGGATGAAGAATTTTAACGGATCATTTTGATCTAATTATTTAGTTTTGACATAATTTGATCATATTGATCTGTTAGGTAGTACAAAATTTAAATAAAACAATTATGCATGGAGAATTTAAAATTCACTCGTTTCGAGGAAATTACAATTGTCTGGTGTGGAGGCGGACAATTCGAAGCGGCTCATATGAAATGACTCATTTTTGTAAAATGAGAAAATTAGTCAAATTGTCTCGATCGATCCAAACGATTCGGACACTTGTGAAGTTGAATTTAATCTCACCAAGTATAATTTTTTGCTCTAAAAAGTTTTGAACAAGTATGTTATATTTGAATCGTGAAAGTGGAATCTCATGATGTAATTGCTGAACTTAATAATTTTAGCAAATTTATGGCTTAATTTAATGTTTTACACTCTCATAATTTTTTTATCATACATAAATTTTATTTTATTTTAAGCAAATAAATCAGTCGTATTTTTTTAAAAATGAGAATTCTGCGAATTAATTTGTTCAAGGCAAAAAGTAAAAGGGCAACACAAGTTAATTTTCCCGGGAAATTGACTGGTTCGCGGCTGCTGAGGGAGTATAACGTAAATTAGCCCACTTTCCGTTGCTTCATTTTTGGTCTCCACTGCTCCTCCTACTGTTAGTTACTTTCTCTTCTGGCGTTTTCCCCTTTCCCCATCCCATCATCGTTCATAACGTTAAAACTTCCCTTTCATTCCCTTCCCTCATCCGCCAGAGAAAAATAAGAGACTACACTCCGCTCGCCGAGAGAATTCCATCACTTTCCCGTGGAAGAAAAAGGGAGGAAATTGGGTCGTGGGGGTGAAGAAAAGAGAATGGATCTCTGGGGAGCGCTGCAAGTGAAGAACGCCACTCGGAGCCCTCTCCTTGCCGGGTATTATTCGATTCCTTCCGAGCGATTGAGTTGCTGGGCCCGAGAGAAGAAAACGATTGGGTTTCTGGAGATCAGGGTTTTCAACCGCAAGCTCTGCTCCCACTCGTTGATTGTCAGGGCTAAGGCGAAGAAGAACAACAACGACAGCGATGACAATTCCTCTTCATCTTCTTCTTCGTCGCCTTCTCCTTTCGGTACGGAGGTCTCTCTATTATGGGTTGTTGTTGATTCTTTCAATTGGATTGGTAAATTGCTTGTTGATGTTGGGGAGTGAGGGTTAGCCGGTTAGGTTTCGAACTTAATTTGGTTTCATTTCGGTAAAGGTGCAAACTTTTTTGGATTCTGCTTGGTTTGGGGGAAAGAGCGTGATTGGATATTGAAACACTTCGCACTGTTAAGGAAGGTGACAATGGCTCATGCGAGTGCTTGTCTAATTAGTTAGGGAAATTGTGATGGAAGTCTGATAATTGTGGTGAAAGCTCGACCCTTTAGCCCGATTGTGAATTTGTAGAGTTGGTGATTCTGTTCTACTACCTTGTATTACTATTTGCGGTTTAGGTTCTGAAAGGGGCATTGTACGACTATTTCCTCAGAACTCTGCAAGAATAGAAGCAGGGATTACTTGTTTCACCTTCTGTGCTTACTTTATGTGCTGCTAATGGTGACACCTGCAGAAAATGGTGATAGATCTCGCCCTGATGGAGATGTGTCGAAAGGGAAAAAATCCTATGATGGCAGCAAAACGAACAATAGTTCTTCCCAGAAGCCAATTCGGGGGAATCTGGACTGGAGAGAATTCAGGGCTAGTTTGGTTGCTCAAGAGCAGGTGACATTTTCTTCCTTGGCATGCTACTTCTTCCCCGCTGCTTGGGAATGCTAATTGCACATCCTTATGAATGGGGCTTGATGTATGGTCTTATATATGGTGTTGTTCATCGGGCATTCTCAATCATCTACTAGGCTGTTCTATCATGGAGATTTCTCAAGTAGTTTATTTAGTTATAATTTGAATATGAGTTAGGTCTGGAAGCAAAGTTCGGGCAGAAGATGCTTAATTGATGTTTTGATTTGGATTATAGGTGAAGTTATCATCTAAGTTAGTTTAATAAAAATCATTCTTCATAGGTTCATAATAAGTTCATTTGATAAGTGGGTGAGTTGATCTTGATGATTGTTAACAGGCACACAAGTCAGAGACCGAGACTCACAGCAGCCAGAGCGGGCCATTCCAAGAGCCGAAACCTCTTGCCCCAAAGTGGGCTCACCCTTTATCAATCCCTGAGAATGGTTGTGTCCTTGTTGCCACGGAGAAACTCGATGGAGTTCGTACATTCGAAAGAACTGTTGTCCTCCTCCTAAGAGCTGGTACCAGCCATCCACAGGAAGGACCGTTTGGTGTTATCATCAATCGCCCACTCAACAAAAAGATTAGGCATATGCAGCCAAACAATAATGAGCTGGCGACCACATTCTCAGATTGTTTTGTGCATTTCGGCGGGCCCCTTGACGCGAGCATGTTCTTGTTGAAAACAGGAGAGAATAAGACCAAGCTTCCCGGGTTTGAAGAAGTGGTTCCCGGTTTGTGTTTTGGTGCTAGAAACAGCTTAGATGATGCTGCAGCACTTGTGAAGAAAGGAGTACTGAAGCCTCAGGACTTCCGGTTCTTTGCCGGTTATGCCGGTTGGCAGCTGGATCAGTTGAGGGAGGAGATTGAGTCTGACTATTGGTACGTCGCTTCTTGCAGCTCAAATCTCATCTGTGGAGGATCATCCATGATGGAGTCTGGCAATCTGTGGGAAGAGATTTTGCAGCTTATGGGTGATGATTACTCGGAGGTGAGCCGGAAGCCTAAGCAAGACATGTAAGTTCATTGGGAACACGATGGGTATGGGTCTGAATGAAAATATGGATGTGGTATTAATGGAGTCAAATGTACAGAAACTCACTGTGCCTAGATAGCCTTGTTTTTAGCTTGTTTTCTCTTTCCTTGGCTTTGGTCTCAGTTGAGTGGTATTAATGGAGTCAAATGTAAGAACTTGGCAGTTGCTGTTTTATATATGTAACAGGATGGTTGCGTTGCCTTAATGTTAGGGTGAAAAAATGGAAATAAACCCAGTAAAGCCCTCCTGATAAATTAACCTCTTTGGTGGGTTCATTAACTTAGCTGTCTGCATTTGTTGCTGCAATCTCATAAGACGTCTCTGTTCCCTTTGGAATCACTACAGCAGGGAACTTAATAGTTAAGGTTTGGTTTGGATAGTTGGACTACGAGGATGGATATATTGGTATCGTCGTTTAGGTTGATGATTTCGAGATCTGATCACTCATCAGTATGTGAGATTCTATACAATGCCTGTCTATAAACTGTGGTACACTATCTGTCTGTCACTATGATTCCTCTTCCAAACGACCCTTAGAGATTTCTTTATGAACTGCACAAGGATAAGGTCAAAATCTTTGGGAACAAATAGCAGATCACATCAATAAAGTCCTATAAAATATACCAAAGTATCACTCTTTAAGTTGGGATCCTACTGTTCAGTTATCATCATAAAATAGCTAATAGTCAGACTAATTATGTACTTCTGACAAATTTTACAACACCAAAACAAGTCAATTGGAATCTTCATGTCCTTATTTCATCTTGTGGGTTTAACCACATCCAGACAACACCATTTCAACCCTCCTTTAGTTTCTTGTCCCACAAGAGTCCTTCAAGGCCAGCTTCTACCAATCTTCTTACCGCCGTTGTTGTTAAGGTTCTATTCTGTTCTCTCCTCCTATGACTACTTGCTTTTTCTGAAGGGCTGAAAGTCTGGTTCTTCTTTTCATCTTTGTTATGTTTGCCTTTTATGCACATGATCATCATCCTCCGTAGCTACTATTATGATCCTCGTCTATAAGGTTGTCTTTAGATCTTGCTTTCCTAACAGCTTGTTGAATTTGTCGCTCGTGCTCCTTCAGAAGCTCTTCCATGTTGCCTCCTGCAGGCATCAGAGGGCCAGAGTAATGGATCCTGTTCTTCCTTGGAGGCACGTACACCTGAACCCAAAAAAATAACCCCAACCATCAAACATTCAAACACTGAATGTCATCACAGATAACTGGCATAAACCCATCAAGTCATTACCACTGAAGAGTCTTTGATGTTGAATGATGAGCCGCCATTTCTGTTACCGTTCTTCCTCCAGGTGACTGTCATGTCCACTGTTGGTTGGGACGCCATGGATTGCTGTGTCCTGAGCTCCGACATGGTGCTGTTGTTCCGGCTTCTCACAGTGCTCGCGGTGGAGAAATCGTTCTTGTTGGTAAGACTTGGATGAATCATGGAAGATGAGTGAGTGTAGCTACCACCAGCACCAACATTTGGCCTGATCATCACCATCCCTCCTCCTGCTGCTAAAGGCTCAACCCTGTAACCTCCATTAGCTTCATCCTCGTAGTTATGGCTATTGCTGCTTGTTGCTTTCCCTTGCCCTTTACCAGGTAAAGAATCTCTATCATTTCTTTGGCCTTTAGCTGATTCAGGTCCCCTCATCTTGATGGCTTCTGCCATTTTTCTGCAAAGTCACAGGAAAAAAATGTGAAAAGTTGATGACCTGGTTGGAACAGTTTGTTTTCTTTGGTAGAAGAAGTGGTTCAAGATAATAAAGACGAATTGGTTCAAGCTCATACCTCCTTGCTTCCTCTTCTCTGGTTTTGGCATCAAGTTCCTTGCTTGGAGGATACTTGGGTAGGCTTGAAGGATCACAAGGGAATGGCTCTGTATTGAAGAACTGTAGACGAAATGCAACTTCCATTATTGCCAAAACTAATCATATAATGTCCACAAAAAGGAAAAGTATGAACATCGGAGTAAAAATGTTTAGCTGACCTGGCTTTCAAGGGCAGAAGCAGCCGTTCCTCGAGCTTCCGGCTCGATGGACAACAACTGATCTACAAGAGCCAGTGCTGAAGGCGGGAATTTGATGAATGTCTCTTCAACACAGCGCTTGTAAGGCTGTTGAGGCTTGAAACTTGTTGCATGTGGGAACTTTGTCTTCTGCCAGTACTCTTCTGATGGTGAGCCACATAGCTTGAATATCTTGTGCATTTGCTCCACCTACAAAGTAAAAAAAAATTCATATGATTCAAGATGAAATCTTATGGAGAATGACATTGTTCGGTATTGGACTCGAAAATCGATGATATCGAGAAATGATCGAGTTGTTTTTCTTCCATTACCTCTGTTCTTCCAGGCATGATGTGCTTCCCAGCAAAGAGCTCAGCAAGTATGCAACCAGCACTCCAGAGGTCTATCCCAACTCCATACTGTGTGGCACCAAGCAAGAGCTCTGGCGCCCTATACCACAGTGTCACCACCCTACTCGTCAAACCCTGCTGCTGCGAACCACGATAGAAGTTGGCCAATCCGAAATCTCCAATCTTCAAAACTCCGTTGTTGTTGATCAGGAGGTTCGATCCTTTGATGTCGCGATGCAGAATCCCACAGTCATGGCAATGCTGAAGCCCCCGGAGAAGCTGCTGCATGTAACATTTTATCTGTTGCTCAGTGAACCTCACACCGGGTCTCGTTGCAAGCCCGGTAAGGTCGTGTTCCATGTACTCGAAGACGAGGTACAAGCTCTCTGACATCCTGGAAGTCACAATGCACTCAAGCCTCATCACATTTGGGTGGTCAAGCTTCCTCAAGATGTTGATCTCCCTCGCCATGAATCGAACACTTTCAGGGTCCATGTTCACAAACCGCACTTTCTTCATCGCTACGATCTTCCCTGTTTGAAGGTCTCTTGCCCTATACACTGTGCTGTAAGTCCCTTGTCCAATCTGCCAAGTTCCAATTACCACAACTCTGTTTTTTCATTAACCTCTTTAGAAGCATAAACAAGGATGATAACATCAAGTTACAGACGACATATACCTTTTCTAGCTTCTCGAACGAGGTGGCCTGCCGCGGCAGCCAACCTCTAACAGCATCACCAGCAACTGAGGTCAGCCATTGAGGCCATCCTGGGTCAATCTCTCCATCACCATCACCTGGCATGCTGAAAGTTCTCGACATGCGAGGCAGGTAGAAGAAGTTGCTCCCGTTCGAGAGGTCCATCGTCGTGCCCCTCTGGTGATGTCGAGCTGATTTCGAGACGAGCTTGTTCTCATTGACGAAGATTCGGTCCCCCACGCTGCCATTGTTGCTGTTCTTGCCAATCCCAATGGCATTAGGATTGTAATGCGAGACTCTCGATGATTGTCGCGAACCGTACCTAGACCCTCTTTTGCTGGCGCTTCGGGACGAGTAGTTGGATGGATCATGATCGTGGTATGCTTCTGTCTTGCAAGGCGTCGGAGCAACAAGTTGGTTAGAGGATTTATCATTCAAATTGCTTTGATCCTTATCGTTGTTGTTGTTGTTGTTGTTGTTATGAGAGGGGCTTAAATCTTGTTCTTGAGCTCCTTTGAAGCATATACAGCCCATAATCTCGCACCAGAAACTTCGGAATCCGTATGAGAGAGCCAATTTTGATGATGATCAACCATTAATGAAGAAATGATGGTAGAAAAATATTGTTCTTCTTCCTCAACATTCATTATGGAAACCCCAGGTTTAACATTTCCTGAGGCTTTCCTTCCACTTAGCAATGGAATCTTGCGATCAGTATCACCTGGCAACAAGAGTCATTTCCTCGTTGTTGATTGTCTAGGAATTGAATTCACCCAATTTGATGTGATGCAAAAAAAAATGTCAAAAAGGAAGGAAAAAAAAAATAGAACCCTGAATCTTTACAAAATATCAATGAATATCAAAACCAGAAATCACAGCATTGACCAAAAAAGACTATCTGATGCTGGTGACAATACAAAAGAACAATGATTCTGACAATGCAGGAATTCTGGGTGGAGATTTAGGGTTTCTCCTATTTTCGTAAAATATTTAGAGAAAATGAAAACTTCTTGAGAAAATAAAAATCCTAAACGACTAATATTTTGTTATCAAAACATCACTTAAAATTGAATTTTTATGAGAAATATAATTTTGTTGTTTGTTTTAGAAAGTTGAGAAACAGAAGAAGAATCAACTGTTTTTTTTTTTTTTATTGTTGCCTAAAACTGTGATACATTGAACAATTTTTAGTTCAGACAACTACTTCTAGCTTTCAATGATATCTAATGATGGCTCGCAATTTGTCATCTTCTTCATTATGAGTAACAAAGGTCACAATTTTTTATTAACAAGGCAGTGTACAATTTCTATGAAGCTGAAATTTCATATTATAATTAACTAGTCATGATTTATGAATGGAGAATCAAACTTTATCGGTTTTATAAAGTTACAGGGTTACATTAACAAACACAATTCATTAAACCTAACCTTTCTAGTCGCATGATGTACATGAAATTTGCATACTTTTTTTGGAAGAATTATCAAGAAAAATGATTTTTTTTTATAATTTTCTACCAAAATAAATGGTCTACAAAAGCAACAACAATAAACTTTTCAAACGGCACAAACCACTAGAATTTTCACATGTACGTGGAAACTTTACATCAAACTCCAAGATGCCCGAGCTGGTCTAAGTGAGCTAGTTTCAGGTGCACATCAAACTTAGAAAACTGGACAAGTAACTAATTCAGTCACACTTATCCCAATTGTAAGATGTTCAAAAGGTTGTTAATCTCTAAACTTAATGCCGTTCAAATGTAAAATGAACAAGTCGATCCATGTATCCGGGACTCCAGGCAAGCACCAGTGCATGCAGTCGTCGTGCTTCTTTCCACCAGCATTGGCCGGGTGAGCGTCTGCTCTGAATTCACTCAAGTGAGTTATGTCTAGAATGTGAAAACTTGACTCGTTGATTGCTCTGAGCAGGTGCTGATTCACCAGCCGTGACTCGACATTTGTACCAGTGTTTCTCACTTCAAAAAGTTCTTGGACCTGAGAAAATGAAGGAACATAGTAGAAATTAGAACCAGTGGGAATTTGTCAAGCGCAGGAAATTCCAATTTCTCAGTCCAGCTTAGGGTGCACAGCTATTCTTGCAAAATTTCAGACGATATGCTTACTTGGTGAGATGACAATGGCTGTTGACGCAGACAAGAACCACCTTCATTCCAGTCACCTCCTTCAAAATGCCTCGGTGATTGAGTCCGGAAGAACTTGATCCCACCTGGGCGCATCTTCTCTTCAACATAATGAATCTAAAGGTAACAAAAAAGGGGATAGATTCGCATTCTAGTTTAGCACACACACATGCAGGTAGAAAACAATGCACTGCCAACTCATTAAGTCGCTCAGTCTTAAACACCTACGGCAGCTTCTATAGCATTTAGAATTTAGAGCAAAGTATATAGCATAGAGGTCAATTGAGTATGGAACCACATGGAAACGGTCAAGAATCGATTCTTTCTAATTCTAGCAAAATGAGAAGAAAGTAAGCTAAGACAAGAAAAGCGCACCATGTGCTTCAAAACAATGTCAAGGCCGACATCGGGAGGTATTGGAGGAATGATTGGTAAACCATTTTCATAGAAGAGCATAGGTGACTTTACAGGGTGAAACTTAGAAGGTGCCCACCACCTGTTTTCAGACAATGGAGAAATGTTCACCTAGCTTGACTACCTCGAGTATGAAACCAGATAAACATAATTATTAATCAAGAAACCATTGTAATTGGACAAAGAAATTACCAGTGCCCAGTGTTGAAGATCAAAATATCATGGAAGCTTGGAGCACTAGCCCAAGTGCCGTCTGGGATGTCAACATCAACCCTGTAACCCTCTTTATAACCAAGAGACTCCAGCTTCCCACCTTTTGGATCAGCTAACCAACTGCAGTAAATAGAAGGTTACACACCCTAAGCGGCTAAGCCTATGAGGGGAGTAGACATCTCTGAATATGATTTTGAAATTAAACTGAAAGGATGGTATAAGTAACATAATTGCCAATGCATTGCCTAGAATGGCATATCAGACTATCTGGATAAAGTCAGAGCTTACCTACCATATCTTGACAACAGATTCGTGCGATGGTATGCAATGGTAAGGTTATACTGAAGAAAAGTAAACCCACGATCAGCACCAGCCGGTCGCCACTTCTTCACGTCAATCGACACCCGTCTCAGTGCGCAGAACAGGGACACAAACATATTCCTATTCAAGGAGTCGCCAACAAATCCTGCACTGTGGCACACAAGTGAGATCCTCAAACGATACTCTCAGCAAATGGTTCAACATGGCCAACCCCATTACTCTAGTAATAAAAACAAAGCATTCTCCATACAAGACAAGCATGTTCAAGTGAGCATTTGTGCCCATGGATTCTAACAGCATTTCCACAATCCAAAAAGCCAGTTGAGAGTAGCACGTTCTGTACACTTCGCTATGCTATGAACCATTGGCGATGACCCAAAACATCAACAAAAGAGTTCCTTCCAGCTGAAACTATATCAGCAACTAAACAGGCAATACGTTAAACAGCGAAAATAGCGAACAGAAATGAAGTTTACCTATGTTAGTGTCTCGATAAGTTTCCAGGAAACCCATCGGATCAAACGGGGGAAGATTACATCCTTTTGGCTGCCACCGCCACCTGAGTATCTCTTCCGCATTCGGTTTCCCACCGGCAATGCAGTTCCAGCCTTTGAATATCTCCTTGCAGGTGCTATCGTACTTCGCCGAGCTGCGATCCGGGTCGTAGACCCACGACCCGTCGGTGTAATCGCAGTTCAGGTCGGATCTGAGCCTGGCCTTGACCTGATAGGATCCCGGAGAGACTGGAGTGGTTCGGGAAAGGGAGAGAAGGAAGAAGATGGAAGCAAAGAAGACGAGGGAGAAGAGAGGAAGGAGCGGGATCTTCTTCGCCGTCTGGTCTCTCGTGGAAGTGGCCATGGCCGGAGGAAGGCGGAGATTGGATCTTCAAAATCCCCAATCTTTATTCCGAATTGAAAACGATGGTTCGTGGGCCGGAACAGGCCCAATTATATTAATCACATCTGATCCGTTAGGCCCATTATAGCGAGTCGAAAGAACCCTCGAAAAAAAGCAAACGCGAAGTCGGAAACACTCATGAGCGACGATCAGAAGCGAAAAAACCCGAAGAGAGGTGAAGAGATTTCCGGGGAAAATGGCGGAAGCCGAAGAGAGGAAAATGGACGGCGACATCGTGCGGTGGGCGCTGGAGTTTGTCATCCGGAAAAGCACCGACAGCAGTCTAGTGAAAAAGCTCATCGCGAACGTCGGTCTCCCTTTCCCCGGCGACGATTCGCGCTTTAAGAAGACGGTGATACTTCGCTCGTTGCAAGACGAGATAGGTAAGGGTTCCGTCTCCGAAGACATGCTTGAATGGTTTGAGATTCTAGAGGAATTGGATAGGAGAGATGGAATTGCGATTTCGGAATCGATGAAACTCGCTTACTGTGCTGTGGCAGTGGAGTGTACTGTTAAGCAGAAGTTCCTGGAAGCAGTGGATAGGATTTGGAAGGTTAGGTTTGGGGGATTGGAAGGGAAGAGTGAGCTGGTTACTGGGGAGGTTTTGAAGGTTCGCGGTTATATGGAGAAGGTGCTGATTGATCTGGATTCTTGTTTGGCTGTGATGAAGTGGAGGGACACGCATGAAGCCTTGAAATTGGTTGGGGAGTATTTGAAGGAGGCCATGGAGGCTATGGGGCCTTCGTTTCTCGAGCTTGTGGCGAGGAAACAGTTGGGGATCGAATGGGGTGAGAATTGTCGTAGTTCTGATGGAGAAGAGCGTCTTTGTGAAGATGGTGGGGATGGGGGAAGGCGAAAGAGTGAAGAAATTCTGAAGATGAAGGATGGGAGTTCTGGTGAAACAGGTGAGGGTTCTAAGGGTCGGGTTGATGGTACAGGGAATGATGAAGAAGAAGAAGAAGAAGAGCATCTTTGTGAGAATGTTGGAGATGGGGCTAAAGGGTCTCACGATGAAGATATTCTGAAGAGGAATGATGTGGAGTCTGGTAAGACAGGAGAGGTTTCTAATGAAGAAGAAAATATTTTTGAGGATCTTGGAGGGGGTGAAGATATGTCGAAGAGGAAGGACGGGGGTTCTGATAAGGCAGGAGAGCGTTCCAAAGGTGGGTTTGATGGCAAAGGGAATGAAGAAGAGCATGTATCTGAGAATGCTGGAGATGGGTCCAAGAGGGCACATGGTGAAGATGGTGGAAATGAGCCAGAGGGTGAAGATATCCTGAAAAGGAAGAAGAGGAAGGACAGAGATTCTGAGAAGATAGGAGAAGAAAATGGCGTGAAGGGGAAGAAGAGGAAGGGTGCAGCTGTTAAACCAATGCATCATCTCCCTCGCCGTAGTGCACCTGCAAAGATTGCTGATTTGGATGTGGAAGAAGCTGCAAGTGACGACCAGTCTGTTCTAGGCAAACCTCTAGCAAAAGAGGTTGTTGATGCAGAACCAAATCAGCCGGGAGCTTGTTTGGAACCTGACTTGGTAACTGCAGCTGCAAATCAAGAGCCTGTGGAGGTGGAAACCCAAACTGGAAAACTGAATATGAATCAAGAGCCAGGAACAAGCACCACAACTGATTTTGCTGATGTGCCACGACCTACAACGGTTAGGAAACTGCCTCCCGGATCTTCACCAAAGAAGCCTATCGACCCCAGCCTGCTTCAGAGGAGGAAGAAGAGGAAGTGGACAGTGGAGGAAGAGACTGCTCTGTACAATGGAGTGCAGCAGTTTGGCGTTGGCTCCTGGAAGGAGATACTCAGTTCCCGGCGCCAGAGCTTCAACAATAGGACCGAGGTTGATCTCAAAGACAAGTGGAGGAACATGACGAGATGGAAGATTGAACGTTGACTGCGGGAACGATTTTGCATATGGGAAAGGGACTATGTAATGATCCTTCTTTTGCTTCTCTGCGCCCTCTCTGCGCCCAGTTGATAGCTCTCAACTTGTTTTGTGGTAAATTTTTGTGCAGATAGAATGTATGTAACTGTGGTTGCAACTGTATAGTCTTATGAGCTCCCACTTGCATCTGGGCTTTATGTTTACTAGCAACTTAGTCCGCGCTCCGCTACGGATTCAGGGGTTGAATTAATTGCAAGTTAGTTTCAATGTGTGTGTTTTTTTATATATATTATAAATAGCCTGTAACATTTCATTAATGCGATGGAGTAATACAGTGTCAATCTATTCAGCAAACTGTGTCGATCTATTCAGCAAGCTCAATGCAGGAAAATGCCTCGTACATAAATAACACAAGAAGACTGAATAAGAGAGCTCTTACCTAGAAACAACCCTAGAGGATGATCTCTTCCCTGGGAACAGTTTACTTCAAAAATTATACATTCTAATTTCAATATCTTCACATACAAAATAAGAAAGCATCTTCGAACGAAATAATGTACCTCGAAAGGAAATTCCTACAAGCAGTTGCCATGGAGATTATCAAAATACCCGAGTTGTTTTCTAAATTAGCTAAAGATCAGTGATCTTGTGCTCCATAACTGTAGGGAGATACTCCTCAAGTGTTCTCCGCAAGAAATTGTCGGGTTCGACTCCACTCAACACCATACGATCATACACTCCCATAGCTTCTCTCAACTTCCCAACCTTGCAATACCCACGAATGAGAATGGTATACGTCACCACATCAGGCAACAATCTCTTGTCCAAAGCATATCTCAACACGCAAGACGCTTCCTCAACCAACCCTATCTTGCAAAGCCCATCGATGATTATGCTGTAACTGACAATATTTGGCACAACCTTGTTCTTCACCATCTCCTCGTAAAGTTCGAATGCACTACCCGTGTTTTGAGCTTTGAAGTAACCGTCGATCAGACAGCTGTAAGTGAACTCATTGGGGTTCGGACCCCGTTCCAACATTGTTGAGAATAATGACACTGCATCATTAAGTCTACCTTCTCTAGAGAGAGCATGGATCAGTATGGTGAAAGTGATGGCATTTGGTCTAGACATTCGGTGGAACAGGCGGAGTGCATCGTCTAGCTTCCTAAGAAAACAGTGGCCGCAGAGCATTGTGTTGTATGTAATGGTATCAGGTTTTGGTCCACAGTTTTGAAGCTGGTCGAACAGATGCGATGCACTGTTCAGTTGGCGCTGTCTGAGAAGCATACTGATCAGAACGTTATATATTGCAATGTCAGCAGATATACCTTTTCTGGACATTAGCTGGTAAATCTTGAATCCAGCAGATGGGTTGTTCAACTTGCAGAATCCATCAATGAGGGTGCAGTAGGTTACAGCATCTGGCTTCAAACCTTTCTTCAGCATTTGAAAGTATAACAGTAATGCCATGTCCAAGTGGTGCGTGTTAGCAACTGCTTTAATGAGAGCGGTGTAGGTGACAACATCTGGTTTCAGACCTAAGATTTCAATCAATTTGCAAACCTTCACTGCACCGGCTAGCCATTTCAATCTGCAGCAACCATCAATTAAGGTGTTCAAGATCAAGACATTTGGTTTCAAGCCTCGTTCCAATGCCTGAAAGAAGAACCTTAAGGCATTCTTTATCTCCCCTCGTTTACACAAGCCATTGATTAGCACATTACAAACAACAACATCAGGTTCGAGTCCAATGCTTTTCATATCCATGTAGAAACGGAAGCCATCGGTTAAATTTCCTGATTTGCATAATCCATCTATCAGACTGCAATAACTGGAAACAGATGGTTCAAATCCATGTTTTGTGATTTTTCCAAAAACACCACAAGCCTCCATGGCCCTATTGCTTTGACACAATCCTTTGATAAGAATACTGTAACTGACCATGTTTGGAGAAATCTCTTCCTTCAGCATTCTCCTATAAACCTCAACAGCCCTTCCCAACTCTCCAGCTCTCACATATGCATCCATAACAGAGCTAAAAACAACAACATCCAATTTGATGTTATGATTCAAAGCTGCTGAGAGAAATCTATTTCCCTCGGCCAGTCTTCCTGCTCTCAATAGACCATCAATAATGATGCTGTACACAATTAGGTCAGGCACCAGTCCCCTGTCTGCCATTGTGTCATAAAGCTGAAATGCTTTGTCCAAATCTCCCTGTTTGCAGCATGCATTAATCAATGTACTAAATGTGATCAAATTCGGCTCTGGACCAGCCATGATCAGTTCATCAAAATATTCATTGGCAATTCCTGTCTTGTTCTGCATGCAGAAATCTTTCAGTAGCTTGTTACACATGACAATATCAAGAGAAACCCCCCTCTGAAGCATGGATTTGTGAAACGCCATACCCATTTCAATTCCACCTTTTCCGATAATCCCAGCCATGACCAATTTATAGAAACTGTAGGAATCCCCATTTGTCAATACACGAAAGTCATGATGGTGATCTAAAATTTTATCCATAAGCTGCAACTCAATCATGCAATCCAAAAGTAGCCAGACCACCTTAGGTGACACTTGAATGCCCTTTTTGCATACATACACAAATAGCTGAACAGCAGTATCAACCATTCCTTTCTGACAACAGCGCTCAATAAAAAATCCATAGAAAGCACTAGTCCTTTCGGGACTGGAATCCTGAAACCCCTCGCAGAGCCGACACCATGTGTCATGATTATTGCCATATTGTTCAATGAACTTGTCAAACACCCTGGAAGCGGGACCAAATAAATGCTTGTGAAGCAAGATTTGGAGAAGTGCACCGAAGGATTGTGGGACATGCGGTGAGTGTAGGATCTGCTCAGTCCATTCAAAGAATTGAATGGCAGTACATGGTTTGGAGTGGAGGGAAATAAGGACGGGTTGCACATCGGAGGGTGCTAATTTGGAAACAAGGTTATGGTTCAGGTGCTTAGGGTTTATTTCCTGGTGAAGGGCATTACATATTTGGTGTATTAGAGTCCTTTGGAGACTGTTAGAGTGAGATGGGAAGGATGAAGAGCAAAGATTGCTAATTGAAAACAAGAAGATGGGGCTTTTAATGCTATACTGTATCTTAGAGGTTATGCCAGAAGAAAAGAACATAGCATTAGCTGATGGTTAAGTTCCATCTCCAAGTTTAAACATGTGATTTCTGGTGCAGGAATCAAGAGGGCAGCATGTGCAGAACTCTTTAATCACTGATTGAGATGACAATCACCAATCCAATATCTTTCTTAATACCTGGCAAATTAAGAAATATAATTTAGATGAAGAAATTAAGAAATTAAACCCCAGGGAATTGTGTTCAGACTAATTAAGTAATTGAACATAACCTCCCTGCTTCCTGGACAAGGAAAACTTTCCTTACTGTTCCAATTGTCAATACCAAGTTGAAAACTAAAACGCATATCCCCTTTCCTTTCCTAGCTAGATTACTAGTCCCATAAGTCAAAAAAGAAGGTTCAGGACATAATCATAAAAAGCATGCAAGTCTGCAACCGCCAATGGAACACTGGCAAGGCAATGCAAAGGGAAAAGGGACTTCACTATGAACCCAAGAACATGAAACCAGAAGTGCGAAACTTTGTACAATACCATAAGGTGAAAACTACAAGCATGTTGAGGGTTCAAATTCAAATCATTCCACTCCCCTTTTGAAAAATGAAATCTTTTTATCAAAACAGCAAGTCAAGAGAACATAAAATACATAGCAATTAGCACGCACATTATCCATATCACTATCCTCTCAGAGGCATATTGTCAAACACTTGGCGCGCCCACCAACCAGTACACAGTTTCGCCCGCTGGGAACTATCCACAAACAGCATGTAACGGAAGAGTCCCCACTACTGAGCACAATCTACAACTAAATGTCAAGTTCACCCATTAAAAACCTACTCTCCTAGCTTCCACTAACAAACTCGGAAGTTTCAGCCCAGAATCGCAGCCGCTTCTCTGTACAACTGCCAGTCATTCGTTCTGTCCAGCAGCGAAAGAAAGAGACGGAGATCACTAACCTGGTCTGCCGAAAGAAGCTAGCGGCCAAACGGAGAAAATGCTGCAGGGAAATATTGCTGCCCTCCGCTCCACGTACGACGGCTCTTCCCCTTTTCTCCATTCCCGTGCTCCAAAACCATTTGTCAAGACTCAAGAGAGAAAAAAAGGACACGTAGCTCAAGACCTCCCGAGGGTATCATAGTAAATCCAACCCTACTTCTACTTAAGCCGTCAAACGTCTGGACTGGAAATTATTATTAAATGGTCACTAAATTTGAACTCACTAGCGAATTTGATACTACCCTTTTCGTTTTACCGAATTATCACCAAAATCTTGATCAGAAATTGACGTACTGAAAACACTTCTCCAGAGTTCTCCTTCCTCTTCAGCCGTTCAATCACTCCGGCTGTCGTCTCCACTCTGCCAGTGAAAGCTATGGCGATGGCGATTTCTTCGCCAGCTCCGAGTGCCTCCCTCTTATTATCTCGTTCCTCCCTTTCAATCTCCTGCTTCGGACAGAACACCAAGTTATCATTGCGCGCCACTCCGACGGCGCTTCCCGCGCTCAAGCATTTCTCTGGTGGGAAGATATCCAGGAGAAACGACGACTGGGTTCGTCGGAATGCGAAGTCTTCCGCTGACCCAGATGCTAATTCCGACGAATTCCCTTCATTAGAAAGCAACGAGCCAGATTCTAGCGGCGAAACCAGTTCACCGTCGTCGTCGTCGTCATCTTCACCAGCTGCCAGCAGCTTCCTTTCTGTCCTCTGCCCTCTTCTCAAGCTTTTCTCTGTGAGTTCTCCCCCCACTTCTGTTCAACAATGTGTTGACTGTAAATTAGAAAGCAGCTGATTTTGAATTTTGCAGAGTGGAGATCCTTCTAAAGATCGCAACTTCACATTGGAGGTGACCCTTTTGTAATTTGCAGGCGTAATAATGTCGATGGTTTCCATTACAAATGATCGAGTAAGTAAACTATCAGGTGATCTTTTCAATCTTTGTTCTCATATAGTAGATGTCGACGTCGTATTTATCGACCTTAGCACGACTTCCATGGGGCTCGAAATCTATAGTCAGACTGAGTTGGGAGGATCAAGAGACTACTGGAGTTCCTCTCAAACCCTTGCAACTCTTTGAATTTGGTAAGATTCACTTCTCCATATATGCATTGAAGTTGGAAAGGTGTTGGGGACTAGCTTGCTTCTTGACGTACTGCGGTCTGAAATCGCCAAAATGTATGGTTTCGAGCAGAAGCGTGCCCGTTTTGCAGGAGGGTTCGAGAGGCCATGACCGAGCTAGATCTTTCTGCAGAGGTCAGTAACTGATGACTTGTTGAAAGGAAAACCGGCTTACCCACATTCATGAGAATGTATAGTAAACATACATAATGCTCTTGAGATGTATCCTGCAGGTGTATCCCTGCCCAAAAGGGTCGAGAAAGCATAGAGAAATCGTCAGAAAACTTGGTGGCAAAGAACAGTTAGTGCTTGATTCCTTCTTGTTGCAGTTTATGACTTTGTTTATCGCAGTTCGTAAGTATTGGTACCACCGTCGAATAGGGCGAATCTTGCTCCATTGGAATTAGTACGCAAATGGAATGTCTAGCCAGGAATGGCCTGTGAAATATAAAACGAATGTGACGACTTCAGATCATTCTCCATGCAGGTTTCCTTTCCTGGTTGACCCAAACACTGGCATTTTAATGTATGAAAGTGGTAAGGGACTCATCCTCCAAGAATCATTAGCCTAAGAGAATCTTTTAACAGCAGCTTTCTTGCTGCTATGTTTCCGGACAGGTGATGTTGTGAAGTACTTGTTCCAGCAGTATGGTCAAGGAAAAAGCCCTTCAATGGGCCTTTTGGAGAGGTACTAACAGCCTAATTAAGTAACCAATCTACTTTCTTGTTTCTGTTGTTTCCTTTTCTAAATTTCTAGCATTATAAGTTGTACGATCTTGCACTTCCAGCACATTGTTGACAGGATGGGTACCAACGATCCTTCGAGCAGGAAGAGGAATGACTCTGTGGGAAAAGGCCAGATCAGAGATGCCATCTATGAAGCTGGAGTTTTTTTCCTACGAGAATAATCCGGTGAGAGAAAACATCACAATGCCATTCATGGTGTTTATGGTGTTCTGTTAGCATTTACAATTTCACGTTTCCTAACAGTATGCAAGAATTGTTCGTGAGGCGCTATGTGAGTTGGAGATTCCATACATCCTTCGCAATGTGGGGTCCGGCTCTAGAAGTACGAAGTCCCTTCTTGATGTATATGGATCTCAAGAGGTGCCATTTTTAGTTGATCCAAACACGGGTGTTCAACTGGGGGATTACAAGAAGATGCTGGTTTACTTGTTTCAGACATATTCAGAACCAGCTACAGAGTCCTAGTGTGTGCTACAGCAAGGCATCTCTATTTTCCGGATTCTTAATACGAAAATTCATCTCTATGGGAAAAAGTTGACTTCAGGAAGATATTCAGATCATAACCACCAAAAGCTACCTAGGAAAGGAATCTTGAGAGTGTTATCAGTAGGGTTGAGTTGCTGAGAGAGTGTAACTTTTTGGCATTTGAAGCTCCATCCATGTACAATAATGATACAATTGACAATTTATGTTTGATTGCGAAAAACTTGAAAGGGTAGAACATCAATTTTTCATACTTGTAGTTCACATAAAAAAATTGGAACTATGCCAAAAGAATACATCCTATAATACAAGTTTGCTTTCTTCTAGTTAGAACAATAGGAGTTAAGATGCTCTGTATACACAAATACCTGAAAACTGTATTCACGTACATGTTTTGATCATCGTTCTAACTCTCAGAAGTTGACGAAGTGGTCAGTGGAATGGACTCTGTCTCGTGTGCTTGTGCGTCCTTGGAAGTATCCCGAGAGGTTTCCTTCTTCAACTTATGGTTGTTATATGCTGCAACACCTGCAATAGCTGCAAATGAAATAATTGAGATCATGAGAGGCGAACTTGAATGAGCAAGATAAGGCAGCCGACAAGTTTACATTCTCACCAATGCCATAGCCAAAAAGGTTTATGATCGTGAGCTTTGTATCAGCGAAAAGGAGTGCAGATAGCAAGACAACCACCCAATCCTTGACAACTCCAGCTACTCGAATGGTCAGTGCGCTCGTATGTGAGATGACGAGGAACACCGATAGGTTGAGTGCAAAAGTGCAGAGAGAGTTGAGCATCAGGATAACAGGCTGGAATTCCCATGTCCCTTGTTCAACCATCCTTGGTCTCTCTAGAAAGATCCATGGGATGAATAAGCAAATGGCACTGCATAAGACAATAGCAATGAAATTGTGATCACTATAGTCTACCAGTGTACTACGCTGGAAAAGAAAACAGTATACATGCCTGCAAGGACTGACGTAGTACATAACAGATATGGGGTTCAACTTCAAGCCCTTCCTCTTCACGAAAATTTCCATGAATATAAGCCGCAAGGCCTCTCCAACAACTCCGCCCATTTGGTAGACAACTCCAATCCAGTTTATATTTATTTCGCCATAAGATGCAACTAGAACCCCAAAGCTTATCACCGACATGATTAGGAACATTCTGCAGCTATTCACTTCCAGTCCTGCGGCTACTCCGAGAACAAAAACAGCTACTGGCACTGAAATTTCACCATAGAAAGAAACCAAGAACCTCTGAATTCAAAACCATGGATTGTCTGTGAAGGAATAGCAAAAGCAGTAAAGGACTAGAACTCAAATAGCCATGATGGAGCACTTACTGATAGCCTTCAGCATCTGAGCAAATGCCACCGAAATATAGAGGTAAGCAGTATTCCCCAGCCAAAGAGTCATTGCAAACATCGCACCAATGGGAATGACTGAGGTCGTGTATCTATCATAAAGTATCACCATTCATTAGATCTCGAACTAGCAGTTACAAGTTATTAATGTAGCAAATGAGGAAACTTCATAACCATAAACCAGAAGTTCCCACTCGAACTTACATTTCTAATGTCATTCCTTCCTCAACCTTCAAAACCTGTAAAAGAGAATCAAAACTGACATTTATGATTGTCCAAGGTCAAAACTTGCCATAACATTCCTGAAGTTTGCAGTACCTTGAAAACTTTGGTGAGAGCAAAGCATAAAACAGATGAGAAGACCATGTGGAGCAGAGTCAATCCAAGAGGATAAGGAAAGTTTATTTCTTTGGATGATAACACCCACTGCAAAGAGAAACATAACCTTAATTAAGATCACCATAAAATCTCCTTGCCGTGCAAAATGCCAATCGATGCACGACTTGAGGAACATTTGAAGTCCAATTACCAGCAATTATAGTGTGTGCATTAATCAAATCTTGCATGTTTATGATTAAGAAGTGAAGCACGAACATCTACTAAATTAAGACAATGTGTATCACTGATAACACGAAGTGCAGCAAGCAACTTGAGCAGCTTGCATCTTCTCAAGCATCCAAACATCACTTGATAAGGTCCACTAGCCCTGTATTCTAATCAGAAGTACTAAACAGTTGCAGTAGAACCTCCAAGTTACCCACCCTCCCCATTCACAAGACTATTATTCTAGCACACGAAGCTCAAGCTACCATTCATCTTCGAGTTCAAGTACCCTACTTTTCATTATGAATTTCTGAATACATCCTTCTGATTGAGCTCGTTGAATCAAATTTGCATGACAGATACAGACATTTCTCAACAGACCAGTAACAGATTTAAGATATCCCCAATCAAAATCCACGAGCCTACTCCAGAAAGTGACAGTAAATAAAGGACTGCCTAAAAACCGAAACTTTCCAACATGGTAGCAATTCCATTTCAGCTAATACAGATTACAGACCAAGGGCACGCCATCCAGAAAACGAGCAATCCAGCTAAATCGACACCCTGACCCAACCAGTCCCAAGATCAGAAATTCTCCACTCGTATTGCCACTTAACCAACACATTTCCCCAGGAAAACACCAAATTAATCTAACGGGTAACGGAGAAAGTGAAAGCTCGCTATCTCGCCGGCCAAAGGCCCCTGCGGCGCGGAAAAGCACGGAGGGATAAAGTAGTAAAACCGATCAGGGGAAATGGAGGAAAAAGGAGGAGGAGGAGGAGGAGAAGGGAAGTAGACGAATTTGACCTTGTTGAAGAAGATCTGGCCGCTGGAGAGAGCTATGTAGAGAAGAATGTAAGCGTAAGTAAGGAAGCCAGCCTTTCTCGGATCCGCCATTATTGCCGCTGAGCAGCTTCTTCTCACTCGTTTTCTTTTCTTCCTTCGCGCTTTTGTTTGGCATTTATCGCCATTGGCCAACGATCCAATTCCAACGGAACGGGATGCGTACCCGATACCAGACCCGCGATAGACCCGACCCGGTTTACTTTACGTGCTACTAAGGTTTTGTATGGATAATATCCCTATAGGTACCAAATTGTTTTCAAAATTGCCATTTACTCAACTTCCATAAATCTTTCAACAATTCAACCTATGAATATCAATGTCATTTCCTTTCTTAAATGTCGTTTAGAAATTTTGCATCATTGAAGTCCATCGCAGTGATCACCGAGATAATCCTCAGAACCCGAGCTAATTGTATTATCGTAAGTATTTTTAACAAGTTAACAACCAGTTATAGTATGTGACATGTATGTCTTCTAGTTTTAGTCTATACCATAAATCGTACAAATTATATTGCAAAATGGTACTCCCCAAATTTATAATTCTTCGAGAAGAGAGGAACATATTAAGCATATCCACTTATATACCTAATGTCCTAATCTCTACTCTACAGCCAAAGTCATCCAAATTATGATAGAGTATATATTTTTCCACGCCAAAATTACACCCAATTAAATTAAAACTAAACAACCATACAAATACATGTATCTATTATTAATCTATATGCTAATCATTTTTTTATATTCAACTTTCCACTATGCTCCCTTGAGACAGCCAATTGAGGAGTGGATATGCATAACTGTTGCCGGTGGTTGATGATAAGTTTTTTTTTTAAATTAATAATAGTATTGTTGCTTAATCATTAATAAATAGCGTTAATTAATAATATTTGTTCTTAATTATCATTCTCCTCTAGTTGACCATTCATGAACGAGCTAGCTAGCGCTAAAAGGGAAAGGGCAATTATAAGGGTCACCGGCCTATATATCTTGCTTATATGGCCTTAATTGTTATATTTCTAAGGAATATTTCCAACATAACCTATCACTCCTTGAGAAGAGACAAGACAAAGGTAAAATTACAACAATAGTTTCTTTTATATATAGATAATAATGTTGGTTACAAAAGTTTGAACCTCATGTATGGTCAATATCTTCAACCCTATACCAACCCTTCATGGGTTGATCCGGATATTGTTGTCGATTATCAAATTTGATTAAGAGAAACACAAAAAAGATAAGAAATCTCGGTGAAAGCTAGAATGATTATTATTAGTTCTCGTCTTGTCGATCCCTGTTGTGTATTATTTTCACATGATGTCTTCGTAAAAACACTTCTTGAAGCTCTCCATGTGATCCTCACGCAAACTTATGGCAACGACCACGGACCCATCGCCATTCTGGCTAGCCATGATCAGGGAGTCGCCATCGAAATCGTGGGAGGCAGGTCCCATGTGGATTTCCTTCCCCCACCCAAAATCCATCCCGAACAACGGCAGCCTCAGCCAGCTGATCACACTGAGGTTCGGGTACTCGAAAAATGGCCCGGGCGACGACCCGAAATCCTGGTACTTCCTCAAGTCGGGCTGCGACTTGAGGAAGTCGATCGCAGAATCCAGAAACTCCCCGTCCACCTTCTCGATCGCCTCCCTGATCTTCCTGGCCGCGTACTTCAACGGCCTCGTCGTGAGCTCTCCCGACAGGGCGAGAGCCTTCACGTCGAGGATCGCGTTCCCAAAGTACCCTCTCGGCAGTGGCGGGCTCGTCCTGCTCCTCGAGTCCACCGAAACGCCCAGAGCAGTCGGCTGCTCTGGGCTCAGGTCGCGTGCCTTGCACGTGCACTTCCACACGTGCGCGGTCAACGTCTCGTACGTCGAGTACGGACGTTGTTGTTCTCCTCCTCCCTCATGGTTCACCATGTCTTTCAACATGGCCACCTTGGTCTTGGCCAGCTTGAACGTCCTCACCACGTTTTTTGATCCTTCGTCGTCCTCGCCGCCTCCCTGTTCGATTTTCTGATAGCTCAACACATCGGACAGGAGCCCCGGAGGGCGGTCGAACTCGGTGTGAACGAACTTGGGCTGCCCTCCAGGAGGCATCCCGGCTCGAAGCACGGTCCTATCCAGAAACGGCATCGTTTTTATCGGCTCCCCTCGGGCAATCCTCGCCCACTCCGAAAAGAAATGGAGAGCACTCAGACCATCCACAACAAGATGAGAAATACTAAAACTCAAACTGATCCCACCGCACTGGTATCTAGTCAACTGAAGGAGCAACAATGGCCATTCATGGACGGGGAGCCCGTCGTAATCGAGCTCAGGGACGAGCGACTCGAGCTCGCGCGAAGGCAAGAACTCGTCCCCGAAATCTTCGAGCCTCCGGTCCGACTCGGCCTCCACGAACCGAACCCCCCGCGCGTTGCACTCCAGCTCGAGCCTCCCGCCGGAGGTGTGGTGCACGCGCCCCGCTAAGGGGTAGAACGGGACGAGGGCGAGGCGGAGGGAGCGGACGAGGGTGGTGAGGATGAGGGAGGGAGTGCCTTCGAGCCATGGTGCGGAGGGTTTGTAGAAGTAGACGGTGGGGACGTGGGTCATGGCGCCGATTTGGTCCCACTCGGCTAGGGCTTGGCGGCCGGTCGGCGTTGGAGCGGCTGGTTGGACCATGAAGGTGTTTGTTATGGTCAGGTTCATTTTCTTGGTGTGGTTCGATGTAGCCATTGGAGGAGAGAAGAGAAGAGATTGTAAGGCAAGAGGAAGTGATTGGTGGAGAATTTGATGTTGTGAATTTGTGATGCTGCGAATGGAAAATGGTGGCATTTATATAAAGGGAATGTCACTTAAGAAATGGAGGGCATGATTATTGGTTGGTATTCTTGTAGAATATTGGAAGGCAGATAAAACGAGGCGTTTTGGTGTGGGTTTAGATAGAATATTAAGTTTAGATATATGAACTTATATATAAATACGTCTTTGCTTGAATTATTAGTTAGGTTTCAATTTTTTTTTTATAATAATATTGGATCCCAATTAGTGACAAAAATATTTGTGTGTACACAACAGGTGAATGAATCTTAATTGTTTGTTTTTATGAACCACAGGTGAATGAATCCTACTAAATGATTGATAAATCTATTATTCGGATTGTGTTGCCTACTATAACCCAACATGGCAACATATAAACCATTCAAGTTTTGTACCTCCAAGATGTAAACCAATTAAGATAGTTTATTAGCATAATTCAATTAGTTGTTTGATAATATTAACACACAAAAAAAACTTACATTTGATACCAAAACTTAGTTTAGTATAATCCATTGTTGTTGAAAGACTTCAATAATTAACATGAGAGTTAAGTTTTACAATGATTTAAGTCGAATAGATTTGATGGTTGATACTAATTGTAGCCAAAGGATCAAATGCATAGCAATGTTTGTCTGTAATTAAATCTACCCTTTTAATTTTATGTCGAATAGACCTAATGTTTGATATTGAATGACTTTTAATCGATTTTATATTCTTGGTAAATTAGATTATAAAAAAATGCACAAAAAAATGAAATCTACAAGTAAATTTTTTATATACCGCCGTCTGCCACTTCACCGCTATTATGGTATACTAATATGTACCTTCAGAAAATATTTTCATACTAACATAAATAATAATTTGTATCACTGGATATATAATGATATGCCATGGTAAAGGTTTCTCCAATTAGCGTGTTCTTATGATGCAATTTCTTACATAAAAAATTAAATGTCACTTTATAAAACATAACTAATCAAATATTTTAACGAAAAAATTTTTTGAAATCCAAATTAAAATTAATAGATATAATGGGTCAAAAAACTGATGAAATCATAGTTATACGTGGTCCATAACTTGATCATTCCATTCCCCTTATATTTTCAAAGACTGGGCAAGCTTGTCTAACACCAAAAAATGTGTGCTCTACCACGAAAAAAAATGTCAAATATAAAACAAACCCAATCTCCATAAAAGGAAAGAGGCGAAAAAAGTGAAGTCAACTATATTCCGGTATTAAAAAAAAAAAGATACAGTCAACTGTATTCCAACTGGGAAACAAAGCCGGATCCCTTGTTCCGTAATTGAGATAAAAATTAGGCTTGCATATATTAACAATCTACACATAATATAATACACCGAAGGGAAAAACGGGAGCCCAATTTCAAATTTTCTGCAACGAGAGTGAAAGTAGGAAGGACATTTTGGTCTTCACAATTACTTTTTTTTATTCATTAAAAAAGTATGTACTAGGATTTGAACCATGACCATTTTAAAGAAAGACAAGGATCATAACCAATCACACTAAGTACATTTGTTGTATCCTTTTAAATTAAAAACATATAATAGCAGGGTGGAAAAAACTCTTCCCCCATTTCAAATTCCCTGTTCCATGAGCGTTTGTAGGAAGGGTAAAATAGGGAGTGTCAATTTTTTCTCTTTCCTCTATGGAACGGGCCAACTTACCGTACACATGCGGATTTAAACGAGTCAAGGAGTGTCAATTTTTTTCTTTATACCCTTTTATTTATCCGTGGTGATAAAATATAAATGAAAAGGCAAAAATAATACTCCTTTTTATTGTTAAAAATAAAAAATTTAAAAATAGACTAATGCATGGTATCTAATGGGCTAACCGCTAACCATAAAATAAAAGAGTTGAATGGGCCTAACCTACATGGGATTTGGTCATCAAGTAAAACAAATGAACATCATGGGTTTGCCATTCTAAAACAAGCTATTTTCTCTAGCATAATATATATTATGCTATTATTTTATATCTTAGTGGCTAAAATATAATGTATTTTAAAGTTATTCAATGGTTCAACCTCGACCAACCCAATTAGTCCAATTTTTATCATTTCAAATATATATTTTATAATTATTTGACATCATAATGATCAAATTATAGTGTATTTTATAGGGAATCGTTTGGTATTTGTTAGTAAAAAAGTAAACATAAAAATCTATTTGGTTATTTTAAACATTAAAATGATCCTCAACATTTTCAGTTCCTTTTGAATTTATATGGTTTTATTCCCGAATAAGTGATGTGCAAATGGCGAATTGTAGTCGTCTTTTTTCTTTCACTATTTTTTTATTTTCAAATAGAAAGTTTAAAAGTAAAGAATAATTAGAATTTGGCATGGGTCGGTCAAACAGGTTGAATTTCAAGTTTTGGCCCATTTGTTTTATGCATTGCAAATTTATTAGCATGTTGATGGAAATGGCTTGGAAAAAAGACATATAAGTTGTATCTTTGCAGAAATGTCCTCAAATGTTTGAATGCTTTGTGAATCAGGTTCTGTGACTTTTGTGATGGTGTATGTGCTTGACGATTGCTCGATTTTGTAACTACTTAATTTAAGAGTAAATCTTTTGACTTTCCCTATGAGTTGTGATACTAGTTCTGGTGGTTGCAGCATGTTGTCGTTGTTGGCCTGTAAAAGTTGTTCCGCCGTGATGCTAAATACCTTTCTTTCTTTTTTAACAAATTGTGTAGTAGTGCTATGAAACAGATCACCCATGAACGCTACGCTTATTATGTTCTGTTCTTACTTCCGGTGGTGAGAAATTGTGAATTGAGAATCATATTCGCCTACCGCACTGTGTCTGGTTGGTGGCTGCTTACTGTGCTCTCTAGAGTTATGAAACAGACTACCCATGAACTTTACCCTTAAGAGTCCACAACTCTGCGAAAAACCAAATATAGGCAATCAAAGGTGGTGGATGTGTGATGATTTTTTATGGCTTAATTGTTTGTGAGTTAGATATCTGATCTTTGTATGATTAGAGGGGATGTTTGCTTAATAGAATAATCCATTTTAATTCATGTTTATTTTTAACATGAACTTTAGTAACTCAAAACCTTTGAGACACATATCACCTACTGCATTGTATCATTTTGCCTGGGTGCTTGCTGTGTTGTCAAACTTCTTTGCTGCTGATGCATTTACACTATCAGGGGAGTTAAGAACCCATGAATGTTTCCGTTTGACACAAACAAGAGGACTTACTTCTAAATCGTGCACTAAAGATGATTGAAGGAAACATCTCTGTTGCAGTTGATACACTGGAGACCATAACAAAAGCAACGTATAACATCAAAACCAACCATCTGAACTATTAGCATTGTTGCTTTACTCTTTTGTCGTGGTTGAGTCTCCTTCAAAAAATTTAGTTTGATTTTAGAAAATTTTGCTTCTGCAATCCTGTCTTGCCACCAACGCGTTCAGTAGATGGAGATGGCAGAGGCGAAGGCTATTTTGTGTTGTTGTTGCTGGTTTAGGGATCGGTTTGTGAAGAAGAGGGAGAAGAGAGGGGGAAAGGGAAATGCATGAGAGGGGGATAACTCTTTTCTCCGACAAAAATGGAGTGAAGAAAGGAATTATGATCAGTAAGGATATGGTTATCTTACATAACTGTGTCTATTCTGTTTGAATTGAGCTTGGGAGGTAGTGATAAGGACGAGCTGCAACCAATTCATAGTGATAAGAGTGCTATGAACTGTGATCATGTCTTATTTCAAGTTAGAAGGTAGTTTCAGTATAAGGATTATTTAATTTGACAAGTTGTTTCGTCCATGATTCTTGGTAGTTTCAGTGCCATTCTAGCCATTGTTTAGTCTGTAATTTTTGAGAATTGATGTGCGAGTAATGACTTTCACTTAGCTTCAACTATTATGTGTGTATTTATTGGCATGTGATAGAATTCTCTTTTCCTTTTCTTTGAATTCAGTTTCATACTCTAATTGTATCATTTGTACATAGGCAAATCATGCTCGAGATGACAACTCGCTGATATGGCTGGTGCAAGGAATGAAGCCATCATTAAAATTCAGACCGACAACGGGGAGGGTTGCCCAGGACTAATTCAATGATGATTGATGATGGTATGATAAAAACTGCAGTCTGCATCAGCACCAATTTCTAGGCCTAAGTAAAGTTATTCAACCCAGAACTCTGCTTAGCGCTAAAAATTGCCCTCACCCAACCTTTATCCTGTTTGACCCACTTCTGAAGAGTCAAGATATATTACTAATTCTCTCCGTTCGTATTTTCTTATTGGCTCTTTCTGACCCTTTAGGTTGGGGCGGGTCGGGAAGAATCGGATTAGTGGGCCGGTCCTAATCAAGTGGAATCCCAATCCCTTCACTCTCACTTGCTTTCTTCCCATTCCACAAGTGGGTAACATACAGTAATCCGGCCAACGGGCCGGGTAATAAGCTAGTTGAGAAGTTTTATATTTTAACGGTGTGCATGCACGATTCCACGAATCACTTTGGTTGAAGCTCATTCATACAGCTTAGCCCACGTCTATTTACAAAAGGAAAGTTACAGTAGCAGAACTGTCCGGCGCCGGCCGAAGTAGTTTGTTGGTATTGTAAGAGAAAGTCGTCGTCGGCAGCATTTTTCAAGGGGTACAGTATATAGTCGGGAATTGGGGTTTTGGGAGTAGGGTTTAGTTGAGTAGTTGACTTTACTCTCTTTGTATTAACTACTTTGTGTATATTAAATTATTAACAACGTAATCACATACTGTGTACCGATAACCTCAAAGAAAACAAATCGTTAGGTAATATTAGGATGGCTATACGGTCCGATTCGGTTAAATTGGTCCGAATTGATCTGGTCTCGGTCCGGTCTTTTCGGGAATATAAGGACCAAAGATTGGATTGGATACAGTCCGGTCTTAATTTGATCTTGATTTTAGATTGAGCTTGTGGGGATTTGAGTGGCTTGCTGAGGTCTCAAAACTCAAAGGGTGAGGAGTTGGTTAAGTTCTGGGTGTTGGGGTCTCTAATCCGGTTTTCGATCCGGTCCCAAACAGTTTTTTATCTCAAATCTAAGCCCGAATATGAGATTGGATTGTTTGCTATCCGGTCCCGATCCGGGTTATACAATCCGGTTTCGAGTAAAACCAAACAGTCCGGACCAAATAGCCAGTCTTATAACGTAACGTGACAGATCAGTTCGACAGGTTCGTTGGCTCCATCGCAGTATGACAACATTCTCCACACACATATTACAACCGCATGATTATTCTCTTGGTCACCGTCAAGAACCGCCAGCTCTTATTCCTCAACACAGGATCCAACGATCATTCGGTCTGATTTCGGAGTCGCTTGATTTGCTTGAGAAACTAAGAAGACCAAAACACGTACAACCACATGCATGTGGTACAATTTACTACGTGTGCGTTATCATATGATCTAAGCTAACACACAACCATATGGTAGAATTCCCTACCCACTTCAAGTCATCCACGGAAATGGTCTAAGCTAACACGTACAACCACATGCATGTGGTACAATTTGTGGGTATCTCGTCGAGAAAAGTTAAAGCTATGGCTATGAAAGTGCGTTTTGCCTTAAAAGAAAAATAATGGAAATATTTTTTTATGTTTTCATTAAAACTCCAAAAAAAACTATAATATGATAAATATAATTAAATTGTGTTAGAGAAATTGAAATTTTCATCTATTTACGACTTCGTTAATTTTTTTTATGAATGATGAAAATTTTATAAGAAACTAACCAATCCAAGAAACAAATGATACAAAGGTTAAAAACAAAAGGCGATCACATCTCAACCAGCAGTAGAGCGAGCAAGCAACGGAAGGGAAGGGAAGGGGAAAAAACAAAACAAAACAAAATCAAGCAATGAAAAAAAACAACCAACTCCAGAACAAAGAGAAGAAAGAAATTAGTAAGGGTGAAATGAGGTGCTTCGTCTCGAACGCCGCCATCCACTGGTGGAAGAGTCTATATGACATCCGACTAAAACTTCGCAACCATCGTCCAACCATAACTAAAATATATAGCGCGACGCGGGTGGCTGATCCCGCCCGGAAATCACCGGTGTGGTCCCCAGAACAAATGGAGCAGGCAGTGGAACCCGCGTTGTGCGGCATCGAACGTCGAGTATAAGTACGGTTTTTTCTTCTTCTCGCCGTCGTTGTTGTCTTTCAGTCGTCTGATGCGAGAGATCTGGTGTTCGAAAAGCGCGGTGATGCAACGGGCGGCTTGAAGGCGGATCAATTCTCTCGCGACCCATGGCGGCGGCGGGCAGGTTTTGGCGTTTTGCGCCTAGTGTTCAGAGATGCCAGAAAGGCTTCACGTCTTCCGGGTCGCCGGGGTTGGGCCCCACTCCCTCAGCGGCGGCGGCGGCGTACTGATCTTCATCATCTTCTTCTTCTTCTTCACAACACCACCTGTACGTTGCGGCCATGTGGAAGAATTCCCAGAATACAGCAAAAATTATACATAATTCCCTGAATACATAAGTTTTATAAAATTTTCCCAAACTACCCAAGTTTCAAAGGGTTCGAGTTTATGGGACTCGAACTACTCACCAGTTCGACGATAAAAAAACTCGAACTAAAAGCGGATCGACTTTTAAACACTCGATCAACAGTGGTTCGACTTTGGAGGACTCGAACAACTATGATCGATCACAAGGGACTCGATCTCAGTAGATCGAGTATGGAAAACTCGACCAAGTAAGATCGACATCTAAAACCTCGATGTAGTGCAACGACTTTAACGCACTCGATCTTAGTCTGGACTAGATCGAGGCCTTAAGACTCAAACTACTGGCCCACAGACATGCTTCAGGATAGGGTTGCAGGGATAAGATTTTTGTTGTCATAGATCGAGTTTTAGGGACTCGAACTAGTGTAGTTCGATTACACTAAACTCGAACTACTTGCTCAATCATTCTGTCCAGTCGCTTTCTATCCGACATGCGCCAGAATAGGGCGCAGGGGGGGGGAATTATTGGTCGACATAGATCGAGTTTAATGAACTCGAACTAGTGTAGTTCGAGTGTATTGGACTCGAACCACTCCATCAGTTTACGATAAATAAAAGCCATCACTTAGCACTTTCTGGCAGCACTCTTCCTTTCTATCTTCTTTCTTCCAAACACAAACTGCAGCTACTGGAGCACCATAGCTGAGCAAAGAAGAAAAATTTTGGAGGTAAGTTCTGCTTACTTTGTTTGAATGAGCATATTAGAATTTTAGATTAATTTAGTATTGTTTGTACTGTATGTAATGAGCTGCTTGTATGAACTGCAGAAATGGGTAGAAAATTTCGAAAATTCGACTTAAAGATTCGGTGGAATGGTCGAATTACACACTTTCATGATAGTATTGACTACGAAGATGGTGAATCAAGTATTGTCCGGATTGAGAGCATATTTACTTGGCAAGAACTCAGTCATATTTGTGTTGAACGATGTTGCATAGCAGGGCGAAGAGTATGCAAGATGACTTACCGTATGCCGGTTTACAAGGATTATGCACTTGTATATGAAGGATCAGTTTTGTCTGACGATGATGACATTAATATGATGGTGAGATTTATTGCAGAGAACAGATTTCCAAGTGCTGAGGTGTATGTCGAAACAGAAGTTTTTGGCCAATATGGTGGCGGCGGTTATACCGAACACGGTGAAGGATCGGGAGGGTTTTCCGGTTCAGGAGATTTCAGAGTGCGGCATGATGCACCATGGCCAACATACGAGGATCGAACTGCAACTGGTCCATTGGTGGAACATGACGGACAGGAGTGGCCAGTATGGAGTGAAGAATGGGATTACATAAGGGCACCCAGACAGTCACCTAGACAAGCATCTACACCAGCATCTGGCAAGTTTCTGTAGAAAAAAAAACATTAATTATTATACAAAAAAATTAGAAGAATACTATCACATTAAATAAAAAGTACATGAGGAAGTGCCTACCGGATCTGCCGCCCAAACACTTTCAGACCGATGGTAAGGTTGCTCATCCAACAAATCGGTTTCTCGCAGTCCACCTTGAATGTATAATCTAGGATCGTAAATACTCGGATCCATCTCGACAATTTTGAGTGATAGAAGTACCAAACTAAAGAAAAAAAATCTGATGCGGAAGATCGGGCTTAGCCGCAACCACAGAGCATATTTTTTTCTTCAAGAGTGGTGGGAGGACGAGAGGAAGAAGAATGGAGAGTGGTGTGAGTTTTGGTGGAATATGAGGGGGGTATTTATAGGTTCTGTGGGAGAGTGGATCGAGTTTACAAAACTCGAACTAGTGCATCGGTTTTTGGGCACTCGATCCGCGTCAAAAGCAGTTCGTGGTTAGGCGCATCGAACGAAAGAGATCGAGCTTAGGGTAATCGATCAACGGTTGATCGAGCTTGACATCAGCGATCCGCGTCAAATTGATCGATTAAATGAAAATCGATCCACTACATCGAGTTTCACGCACTCGATCCGCGTCATCCCTGCTTCGCGGGTTTGACAGTCGAACGGCCTAGATCGAGTTTAGACCACTCGATCAACGGTGGGGCGCGCCTCACGTCATCGATCCGCGTCAATTGGATCGATTAGGGCTGACTCGATCCACTTACCTCGAGTTTACCGCACTCGATCCGGGTCATCACTGCTTCGCTGGTTGAGCAATCGAACGACCCTGATCGCGTCCTGGTACATCGATCAATGGTGGAGCGCTGCCCAGCTCATCGATCCACTTCATGTAGTTCGAGTTTGCCATCCTCGATTCACGTGGATCGTGTTTTCGGCAGTCGATCCGGCAAAACTCGAACTGTGTCAAACTTTGGTAGTTTGGGAATTCTTTTTAAAAGTTCGGTATTCTGAGAATTTTTTTTAATTATTACTGTATTTAGGGAATTAATCCTCTTCAAGCTAACTCCCTTCGGTGATGGGCGAAGGAAAGTCCTGCTGTAGTACGTTTGTTATACTCGAGCGAAGAATAGCTGGGCTGGGCTGCGATGAAATGGGCCGGGCTACGGTTGCTGAAGAACGAGTGGATTTGCACTATAGTGCTCTGGCGTTGCAGAATGTTGGTGTGACGGAGGACGAGAAGCTGGAAATAGTAACGACTCGTCACGAAACCAAGACGCTGCCTGAGCTTCAAGATGACGGTAATTATCCGAGTGACGAAGCAGGAGGAGGAAGAAGTAGTAGTAGCTGTAATGTTATGCCGACATTATATTGCTGGATGAGAAGATTACATCGCAGAAATCACAGCTTAATAAACAACCGAGATTAATTAATATCAGTAATGGAGATTCGTTTTTTTTCTAAAAGATAATCGTATATATTGATTTAAACAATAGATCATTACATCATTGTATTTAATCGGGCCATAAAATCAAAGAAACGACATGTAGTCGGCTACAATGAAAGGGTCTTTCTAGCATGCTAAAGGAAACCGTACCGGACATCATACCGGATTCCTTTCTGGTAGGGTATTTTGTGGTAGGATCGTGGTTCAATCGTTTCGTACCGGTAAATACCGTTTTTGTAATAATAAAATATATTTTTTGTCCAAAAACCGTGTTGGCAAAATCAGAGTACCGTCTCGGAGTAATACCGGATGTATCGGGATATACCGGACAATAAATGAAAAAAATACAAGTAGTTAGCAAATTATTAGAAAAAAAGAAGAAATTTTAAACAATAATTATTTTTTATAAAAAACTTTCCAAGAATTTAAATATTTAACAAAATGACGGTGGCAAGGGGGTAATTATGCAAAAACAAGTGAGTCATTTGGTTATTTTCGGAAATACAATATAACGAGACTCTTGACTGACGTCGCTAACCGCTTGATGGGTGTGGTTGTGGCGCCACGAAACCGATATTGATACCGAGATACCCACCCTTTTGACCCATTGCCATTCCTTTTGGTTTGGTAGCATTATGAAAGAAAAAAAAAAGGATTACCATAGACAATTTCCTTTTTATTATTACATTACCGTAGACGATTTTCATTGATCCATCAGCAGTGATTCTTAAATTCAGAAATGGTTTAATGACATCAAATGCTCAACAAACAAAAATCAGGAGCCCAATAGAATAGGCCAATAAACCCAAAGTAACTTCACATGAGAAGGCTGACAAACAAAATCACGAGCCCAATTAATCGGCCCATAGGTTTAACATTAGCACCCTCGTTAGTGAACCGTAAAAGTGATTTAGATTTATATATATTAATTAACTAGCCTATAGCCCGGCCCGTTGGCCGCATTTGTTTAAGGAAATGGAGTTACAATATCTATAATGATAGTGTCGAGAAATGAGTCTTGTTTTATATTATCATAAGATTGTTGCAATTTTGCAATTCGTTGAAGACGAACATGTAATATGAATGAACATTTATAATAAGTTAGAAATACATTTGAAGATTACCTAATCACAATGAAAATACTTACATGAAATTTTACTAATCACAAATCTAATCTAGTTGAGTATTACGACAAATAACATGCAAGTCCAAAATAAGAAAACTCAATACATTGTCTCATTGTTCATGACATGGTACTCAATTCAACAAAGGCAAAAATAATTTCACCAACACAAGTTCACAATAACCAAATGCATCGTTCCAGGGACCGACTGTGACCATGACTTCAAATGTCTGTTCTCCAAGCATGTTCAGAAGGGCCATATAGTCAGCATTGACAACATATGCATGACTGAATACAGATTCAACAATCGTTCGTAACTGTGATGACGGGAAGACGATGTCAACACCAATGAATTCGTCCTCAATTGTGAGGTGGACGAAATGGATTCTGGATGCAGGGGACCAGGACGTCGTCAAATTCGTTACACGTCCGGATAACAAAGAAGAGGTGCCCTGATGTAAACACAGAAACGAATATTGTCAAAGCAAATCGATAAAATGCAGCATGCCACAAAAGGCGTACGATTAAAAAGAATTTTATTTGTTTAGTTACCTGATTTTCGGCATCCACTTGCAACATAATGAGATCGATGGTGTCGGCACGCTCACAAATTTCAAGAGCATCATCATATTGCAGATTAGCAATAAAACCATGGGGAAGCCTATATATTGGACTGTAAGTTTTGGCATTAAGTAGTGAAAAAGAATCGAAATTACATGATGTAGTATTTGTTGGATGCATGAGCAGTACTTACTGATTGAATTGAGGCAGGCCCGCCATATTGAATGCAATTCGCACGGTCAATGGAACCGAAGTGTTTTGTATGGGAAGTAGTAAACGGAAATTGTAACATGAGAGAAAGTGGTATCTCCATTATATAAAGGAGAGAAAGTAATTCTACACACGTGATTTACTTGGCCGCATTCAGTGGAGTACGTGTGTGTGTGGAAAGTGGGATAGTGGGGGAGTGGAGAAGGATTTGTGGCCTCGTGGGGGAGTGGAGAAGGTTGGCCATTTAGAGTTCAAGAGGCGGGTGTGTCACGGAACTCACGACCCACCTTTTTTTTTTTTTAGGGGAACGACCCACCTTCTTAAAATCAAACATGCGCCTTCCTTTTATTTTGTTGCAATTAAAAATTCAAAAACAAAAGAAGGTAAGTACAGGATAAAATATAAAGAGAAGAAAAATCAGTTCACTTTTCCCAAAAAAGACCTAGCAGCCGCCCAAATTATGCTTTTTCAGTTTTAATAATTCTCACTTTATTCTTTTATCTCTAATAAGTGAAACAATAATTGTAAAAAAAAAAAAATTGTTAAGTCTACCAAGTAAGTCAACACCGGTTTATGATCGGTTTTTAATATCGATTAACCACCGGTTATTTGATAAACCTTGAACCCTTTACTAATCCGGATCGATGTCCGGTTCCGTTTTAACAACATTGCTAATTGCGACTGTGTCAACAATTCTTGTCCAAAATTGCCTCTCAAAGTTGCTAATTATTATTTGATGCGCCAACCCGGCCGGGCCGGCCCACACCACCACTAATTAACATGAAATGAAAACCATAATGAATGTATTTAATAAAGAAATAATGGCTTGGAATGCGGCAGCCTTCACCTCATAGAAGATCCAAAAAAATCGGATACTGGGCAGTAGAGGAGGTGGGGGAGTGGGGGAGTGGAGAAGGATCCGCCCAAGGTAGTGTAGGTTGACCTTTTTTTTTATGGGAATAGGTTGGCCATTTAGTTTCAACAAATCCGGCTGGGCATTCCCTCTCTAACTATATTTTATTTAACTGAACCATGCTTGGGTTGTTTTGTGGGCTGGGTTGTGGTGTTAATTTAGTTTAGTTCAGTTGCGACTATGGAAGTTCTTCTTCGTATTCCAATATAACGGTCACACTCGCATACCCTTCGGTAGAGTAAATTGAGGTACAATTAAATATAAAGTAGTGTGCATAAATCACATTTCATATAATTAGCTGTTAAAATCAGGAAAATAATTTGGACAAATTGAGAACTCAAGATTCAAATTGTAACGACCGGATAAATTTGACAGTCTTAGTCCTCAAATCGAATAAAACATAATACATCAATAAACCACTACTCAAAAATCTCAGTGAACACAATGTTCTGCATAGTCTTCACCGGTTTACCTTGAGAGTCACAGCTAAGAATCTTGAGTCCCCTTTCCGACGTAACTCCACATAGCAACATACAACTGTCCATGAGAAAATACTTGTCTTTGCAAGCAGATGCCAACGTGATTTAATGTTTGACCTTGACTCTTGTTAATTGTCATTGCATATGACAGTGCAATTGGATATTGCCTTCGAACCAGAGTGAAATTTAAGCTCTTGTAGTGGACCGATAGACTTAGGCGTGGTAAGAAAACTGTATCACCAACATGTGTCCCGGTCAAAATTTGGACCTCAATAAACCACTTACCTAATCTCTTAATGATCATCCGAGTTCCATTGCAAAGCCCAGTACTCTGATCCAGATTTCGAAGCAGAATAACAGGGCACCCCAACTTCAATTTCAACTCATGTTCCGGAAAATTCCCAATCTTTAAAGAGTTCAAGAATTCAACTGTGTAGTCCCCTTCTTCAACATGCTGATTCTTGGCATCAATCTCTAGCGAATCCGAACTAAAATAAGAAACTTCTTCACCAGGAAATAGACCCAATACATAATTGTTAATGGCCGCAACAGTGTCATTATGAGGGGCTAAGATAGCTCGCTCAACCAAATAGGTTGACATATTTTCAGTGGAGAGTAACTGACCATATATTTCAGCAACAATATCAGGAATTGGATCACTGCGACGGGGAACACAAATGTGTAGAGGTATCGGGATAATTGATTCTCCAAAAATATTACTATTTGTAGCATCACCAATTTCCAAAAGCCATTTGCTAAAATTTGAGATTGCTAACCTGGCCGATGCTTCAGAATGAGGCAATTTTAATCGGATGTTCTCGGTTAGCTTCAATACTGTCATAGACCGCCACAAATAAGATCTCTTTATGGAAGAATTAACAATTTCAATCCGTGTACCCTTCGTGATGATAGGTAACGTCTGTCGGAAATCACCTCCAAACACAATAGTCATACCTCCAAAAGGCTTCAACTCAGAATCAACATGCTTAACTCGGAAAATATCCCTCAATGTCCTATCTAGGGCCTCTATGTTGTGTTTATGAGCCATCGGTGCCTCATCCCAGATAATAAGTGAAGCATTGAGAATCAATTCAGCTACCTCAGAACCTTGCTCAATATTGCAAGTTGATTTTGTATCACAATCCAGGGGAATGTGAAATCTTGAGTGTGCAGTTCTTCCACCGACCATGAGCAGTGCAGCAATACCAGATGAAGCAACACATAATACTATCCTCTTCTCAAATCTTAATTTCTCACAAATTGCTCGCCACAGAAATGTCTTACCAGTACCCCCAAATCCATCCACAAAAAAGCATTTACCCTCATTGGTATAAACAGAATGTAATACCATATCGTAAGCGATTTGTTGTTCTCCATTCAACGGTCTACTATGTCGATCCTCAGAACAGTCTAAGTCATCGGGTCCATAATTCATCTCCATATATATCAGCCTGTTTACCGTATGTGAACGCAAACACTGATCGGGAACAGGCAACCCAGGGAAATCTGCTAATGACTTCGAAAATCTCTCCATCAATTTGTCAATATGAATAAGGCACAACTCCTTAATTTCATCCTCCGACAAATTCAACTGGGGTAAATTCAGCTCTCTACGTCGTGAATGCAAAATGCCTTCACTTAGTAATTCCCAATTCTTTAACCAAAAAGAAGTCACATCAGCCACCTGACAATGAATAAGAATTGTGACAAAAAGTTTTCTAAGTTTATAACCAGAAGCCCAGTGCGAAGCTTCTTGGACACAATCATTCCATTCAGAATCTCCTGATAACAGTCCCCGAGCATAACATGCTTTTTGGAATGTTTCATATACCACCCCATTCACCGTTCTAATATCATCATAAGAACAACAACCCCTAACAACATGCAATAGCATTCGCAAATAGTATCGCTCCTTTGCGGATGGGTAGCAGTAATATAATCTAGCAATGCAGGTACCTTTTTTGCGCTGCTGCCACTTCTTGTATTTTTTATTCCATACATAATATTGTGGCATCTCCGCAAAGGTATATTTCCGTGCATCCATTGATTGAAGATTGAGATCCATCCATGCTAACAACATTGAGGTTTGGGAACTGCTAGACTCAACCGCTTCCTCCACGTTAGAATCAACATTTGAATACACTGTATTCTCACCAGGCAAATGACAGGACATACGCAGTACTGTTGGAGAGTGAGTGTATATATCAAACCTAAAAATTCTCCAACATGCTTCTCCCGATGTGATGTAACGGACATCCATGAATGCCTTTATCTCATCGATTTGCACAACCGTAGTTCCACGATTCCGACCATCCATAGCCGAAGCTGTTTGTTGTGCAGATACAGTGACCATTGCACGATCCTCGGGTTTGTTGATGTACTTAAACAAATATTTCACATCCCTATAGAAACATCAAATAAAACCAAGTTGTAGATGTTAGATAGGGAAGTAGGAAAAAGTTGTATTACATTTTTTCTTAAAAGTTGTATTAAATAAGAAATCAAAGTACAGAGAACAAAAGGCAACAAATGGATCACAATAGCTTATCCAAGGGGCAAAAAAAAAAATGAAGGAAAACACACCAAAAAATATTACAAAAATTACAGAGTTGCGGCAAGAAGTCATACCAATAAGATAACACTGGGTTTATAAAATAACTAATAAAAAAAGAGAAATCGCACAAATATTGGTTTGGTTTTTATTCATCTTTGGAAATTAAATCATAATTCATATGCATGCATAAAGTTAATAATGAGTGTAGCATATAAATATACATATAGCCTGTCATTAAGAATCTGAGTTTGGTAATATAATAAAGGAAACAACAACGTCATATAGATAAATACGATTTACTTCAGCCATACCTTGTCTTGTTACAATATTCAATATTGATATGCGCTCCAAATCGTAGTAACAAATATCGATTGTAGGGTACAACCCATCGATTATCCAGATCAACGCCGCCACAGTTGAAAACTCTACCATTGTTCCGCCGACGATATTTAGCAAACCCAGTTTCATCAACAGTTGTTTGAGAAGAGTATTCCTTGGGGTAATGCTTACTACATTTCCCATTCTTCATGCACACATTATTAGGACGTACTGTACCACACGGGCCATGCATCATTGAACTTGTGACAACTGCATACAGTTCAGGATCAAGATCAGGATCCAGAATTTCAGCACATATTATGGAATCAATAGCCGCAGGACCATGAAATTTATTCTCCGAGGCCAAAAAAAGCAATATGTGTGCATGAGGGAGACCCCGCTTTTGCCATTCAATTGCTTTGACATCTGTACAGCAAGATGCAAATAGTGGAAACGGAATATTAGTTCAATGAGGTAAGAGAGTAATGGATGAACATTAATAGATAAATAACGAATGAATAAGCACACATACATGCATTGATTTTCCCAAATATTTGTTTCTCGCGAATCTCTAACATAAACTCATCAAGCTTGATTTTGAAAACTCTGGCGGTGATGTCAGCCCGGTCAGGATCTTTGCCACTGTACCTTCTAATCAAATCAACCATTAACTGTATCTCTGGCCAGTTAGAATTGCAAGTGAATGTTATAAACAAATCAGGATAACCAATCCACTTGCAAATAGCCATCGCATCCTGAAAATTCTCATACTTGTATCTTGGACTACCAGTGTGTGAGGCAGCTAAAATAACTGGCTTCCCAGAAAGCTTGATATCACTATCCCCTCGCAAATAAGAATTCAACAAATCCTTGTAGTAGTGTCCTCTTAGCTTCGACTGATGGGTACGCATCCAGTCTAAGCGTTCAGCCTCAATTAACGCAAATGCATTCATCATATATTGTTGAAACAATTTACCAGATAATAACAAAGAATTCGACTCCTGGAGACGGGTTTGAAGACGATATGCATAGAAATCACACTGGGTTATCATTTTATCTCCAACACTGATATTAGAGCTACTGTGACTATAGCTAATGCAAGGATGCCACCCATCCTCGCCATATGGGAATAAAATTGGATATTGTAATGCCATTAGACTTGGATGGTATACGCTAATCCTTTCCATTTCTGAACCCTTCTGTTGAACAATTATATCTGGAGAAAATGATTGCTCTCCTGTTTCATCTACAATCAATGCTGCAATCTCATTCGCAGAGGGCAAATCATATTCTCTACTATTAATTTCACGCTTAGCCAATAGTTTCAGTTGAAGCTCCTGGACACCAGAGTTTTGTATCCTATCTCGCGCAGAACGAAATGTACGTACCAGGATATTATTGTCATCAAACATATGCTGGAGGCCTTCAACAATACACTGGCGCAACGGATTCTTGGCAGGATCAGTGGAGTAAAAGTCCATACGATTCTGCACCTCGTTATCTGAATCGTGAATGTAAAGCTGTGCAAATTTCGGACTATCCCCATCACCAGGAACCAAACATCCTATTCGATGATAAATCTGACCACCGATTGAATATACATAAACTCCACGACCATCATTAATAGAGTGATTGACTTTACCTCCGAGAGAAATAAAGCAAAAAATCCCATTATAGGCTTTGATGTTAGTACGAAAGTGACGTGCTAATGGTGTATCCCCTTCAAGTAGAGTTTTAAGAAATTCGGGCACATCTCTGCGGGGAGGCAATTTCACTTTACCATGTTTGCAACATAAAGGAAATGCAGGCAACACATCATTCCGTGTAGATAAAGTACTCTCGAACCGCCACATAACTGCTCCACAATGTTGACACGTACATGAAGGTGGACCAATATCAAAAAATTCAACCAACGGAAGACCTAGTGAAATAGATAAGTAATATTAATAAATTTTTGTCACAGTAATTCATAAATTGAATGAGATTGAGAAACTGTGAAGCCGATTTAGGCGCGCTACAGTAAACACAATTATTAAAATAAATGTTCTCAAGGCAAGATAGATTGGTATACCGCTCATTTTAAGTAAGAATAAGTCAAATTTCAGGAAACACCAAAGTTTGTTCATAACACACAAATTTTCCGTTGACACATCAACATCTAAAAACAATCCACTATTTGCATAAGGTGACATGAAGCGTACATCACTAAATTATATGCATGGCATAAATGGGTACATTATATGTTGTAAAACCAAAATAGGAAACAAAATATGTTGACCAGAACACAAAAACATATATCCAATGTACAAAAACTAAACCAAAATAGAGATGAACCATTTCATGTATAATAGTGGCCATTAGAATCCACATACTTTGATTGACTTCTGTAGGAAAGAAACTTCGGCCACGTCTCTTTCTATGCAGATGAATACGTCGAAGTAATCGACTTTGCTTTTGTAATAGAAATCTAAACTCCGGCTCCAAAACTATGAACAACACCAAAACACATACGATATTAAAGAAATAAATAAAGATTCAACAATCTAGAATAGCCTAATTTGTAAGACTTGCTACAAAATTTAGCAAACAACAACCTTGGTGTTCAAAAGGCAAGCCCCTCCTATGAACCTTCTCTTTCAAAATATGATGTCTTCTCTTACGGGCGACTTGGGATAGTATTCGCCGAAGTTGAGAGAGTTGGAATTGTAAGGCAGCTTCTTCTGCAGAATTTAAATATAAAACCATGTATTACTCATTGAATAGATGAACTAATTAGAAAAATTAAAACACAGATAACACACCTCTCTCAAATGCTTCTTCCTCTTCAGCAGATAAAACACAGCGTTGGTACTGATCTTCAGGATGAATAAACACTGCTCGACGTTTCCCTAAAAAAAATGAGATTCAAGGGAAAATATTAATGTCAGTTTGCATTGAAGCAGTTGCGTGCTAAACCATGACACTCACATGGTACAGACGATCGATAAATCTGTGGTTGGGCAGATGTGATGACATTTGCACTATTCATATTAAATTCTCCAATAACCTGATGCAATCTGAAATAGAGGCCGTGGTAAATGATGCACCCGTTCCAGTAAATTTTGCAGCTGTCATTCATATAAATTAATTAATTGTTAAACAGAAGTTGAACTCCTCACCAATTATAAGTTTGTGCGAGTTAATGACACATACAACACACCACACAAACATAACAGTCGAAGAAAAATATAACTATATAAGGCATAATTTAAATTGATGAACAAAACACATATAACAGAATGGCTTCCAAGCTTGGGGATGCAAAGTAAGAGCGAGAAGGACAACAATGTAATGACCAACACAAATATAATTCAAAGGCATCCATAAAAACCATATCCAAAGAGAAGTTTGAAAAAGAAGCAAGCTGGCAATAAGAAAAGCACTATAAGTGCTTACCAATTCTAGTTCTTCTAACTATACCAAGCTTATCCCTTCTTTCAATTATGCAGTTTACGCTTTGTACTTTTAGCACAAATGGATTCCAACTCTAATGTCACAATACAAATACAATGCAAATGAAGTTGAAGAACAATAAAACAAACTAATGGAGTGAGATAAAACTGTCCAATGATCTTATGTAATAACGGGAAAAAGCCTGGTAGAACCAATACACTAACCAGTGGAGCATGCTTATCAATACCGCCTACTTTATACTTCTTTAGTGATTAGAGCTGAAAGTACATTATCAGATCATAGCCAGTCCCATTAGATTAATTAACCTAGAAACATATGAGAGAAAACCTTACTGATCAAGTTGGATTTCGACATTTACCTGCAACAGAGTTAACATCAGAAAGTAAATTGATTATGTCTCATACGTGGTGGCGGGTGGGGGACGGCGCGCCAAATTTCGTCGGCGATGGGCTGGTTCTGAACTCAAGTAGGCTGGGCCTCTGAAGTATGGGCTGGCGAGAGAAATGGATCCCCGAGGCCTTATGGTTTACGCTTTCCTTTTCCCCCGCCAGGCCAGCGGTAGTTTATAGCCGGCCCTTCGGTTTACTGACCCGGAAAACGACCCGGACGAAGTACCTGGCTGCCGCCGCCGAACGTCTCTTTCTTTCCTCTTCTTTCTCTGCGGCTCGGAAAAACTCAGCTCAAAATCGGCAGTCGGTTGCTCTCTGGAAGACAGTCTAAGCGAAGTGGAATTTAAAGTAAGCAGCTTTGTTACTTTCAAGAGAAAGGGAAAAATAAAAAATCCCCTTTTGATCTCTAGAGAATCCAATCAACAGAATGAAGCGAGGAAGGTAAGAGAGAATAAAGAAAACGGAATGAACCAAAGGTAAGGGAGATGAATCTTTGCAACCGAATCCCTGGAAAAAGAAACCCAGAACCCGAATCCCTAAAACTTAAAAGCAGCGACAACAACAAACAGAAATATGAAAGAGGATGAATAACTTACGGCAAAACCAATACCGATCTAACGCTTAGAGAACGGAAATCAAAGGTAGATGCAAGCACATAAAAGAACCAGATGATTGAGTCAAGGTTTGGTTTTCTGAAGGCCAAGAAACTTATTCGAATGAGGTGAAAGAGTGGAAGGAAGGGAAATCGGAAATAAAAAATACAAATTAAATGAGAACGTGGGCCTGGAAGGAGAAAAAAGTGGGTAGTGGAGAGTTTTTTATACAAATTAAATGAGAACGTGGGCCTGGAAGGAGAAAAAAGTGGGTAGTGGAGAGTTTTTTGGTTCTGAAATCAGGCGGGACTCTTTTTTTCCCGCTTAACACTCTGCCACATCAGCTTCCTAAAATCACTCTAAGGGCAGGAAATTTTGAATGGGGGTTGCAGTTTTACTTTTCAGCTATAAATTATACTGTTGATGATAGTGAGAGGGTGAGCAAGGAACCTAGCTGCCTCTTCAGTCTTCACCTCGTTCTCTTCTTCCTCTCTCATTCTGCAAGAAAAAAAAATACCCAGAAACAAAAGCTCAGACCAAGTCCCAACCTTCCATCTTTTATCCCTTTTTTTGTGCATCTTTAACAAAAACGACGGAGGAAGAATAGAACCTTCTTCTCCTTCTCCTTCCTTGCTCGATTTACTCCTCCCGTTCTGTCTCTTCCCTCGATTTACTCCGCCAACTTACATCGTCGATGAGAAATAGAACCATAACCACCAAACCGACCATAAAAGCGTCGATCTATTTTCGTCTCCTCTTTCTTCGTCGCTTCATCTCCTTCCTCCTTGTTCCTCTATTGATTTACTCGTCCCTGTCTCCAAGAAATCGAATCAGGCCCCTGAGAGCCAAGGACCATACCGCGGCGTTTCGAAACTGGCTAATTTTTTTTCAATATGCTTCACTGACCGGTCAGACCAATACCGGCCGATATTTCGCGGTTTGACGGTTTGACAACAAAAACCGACCGGTGTGGTATTTTGGGCACTGTGACTACCGTTTCGGCCAGACTCCGGTTTCCGGTATATCCGGTTCGACCGGCCGGCACGGCACGGTTTCCTGTACCATGCTTTCTAGCCACCAATGGGCTACCATATTACTACTCCGACCTACAAATCGAACATTAAGCCAGTGTGGATAGCCAAATAGCACACGACTTCCAACCTGATTTACTTTATCAATGATCACTTTGGCATCCCCTTCCAACCTCGTCTCCATAAAGCCCATTCTCCATACACCAGAGAATGGCCTCCCGAAGAACGAGGAGCTCGACCACCATAGGATCATCAATATCAGCAAATTGCACCCCTTTCGCCAAAAGAATCATCCCACATTGGTTCATTAGACCATCTCCATCGCTGCAATAGGATAGGAATTTCATAAGTGGACCCTACAGCCACATTAGCAACTTTAGCAATTATTCACTTCAACCATTTCAAACCACCTACATCCCTGCAATAGGTTAGCAATTGCAATTGATGGGACCAAGTACATATTTTTTACTTTAACAATACTTTTACATAATAGATAATAGACTTTTGAAAATTCAATAAACATAATATATAGCATACACCAAAAAGAAATAAAGAAAAATTACATAAAGAAATGCAAAAAGACAAAACAAAATACAATAATTGAAATTGAAATTAAAAAAAATACTAAATTACTCGTGATGTTCATCATTAAGTTTTGTGCATGATCTTCATCATTGACTATACATCTTTATAATAAATTTTCATGTTCAATATAATTAAAATATAATTTATGATTTATAATTTATTAACAACTTAAACAAATCATAAGCACAAGAATATTAAGTTTAACAATTTGTGTGTTCAAAGTGAGTAGAAAAGAAAGAAAGAAAAAAAAAAGAAAGATTTTGAGTGCATAAATGTGTGGGTCCAATTGTCTATGTGGCATTGCAAGAGGGATTGCTTATTTAGCAATCTTGCTAAATAAGAAATAAGTCTCACATCCTTGCAATTGTTTAAAGTCATTGCCACATAGGATCCCACCCAATAAGCAATTGCAATAAACAATTGGATGGAGATGGTCTTATAATCATTCCCCCTGTTGAGTGGGATCCACTATTAATTGGGCCATCCCACATGCAAATAACTGAAGTAGGGGTCCCACCATCGAAAATAATTTGCTTGTGTGACAGACAAATGCATCACGGTGTCAACCAGCAAACTAATCCACTCCTGATATTGCTGATGAAATTGCCACATTAAAACTGAGAACCCAAATTGTTTGCCCTCGAAGACTATATTCACATTTGTACTTGTTCTTTTTGTGGGTGTTTTACAGAGATATCTTTACCACCCAATAATAATAACCAATTAATCTCTCGTCACGAATGATTTGCACGAAGCAATAGTTATATATCTCATACTAATACACTAAACTAAATAGATCCATGACCATGACACTACCAAGTACCCTGTCAAGGATGAACACCCCATAACCAACTAGTGTATGTTTGGAACAATTGGGGAACTTTTTTTAATTGTATGAAATATTATATATTTTTGGCGCCTAACATATACATGCAATTTATTTATACATGGATTATGCAATACGTCTGAGATTTCCTCCCACATTATTTACATTCATATATATTATTATTGCAACATTTTCTAACAACTCCTTGTTATTTTATTTTTAATTGATTTGTGCCCTTTTATTTTGTTTCTTTTTTTGTGCAAAGTCTTCCATCCCTACCAACAGATATGCCCTATTCCATGTGGAAACAAGAATACATGCCCATGTGGGATCTTCATCAACCTCTCCAACTACTACTTCACATTTTCCCTTAAGGAAAAAGCTTAGTTTACTTGAAGTAGTTAAGTGATGGAAACATAGATTAGGAAGTGATTAACAACAGGATTAGAGAAAGAGATGAGCCACCAAACCATGATCATGATGTTATGTTCTGCCAACAACCAAAGGCCTTTGAGTTGTCTTTGGTTTGCTTCCCTGTCCCCATCAACAACTCCTTGTGACCTCCAAATCTCTGCCACGTTAATCTTTGCTTTACTTCGAAGGAGAGGTAAAAACCAGATTTTTAACCATTTTCTTACATGCTAAATCCAATTTATAAGTTTGAAGTTTGTATATCTGTTATACTATGTATATTAAGACAACAATTAATATTCATGGTCTTGAGAAGTTGAGCACGTGAGCTCAATGACAAACCAAATATGATACCGTTTCATAATCCAACTGGTCTCAAAAAGTTGAATTGTTGAGAAAATAATAACTTCAATACTAATATCCACCTCATTTTTTTAAAAATAAGTCAATTATTCCAACATGTTGAAAAAGATCAATATATCATATTAAGTGATTTTGTATAAAATAAATACATCTCGTACCATGAATTAGACTTCATCCTGCAATTTTTACTATTAATTATTTCCCTTAAGTTGAAATTTTTTTTTTACACATTATAGTAACTTTATAAAACCCATAAATTTTATTATTACTAAAATCATATCTCACATTTGACATATATCCAAACTTTATTCTTCATAAATTCAATTTTCTTCCTTTTCCTTAAAAATAAAAGATATTGTCGCGACTTTCTATGGATCGAGAAATCGAAGGATCGACAAAGCAAAAAAAAAAAAAAAAGCAAGAAACAAACAAGACACACGGATTTACATGGTTTACTAACACAATGTGTGTTAGCTAGTTCACGGACATGAAAGAGACAATTTCACTATAGTTCGAGAACATACAAATTACAAATAGGTATGTGAAAATATTTATAGCACTTCTCCATATGATCTAACTCTAATCCAATCTGAAAAAAGAATAATGTTACAATCAAGTTTTCTTAACTTATATTCGTAACCCGATAATCCGATTCAAATCTAAATCTCCATTAATCAGTATTGTGAGTTACGGCAGAACTGCAACGGTACCTTTACCGTAACAATAGTGCCTGTCTTACATCTGGCACGATCGTCTCCTCTCTATCTCATCATTTCCCGCTGCAACAGCCACCACTTCAAAACGAAAGGAAGAACCTTCCTAAACCCATAAATACCGCAACTCTGTCAGTCGTCCCTTTCCCCTGCTCCAACTTCCAAACCACCAAACGTCTCTTCTTCTTCTTCCTCTTCCCCAATTCCCTCTCTCTCTCTCTCTCTCTCTCCGAAACAATGAGGCCGTCCAAAACCCAGCAATCCGCCATCAACGCCAAGCTGATCTTCACCTCCTTCTTCCTCCTCTGCATCCTCTGCCTCATCCTCTGGTCCACCTTCTCCTCCCCCACCAACCCCGCCGCAACACCCGCTTCCACCCACGTGACCTCCGATTCCCAATTCGACGATCAATCCACCAAACCCTCCTGCCCTGAAATCACTTCCTCCTCCTCCGCCGCCGCCACCTGCTCGAAAGCGCCGCCGTCGCTGGCCAACGCTCTGGTCCACTACGCCACCACCAACATCACCCCGCAACAAACATTCAAAGAAGTCTCCGTCTCCCTCCGCGTCCTCAACTCAAAATCCCCCGCCAATTTCCTCGTCTTCGGCCTCGGCCACGACAGCCTGATGTGGGCGTCGCTCAATTACGGCGGCCGGACGGTTTTCCTCGAGGAGGACAAATCATGGATCGAGCAGATCCAGGGGAAGATTCCTTCCCTCGAGGCCTACCACGTCACCTACGACACGAAAGTTCACCAGGCCGGCGGGCTGATGGAGGCAGGGATCGGAGACGGCGAGTGCAAAACGGTGTCAGATCCGAGGGAGTCCAAGTGCCAGCTGGCGCTGAAGGGTTTCCCGGCGGAGATTTACGAGATTGATTGGGATTTGATTATGGTGGACGCGCCTACAGGGTATCACGATGAGGCGCCGGGGAGGATGACGGCGATTTATACGGCCGGGTTGATTGCGAGGAACAAGGAGGCAGGGGAGACGGAGGTTTTTGTTCACGATGTGGATCGGACGGTGGAGGATCGGTTCTCCAAGGCGTTTTTGTGTGAGGGTTACTTGACGGAGCAGGAAGGGAGGTTGAGGAGGTTCACGGTGCCCAGCCACCGCGCTCGCCCCGGCCGGCCGTTCTGCCCTTGATCGGAGAAACAGAGTACAGAGAAAACAGGGGCGAGGAATTTGTTTTGTTTTTTTTTTCCATTTTAAATCGAGTTGGTAATAAACTATATTCTCTTGTGGATGGGAAATGGATGTTTGGACTTTGGATTAGCATATTGATATTCAACATTAGTTTTTAACGATTTCAATATACTTTATTTTCAATTAAGTTCGTATTAGGCGATCGTGTTTGACTAACTCGTTCTGATATGTTCGTAAGATGAATTGTTGCTTATACATTATGAACGAGGTTTCTCTTGGACCAATTTTTTGGGGCAATTTTGTCATGATGTGTAGATTTGAAGCTTTAAGTTTAAGTTTAGAACTTCTATTCATGATTGGGTTTAACGTGAGGAATACTCTACCTTGCTTTGAGAGGAAGTCACATACCTAAGCATGGGTGTTGGTTCACTGATTTGATTTATGTACTCAACAAACATATATTTGAATATGATACAGAAATAGACAGCCTAACTTTTTTATATTTCTTGTTTTATTTTGGAGGGTCACTACTCATTATCACATACAATATTCATCCCATTACCCACAATATTCAAATCGTTCATTCACTCACTTCGTCCAGCCATTCCCATAGGAATCGAGGACCAGGGATGGAAATGGGTCGAGAATAGATCGAGGACCTAATGAGTAGGGATGGAAATGGGTCGGGGCGTGGCAGATAGTGCATATATGTTAACCTACCTAAAGTAGTTCAGGTTTTACTTTTACCCATATCGTTCATATCGATATAAGAAATGTACAGAAAATCAAAACCATTCCCATACCCATTCGGGTTTCGGGTATCCACAGTTACCCATGTGTAATAATAACTCAAACCAGGGTTTCGGGTATCCACAATTACCCATGTGTAATCATAACTCCAACCAATATGTTAATATTCACACGTATACTCACATTATATAAGAGGAAAAGTACGACAATAAATCACTAGACTGAAGAAAATTAATTACAACAACACAATTTCATGAAAATGTTACATTTTTATGCTAATATAAAATATGCTAGAGAAAAATAATGATTATTTCTAGACAAAATACATATGCATATGTATAATCGAGCGGGTTCCGGTTGGATAGTGAGAAAACCATGCCCACCCATTATCGCAATATTCGGGTTCGGGTTTTACCCGTGGCCACTAAATGTCCTTCGAGTTTGGGTTTTACCCCAATCCGATTAGGTCGAATTCGAGCGGATATCCACAGTTACACATATTTTTGCCATCCCTATTCCCTACTAATGAGAAAGCTCTTTTGCGATCCACGAAGAACCCTTCGCCCACATTACGTGTCTTCCTGACAATGATAAATAATTGTGGCAGACACTCTAGAAACCTGGGTAAATTGCAAGGTTCGTCACTATGATTATTAAAAACGTTCACGTTTGGTCACTAAAAATATTTAATTTCATTCGTGCTCACTAAAATTAGTTAAACAGTTCAAGTTTGGTCACTCTCCGTCCAACTCCGTTAACTTTTGCTTATGTGGCGGTCAACTCTAAGAGTTGACCGTTAAATGTGTGACATGGAAAATACAAAATAATAAAATAATATTTAAAGAATGCCACGTGTATCTCCCGAAATTTAAAATAATAATTAAAACTCTTTATATTGGGCATCGAGAAATAGTACTAGCCGGACAATATATATATCTTCCTACCGGCGCCGGTTATATATAGATAATTTTATGCGTGGGAAGATAGAGTGTCGGAGTCTCGACGCCGAATCCAACTCCATCGTTTCAAACATTTCCCTGGAGATGTTGGATTCTCGTGTGTAAGCGTATGCCCCGCCGGCCGCCGGGGTGAATCGATAAGAAAGGGTTCACGCCGCGGAGGAACTTGGTCGGTGGAGCACCACAAAGAATGACGAACGATGGCAGCGGAGGCAGAGGCGCCGCAAGGAACGACGACAGTCTACAGATGGAAGGGTAAATCGTGGCTTAGACAGATGATTGAACGAGCGGGTGTCGATAACCTGAAATTTACTTGTCGAGGATCGGAATTGGCGCTGACATAGGGATTTCATTCCATAAAGAGTTTTGTATTGAAATAATTCAAAACGTGTAATTTGGTGATTGGGGCGGCCACCCATCTCCATTCCCTGTTTCTCAAGCTCCAGCCACCACGGCCGACGAGGATTACGAAGCCCGACTGCTGCTGCTCGCCAAGGCTCAAATCTCTGTGGAAGACCCAAATCCGGTTGCGGTAACAACCGGTGACGACGCAGGGGAAGGAATGCAATGGAGCAACTACCCTTACCGCAAGGCGGGGATCTCTTTTATCATTTGGCCTGCTTCTAACACGGTGTCATTTGGTTCTGCTTCTAGTGCCAATCCTCCAGCTGTGCTGAAGGACAAGGAGGAGATGAATGGAAATCTGGTGGCAATCATTTGAGCCATGGGATGACAAGGAGCTGGACCACCGTCATCTCCGCCACCACACCACTGACGTCGTCGTCGTTCTAGTGGAATTAGAATGGTCGAGGCTCTGACTCCTGTTGGAGGAGGAATCAAATAATTATCCCTCGTCTGAATTGACACACCGGGAAGCACCGTAGCAGCTGCGTGGTCAAAAGGAGGCAATATGGAGTGGCGGTGGCGGAATTGCTGTAGCGGAGGAGACCGACGATTTGTGTCTATGTGGGCAAAGTTCATTATTTTAATTTTTAATTTAATATTTTGAATTGTTAGAAAATGAGGTGTAAAATTTAAAAATTTAAATTTATTTATTTATTATTTTTATAATGCCATGTCACACATTTAACGGTCAACTTTTAGAGTTGACTGCCACATAAGTAAAAGTTAACGGAGTTGGACGGAGGGTGACCCAACTTGAATTGTTTAATTAATTTTAGTGACTACAAATGGAATTAAATATTTTTAGTGACCAAACGTGAACGTTTTTAATAATCACAGTGACTAACCTTGCAATTTAGCCCTAGAAACCTAGGTTGATTGTAGTTGCCAATGTACCAATAACCAAGTACAAGTGAAGTACAAACGACCTAAAACATATGAGTCTACGCTTGGAGTGGGCGATGAACAAAAGAACTACCTAACCGAATTGGAAAAGCTAGCTGAAATGCTAGGGACTCAAAATACTTAGGGCTTCCTACTGTGGTTGGTATGAGAAAGAAGTCAGTCTTCAGCTACTTGGTGGACATGACAGGGTAAGGAGGAAAGTGAAAATGTGAAAGAGCAAAATTCTCTCTAATGCCGCTACGGAAGTTTTGATAAAATCCGTAGCACAGGCCCAGACCAACTTAGTTATGCTGCTCACAACATAAATTGTGAGTAGATACTCACACGGTGGATCTATTGTCCACGAGGGCGAGACTTAGATGGCGTCGGTTTGGGTTGAGGAAGGTGAGTCGGTTTGGGTCGGCTGGCCAAGCCAACGATTGACCCACCACAAATTCAAAAACCACAAATTCTTTCCCCAGGTCAGTTTCTCCGCCAGAACCACTTTCCCCTCTCTCCCGCTTTTCCCCTCTCTCTCACTTTCCTCCTCTCACGAACACGACGAAGAAGCAGCGATTTCACGGCGACCACCAGCGAAGCGGCGGCGACGGACCTGCGAAGCGGCGGCGATGGGTGCAGCGTAGCGGTGGTTGGTTTCGGCGGCGGCGACGAGGGTCCAGACTAATCTGCGGCGACGAAGGGCGGGGTTTCGACGGCGACGAAGGCCGGGGTTTCACGATGACGAAGCTTGTGTTGACGGCGGCGACTTTGCAGACGAATCGGCGACGACGAAGGGCGGGGTTTCACGGCGACGAAGTAGCGGCGGTTGGTTTGACGACGGTCGTTGAAGAAAGAACTACTTTGTGGACTAAGGTAACTGTCTTATTTATTCTGTTCGGCAAGATATGCATTCTGTTCCTTCTGGATATCCGTTGTTTATTGCCTGGGTTGTTGTTTGATGTATCTTGATATTGGTTTTGTTTGAGCATGATATCAGTTATGACTTTCTTGGATAGTTGTTTGATAGGATCTGCACAAGAAGCAGCTCGAGGTCAAAGCAAGGCGAGGTACAGATTTCGGTGCACTCTAAATCTCTGCTACATGTTATAATCTGTTTTGTGTGCGTTCCGATATTATTTATTTTGATTCTGGATATTCATTGTGCTTTGCTTGGATTATTTCTTTGATATATCTGGATATCCATTGTGTTTTGCTTGGATTGTTTCTTTGATATATCTGGATATTGGTTTTTACTCAACATGATATGGGTTCTGACTTGCCTGGATAATTGTTTGTTATATCTAGATATTGGTTTTTAATCAGCATGATATCAGTTGTGACTTGCCTGGATAATTGTTTGATATATCTGGATATTGGTTTTTATTAGAATGATATCATTTGTCACTTGCCTGGATAATTGTTTGATATATCTGGATATTGGTTTTTGATCAGAATGATATCATTTGTGACTTGCCTGGATAATTGTTTGATATATCTGGATATTGGTTTTTGATCAGCATGATATCAGTTGTGACTTGCCTGGATAATTGTTTGATATATCTGGATATTGGTTTTTGGTCAGCATGATATCAGTTGTGATTTCCCTGGATAATTGTTTGATATATCTGGATATTGGTTTTTAACCAGCATGATATCTGTTGTGAATTGCCTGGATAATTGTTTGATATATCTGGATATTTGTACGTGCAGGGATAAAATGAACGTGAAGAGACAGCGACGAAATCCACCGCCGTCACCACCGTCACAGCGCACGTACGTGCACAAGGAGTAAAGACCTTTAGATAGGGTTCAGTTTTCAAATACTGATTTTGTATCCGATTGAAGATGTTAGGAGTAAAGACCTTTGCCGCATGTTGTAGGAACGGGCTATCCTCCATCATAATATAAGCTGAATCGCTATTCGTCGCCCTAAATTTTAAAAAATTTCGCCCTAAACAATATTGAATTGACGTTAAACACCCGGCCCACCAGACCATTGCCCGCCGCCGCTGCCGTTCCCCAACCCCACGGCAACTCCCATTCCACCGACCCACCATCGTTCTATCTCCCTTACGGCCTTACCTCCTTGCATTGAAAAAAATCTAACAGTTGAACAAATACAATGAGATTGCACATACCACCTAACATAACTACGCCAATGAATTGGCTCATCCTTCTCCTTTAAAGTTCTCGCTCTCAATTCTACTCGTGGTTGAGCAGGACGAACGCGACGGCGAGTTCAGCGGCAAGGCGCGACTCGTTGCTCTTGATGATGCTTCGAGGTTGGATTTTGCGCGGCCCTTAAGTTGAGAGAGAGAAAGAGGCTCGATCGCCGGCGAGTTGGGATCAGCGGACGCCAGAAGGAAGACAATGACCCGCGAAGTTTTTTTTCTCGACGAAGACAAAAAAAAATTAAGGGTATTAGAGTAAATTCAATCTATTTAGGGCGACGAATAAGGAGTTTTAGGGCGACGAATAGCAATCCCCAATATAAAGAACCGATTGTTTCCCATTGTAGTCTGACTCAGTCTCCTTGCGTCTTTTTTCAGCCAACAAACTACATTTACAAAGCACGAGAAAGAGTTTAGTGCCCAGACTAATATCCACTCAAACCAATACTAATATCCCAACTAAACAAAGTAATATTTAACAATAGCATATAAATATCCGGACAACACTGACAAATATCCAAAATTTAAGTAGACTAATATCAAAGAAAGGCAAAGAAATATTCTGCGTACCTGCTAAAGTGAATGAAAAACAAGTCCAAATCATTTTCAAGAAAAGTCGCACTTGTGCATTGCACGACTCGCTGGCTTGCGTAGTCAACATCCCGACTGTGAATTGATCTCTCAACCATAAGGAACGTCATCGACGACGAAAACCTACAAACATCCCTGCACAAGACAACTATTAATGACAATGCATAACTGAACGAGTGTCGAAAAACCTTAAGGGAATTAGGAATTGATATTATGCCAACACATGTCAACAAATATCTGTAAAACCCAGACTAGTATCTCATAATGTCATACCAATATTCGTCCTTTTACAAAAACATATCCTGTCAGGCCATGTCAATATCGGCCCAAAAAACTGTTTTATGAGCCTTCGGCTCATGGGCCCTCGGCGAGCAGCCCTTATTAGGCTGCAAGCCACCAGACCCGAATTGTTCTTTCATATTCAACTTCCCGCCCGAAATTTCAGGCCGCCCCCACCAGACCAGAATTATTCCTTCTTTCTCCAACTTCCCGCCCAAAATTTCGGGCCGCCCAAAAACTGCCCACTTCCTCAGCCCAAAATTTCGGCTCGCCCAAAAAAGTGCCCACGGCCTCCCTCCTCTCAGTGAGTATCTACTCACACTTTATTCTGTGAGCAGTTTAACTTTTGCGGGCCCAGGCAATCTATGTCATGTCTCTATTCCTATTGCGAGAGGGTATCGTTGAAGTAATCCAGAAAATTATTACTAATTTCTGGTAGGGACAGAATGTACGTGGGCACCGAGCCGGTGATTCTGGACCCAATAAAATTTCAACATTATCATTCTTGTTGAGTCTTTATGTTACCAAACAACTCCATTATTTAAACCATTTTTCAGACAATCATGTTATCTGACCCCAATAAAATTTCAAAATGGGTTAATATACACTCCAATTAGCTATTATGTAAAGAGAGGAAGATATTGAAGTTGTTTGGTAACATAAATTTCAGGAGTAGAATTGTTAGTGCACACAAAGTTTTGTGACCATTCCTGTAATTCACCCACTGTTATCATCTCCTCTGCTTCGGTCTTCATTTAATTCTTATCTCGCTGCCGTTCTGGAACTCGGAAGAAGAAAAACCCAGCAACTTCGTCAGCCGCGAATTCCATAAAAGAAGATGGCGAAGGGAAAGAAAGAGCTGCTTTCGAAAGCGCCGTGGAGAGGGGACGACGACGACGGCGAGGCCGACAAGTTCAAAGACGCTAAGCTCAAGGTCACCAAGCAACCTGGCTCCGACGCCAAAATGCACCTTCCTCGAAGGAAAAACGGCCGCCCTTCCGACTACGATGAAGACGATGACCAGCTCGAGATTGACCCGGAGCTTCGTTACAGCTTTCACCGTAATTATCAGGTCCAATTGGAAATTCCGCCCTTTCAATTTTGAGCTATAGCTGTGTTATTGAGTACTTTCTGGGTTCAATTTTAGTTCAAATGGAAGTGGATTCCGGAATCACTAAATGGGTCTTTCAGGGTAGCTGCTCAATTGAGGAAAGCTTGCTGCTTTTCTGCATTTCTATGGGTGTGATTCGATTAAGGGAGGGATTGTCTAGGTCTTCTGCATTTCTGCTGCTTGATTCGATTCGTGGAGCTTTCTAATTATGATGGGAACTGGCTTTGGTCTGCAACTTAGCTATGTTCATGTTGTGTGGTTTTTTTGCAGTTCCTTCAGAGAGTATTTAGCATTGACACAATAGTGAAGCCACTCCCTCCTGCCATGGCTTACAATGCCTCCCGTAACTTGAGCTTCTTCACTCGCATCTTCACTCAGTTCTTTGGTAAGTCTTGCTTTCATATATTACACATTGACCATGGTAAAGAAGATAGTGTGTTGATCCTGGTAGTTCTTCACTTGCCTGGCAACACCATTAACCTCTTCAAAATTGGTACTGGACTGATGATAAGATCGAACTAAGCCCTGCTTCTGGGATTAAGCTCTGATTTACAACCACTCTCAACTAGTTGGGGGGGATAGATTTTGGTGAAAGACAGCACCTTTGTTACTATTTTGTGCGATGGAAAGAGTTGCTTGCTTGATTATAACTTAGGGTATGACATTGTCCACTAAGGGTGATCAACATGAACTGGGTTTTGGATGAGATTGTGATCTGTCAATCACATCGATGCGATTTTGGGGTTTTAGTATAAGCATATCTTTAGTTTCTGAAAGAGTTTGATGTTGATGATCATGAAGGTGAAACTTGTTGTAATTTGCAGACCCTGAAGGTATTGCAAATGCGCAGAAGTCACTTGGGTTAGGCCAAGAAGAGAAAGCTCGCAACGTCCGTTGACAAGTGCGCTCTATTATCTTCCAGTATTCCCTCTGTTCACCATCTGTAATTTTCAAGCAAAATTAAGTAGTTCATTTGTGCTCTCAAAGAGGACGGAAGTCCAGAATACTATACTATCAACTTCATGCTTTCTGAACAGAGTTTTAAAAATGTCATGTTCTTCTAGTGCCGGATTGAGATCGGATTCTTCTTGGTGTGAATTCTTGTTCCTTGGCTTTGCCTTTAGTTACCATGAGCAACCCCAGATTTCATTTTGGGTGGGAGGGTACATCTTTCTTGCTATAACCAGGCTCAATGAGAGTTTGAGAGCCATGAATGAGCCAAACATTAGCACTGGTCTGGTTGGGTCTGGAGTTCAACATAGGCTTGTAATCGACTCAAAGCAAAGTAGGGGAGGAGAGTTGATTGAGACCGCCATAGATATGGCTTGGGATGTTATTGGTTTTGGTCGTGTTGATTGCTTGTTCATGGAGTTTTTCTTTATACAGTTGGCTGCAGCTGCACTGCATTAGTTATGCCCCTGGCCCTCTTGCCTATGTATCATTCATTCTCCTAACTATTAAAATCTTTTCAATTAAGATTCATCATTCAAGCTTCATACTCGAATATCGCCTTACCGTTGATCGACTGTTGTATGATTCTATTGGTGATTTTTGTTATTTGTTCGATTGATGAGTAAAAGATAATGGTACCTTCACACCTTGATTTTTTTGTCGGGGTAGACTTTTATCCAATTTTTGCAATAACATTCGACATGCTTTGATTCAACGAATCGGCGGATCGCTGAGGACACCCTCAACATATCGACAACTCTAGTTATTGATAAATGTTGAAAATTATGTAATATAGTATTTTCTTATGCAAGTCTGATAGTAAAAATCCCCTGAAATGAATATGTCATCATTATTTTATATTCTGGTCAAAGGAAAGCTCGTCACCATATTACCTGTAATTCTGATAAGTATGAACAATCTGTGTCCAGCTGTGCTACAAGACAGACATGTATATATGAATATGATACATCTTCAAACCATCATGTTTTATTCTCATATCGTCTTTTATTCATATAATTCGTTTTAAAATAACAATTCTGTCCAAACCAATTTCATTCTATAGTAATTCCGTCCTATTGTACTTTTCCCCACCAAAATTTTCTTCTATTTGGCACATTCCTTCGTCTTAAACGCCACAATTTTGGGTTTCTTTTTTTGCCGTCAATACTCCACTTGAACTGTTTCACACATAGGATGGTATCTTAACAAAATCAAAATGAGAAATATAATGGATGATCCAACCATATTCAATCATAACGTTTCTCACTTTTAGTTCATTCATGTTTGATTACGTTGCGACTTGTGAGAGTATCGTTAAGTTTCTTTGAAATTCATTTTACCTAGTATAATTTTCATTGTCAATTACAATGAGCTCATTTTCAGCGTAGGAAAGGAGTTGAATTGTACTCATTTCTTTCAATTTCCCAAGTTCCATCCGTTGGACTTTGGGACTTGGAAGAAGACAGGAAAAATGAAAGAGACTAGAAAGAAGACTTTCATTTGACAAAAATGGAACACTTAAAAGGTGAAGGAAAAAGAAGAACAGCAGTTAACATAAAAAGCAGCTTAAACTAAACACCCAAAAACAACGGCATTAATTACACCATCTGCAAGTTTTGGCTATGATCTTTGGAAAAAAGAGAAATCGTTTCCCCATTTTTCCTTTCTCCTTTTACTTCCCTTCCATTCCAGCTCGTAATTTTTTTTCTTGGCATTTATAGCTGACGAAGGAGCCAAAAACAAAAAAGGAAAAGGAAACCCTGCTCCCATTTCCCTTCTTCTTTTGCTACTCCTCTCTGCATCCTTTTTCCCACCTAATCGCTCACCTTTTCCCTCATTTCCAAAGATCAGAGGAAGGAATTTGTATTTTCTGGGTTTTGTAGAGGAAGGAGTTTGCTGAAATGGGTAACCTGATTTGCATGGCGAAGAAGGATGGTGGAAGCAAAGGCAACAATGGATCGAGGAGCAGCAGGAGGATGGGTGTGAACAGGTCGCAGAGGAAGTTACTGTCTGAAGAAGAGTTGCTCCACAGGCAAGCTCTGTCCATGGCGCTTCACCAGCACCAGTTGTCTCAGCGATTCGATAACGGATCCATGTCTAGAAGGATCGGGTCCACTAGCTCCCGCAGGAAAAATCTGCCTGATGGTGATGCTTTGGCCAATGGGGGGAAGCAGGTTTGTGGGAGTTGGAATTAATTTGAACCTTTTGCCTTGCTATATAATTGAACTGTTTTGCTTTTCTGTTGCTTTCTCGTGAAGTTGGAAACTTTAGCTTTTTTATGATTGGAGATCTGCTTATCATGAACTCGCTGTTTTGGGGACTGATGGGGCAGAAAGGGGGATGAATTTTATTCAATGGTGTTTGGAAGATTCACATGAATAATAAAGTGGATTGAAGTTGGACGTTGTTGATTCTTAAGAGTGGAGACTGGTGAGGAAAGGAATGATCTTGAGAGCAAGTGAAGAGCTACAGGTAGCATTTAGTTTGTCAAACAATAGGCTATAGCTTATGGTTCTCCAATCTTAATGGAAAGATTCCAATTTTAGAGGGGAAAAATGAAGAATTTGTTGTGGGTGTGTAAAAGAAGTTGCACTTTTTGGATGCGGGTAATAATAGTTTAATGTTGAAGAAGCCATAAAGGGGTGGATCTAGGTCTTGGTGCATTCAAGCACTTTGTTTGCTTTTTTCATGGTGGTGAATTTTCTCCTTTTTCTTTCCAACTTTCTAATGATTGCATTGAGTATTTTCTGTGGCACTCCTGGGGAATCTTCACTTTTGAGTACATTCTGATGTTCCGAAGGTGCATAGACAATGAAAAAGGTCATATGTGAACGATGGTGACTATCCCTTTTTGTCATGAATCTTTTGAGTTGGAATACTGTTGGAATCTTCTGCAGAAATGATTTTCAATTAGTTGAATTTGATGTAGAAATAGAATGTATCGGGTCTATACGTGGAATAGGCTAGTCAAATATATAAACTGACAACAAAGTATGTACCAGTGTAAAATGATTCGTGGAACTTGCTGATATGGTTTCTGTTTATGGTGTGATCTTTGTTTTGCATGTTTCATTAACTACTTTTTGTTCATCAGTTAACTTTTTTTTTTGTCTGAGATTATGCTTTTAATTTTGTGAAGGATAAGGTGCCTGAGAACCTGGAGAATATCAAGATAAAGAAGTTTGTTCTGATACATGGAGAAGGTTTTGGCGCCTGGTGTTGGTATAAAACCATTGCTCAATTGGAGGAAGTAGGTCTTGTTCCAGTTGCGTTAGATCTGACAGGATCTGGTATCGACACCACAGATACAAATTGCATTAAGACATTAGCAGAGTACTCGAAACCATTGATTAGCTATTTGGAAAACCTCCCAGAGGATGAAAAGGTTAACTCATATGAGCTATTTGTCTTGTTTATAGAAACATTGAGATATTTTGAGTTCTGCAGATTTTTGAAAGTTTGAATCTTTGACCTGCAGGTTATTTTGGTTGCTCACAGTACTGGAGGTGCATGCGTCTCTCATGCGTTGGAGCTTTTCCCCGGAAAGATATCCAAAGCTATCTTTGTCTGTGCTACAATGGTGTCTGATGGTCAGAGACCATTTGATGTGTTTGCTGCAGAGGTAAGATTATGGATCTTTGAATCTTGAAATGTTAGCATCCTTTGTATAACCATTAGAGATCATTGATGTAAGAGGTCGTTTCGATGATTGATTTTGACAAAAGATTGTGCACCACTATCATTCTGTGAGGGACTGGTCAAAATCATCTGTTTGGATGTGCAAAATGGACGGTTTTCAAATCTCTGCAGATTTGTGAAATCTTGCTTTTAGTGTTAACAATCCACTTCTACAGATCACTCATCCAAATAAAAATGTTCCAAACCTATCTATTTGATACCCATTGATTTCAACAATCCATCTACTCTAAGAATCCTTCATTCAAATGCCCCTTAAGAATGTCAAGGTAATTCGTCATTAAATCGTTATGGCAAACCACCTCATTAATCCATTCTTTATGCATATGCATTAGTAGTTAATCCCTCGGTCCATTTTTTGGGGCTTCCCAAGTAAAATTCTTAGCAATCTCGGTACTAGTGCTCCTCTTTTCTTTATGCCTTTCTATAGCCAAAGTCTTGATACCAAATAATGACTGAAGTTCCGCCATTGCAGCTTGGTTCTGCTGATCGCTTCATGCAGGAGTCGCCATTTCTGATTCATGGGAATGGAAAGGACAATCCTGCCACAGGCTTCATGTTTGAAAAACAGCTGATGAAAGGTTTATACTTCAATCAATCACCGACGAAGGTATGATTTTAGTATCATTTATTGACGTCAAATGTTTCATTGGATGATCAACCACTACCAGCAAAACATAACTCATGGAGTTCTTCTTGCAGGATATTGCTCTTGCAATGGTTTCCATGAGACCCTCGCCCCTAGGTCCAATAATGGAGAAGCTGTCACTAACACCGGATAAATATGGGACTTCTCGACGTTTCTATATTCAGACGCTTGATGATCGTGTTCTCTCACCAGACGTTCAAGAGAAGCTGGTGGGGGAAAACCCGCCGGAAGGAGTGTTCAAGATCAAAGGAAGCGATCATTGCCCATTCTTTTCCAAGCCTCAGTCGCTGCACAAGATATTGGTTGAGATTGCTCAGATTGAGTAGGACTGCTGGTATAGGAAAGAAGAAAGCAAAGAAAGGACCTCAGGTTAACTTACAAGTAGACAGTTAGTTGTCTTTGTAGATTGTACACAGTTCCTTTGCCTTTATACAAATACTCTCTCTATGGGTTGTTCTATTTGTCATCAAAGTTATGGATATAGGAAAGAAAAGGAAAACGCATGATGTGTCAATGATTTTAATTGGTTCAAGAGATGACACTGAGTGGTAGATTACTAGTAGATATTGGATTAGGGAGTGTTTCTCCTCCTCGCTCAAAAACTTGAGATGGTGTCAAATAACAGAAGAGCGCACTTTCAGCAGGTCACTGCATGTTACAGTTTTGTTTTGTGATTAGCACGAACCGATATCAAACCTGGCAAATGGCAATGCTTCAATGCGGAAATGAAGTCTATAGCTTTATCAGACAGAGATGTGGTACATCATTTACCAGTCAATAGCCACAAATGGAAGAAACAAACCAAAGCATTTGTCTGGCATTACAAGCTCCAACTTAGGTATGTACTTCTACAAATCAGTGAAATCCCCACTCAACATCAGCTATCTAACCTTTTCTCCAATTCAACAAATGTTACTAGCATTACCTCTAGATACAGTAATACCAAAAGCTAATAAGTTCCCAGTTCTAGAGTATCTGAAAAGTGCCAACACCAACAATAACAACAAAAGGGGTCATTGATTTACAAATTACAATCTTTGAACGTTTCTCCATCCAAGGAAAATCAATGAAGGAGATGTCGATTTCCGTTCATATCAAGGCTTACTAAAATGGCAGATACTCCCAGGGCACATTGCAAGATTGGAGCCATGTGCAAGTAAAAGGCAGCTAAACAAGGTAGTGATTTGATTCATATAAGATCAATGCATTTACTCAATTCTTTAGAATCTTCCCGTAGCGAGGAATTATATCTCCCATTGATTCACTTCAGACGTGCAGAGCATTTCACTGCCTTCTGCGTAGTGTGTTTGTGACAAGAACTGCCCTGGGGTTCACTTTGTTCCTCGGTAAGCTTGCTCAGAATGCATACCATTTCCACAAGGCTTTATAGGAATACACAATGCATCAACTTAAAGAATCAGTGAGCTTTGATTGGTAAGGGCATTGAACTTTCAGAGAATTTTCCTGGAAAAAAGAAAATTTGCAAAAGAGAGAGTGCAAGCAACCACATAAGTATAATTACTTCATTAATTTGAATAACAAAGTTCTATGTTGTTAATTTGTGGAACATAAGTGCATTGTTAACCTTGAGATAATAGCAAGACACCATACCAAATCAAAGTGCCTAAGAAGCTGTGTTTGACTTCGGAACCCAAACTTGCTTCTGCAAACAACACAAACAAATTAGAGTAGGTAAAGCAATGCTGAAGATGATACCTAAATATAAGAATTTCCAGACCTCAAGACCAGGGTGGCCAGTACCAACTCCTTTTTTCGATGATTTCCCCTTAGCTTTACTTGCAGAGGATACATCATTCTTCATAACTTTCGCAACTTCATGGGAAACAACTTTCCCCCCTGCACCTGGAGAGGTTCGAAAAATTAGATAAGAATTCCAATGGAACTGCTCATGAGGAGACACAGAGGAAAACAGCAGATCAATGTACCATTAGCATGAAGCTGATGGGACTCATTACATTCCTTATCAACGTGTTGTTGATTAGATGGAAGACCTGGATTCGGGACACCGAGTGTTGGTTTATCAATTTTTCTCTTGTTCCTGGTGCGCTTTACAGTTGAACGTGTGGCCTTTTTCAAAGACTGATTGTCTGTAATTCTGTTTTGAACAGAACCACTAATAGTCGGATGTGGTTTCTTACGCGGGCTAATGTTGGTTGATCCTAGTCCCATTGGTGTAATCTGGTTCTTTTCATTCTCGCACTGCTGTTGATGATATCTCTCTTGAGGATAGGCAGCTGCTAAAGGTTCCTTTTGACGTGATTCACAACTTAAGAGGATGCGCTTTATCAGCTTTTCACTAGAGTCATTCCCATGGTTCTGTTAAGAAAAAGTAAAACAGGTGAATTTGCATAATGAGAGGAGTGAAAGGATTACGATATGGATTATCACACAAGAGAATAAAGGATGGATGCTGGAAGTAGGTGAAAGAAAAAGAAACACACAAGTGAAGTTTTGTGCTTCTTTTCTTTATCCTGCAGGGTCTTCTTCTTTCTAGAATCAGCTGTCTTATTTATCGTCTTTGGAGAAGCTTGAACTCTAGGAGCTGGAAAAAGAAATGTAAACACATTAAATCTAACAGTTTCCTTTCCCGGAGAGAAGGATTAAGGTTACTTGAATAGGGATAAACAAATCATAAATGCATACTGGACGTATTTTGTGATCTTTCTTTCTGGGTGGAAGGGGGAGGTTTGGCTTCTACTCCAAATGCATTATTGATGAGAACTTTCTCCTTACCACTGGGCTTCTTTGGGTGGACCTTTGTAATATACTGAACATCGGAGGTGAATGTAATGAGAAGACAGTAAGAGAGGATGAGATGTCTTCAACCGAAGGCTAAGATAGTAAACCCGGGTTCCTACCTGTGCTTCTCGTTTCTGGCGCACAAACTCCATTAAGGGTGTAACGACAATGCTGCCCTTCAAAGTCTCTAAGAAAGTATGAAACAAGAAGGAAAAATCAAATGAAATTGAGAAAGTTGACGCTTGGAATGAGGGGAAAACAGTTAACACTAGTTCTTCACAGCTACTGACCTGATTGTTCAGCCTCTTTTCTTTCAAACTGAAATTCAGAACTGCGAACACACTCCACAGGTTTTGCAATCAGCTTGAGGAACTCCAGATAGTCCGGATCTATTCTCAGAGAAGAACTACAATTACTCCAAAAATATTTGGCAATAAGAGAAGGTACTGTGACGCATATGCTAAACTCTAGTTAACTTCCAGTAGATAGACAAATAATGAGTAGAATGCAAAGAGAAAAGGTAAAAAGAAGACTCGAAAGTACCTCTGAGAACGGTCCCTTCTCGACTATCATTAGCACACTGCTTAGGAACACGCTGAGATGGAGCGTATTCAACAACAGCACAGAACTGAGCACCTTCAACGACCAGTAAGTTCCAGTCTCAGAAGCAATGATCACAAATTTTGATACTACAATACCCTACCAACATTTCCCAATTTAAGTTCTACAGCGAGAAACAACATAGTGAGCAGAACATAAGAAGGGTTCACTATCCCAATCCATGAATGTACAATCAAATGTCACAATAAGAGACTGGAAAGAGGGAATCTAAGACCTTGGATCCTGACAGCAATTAAGCCAGCAAAATAAATAAGCCCTTCAATTACTAGGCATAGAATCTGAGTTTACCCTTTTCATTGACAAATCTATGGCCATTGAAGAACTGTGCAAACTCCGTCACATCCCCGGGGCTCTTGAAGGCAATATAAGCACGAGAATGCCTCTGGTTCCGACTCTTCCTACTGAAATTGATAACCCAAAAGTGGTAACAAAAGGAAAAAGGACAAAACTTCATCAAATCCCAGTTACTCAAGGACTAATCGAAACGAGCCCAACAAATATATCTACTTTCTAGCTCGTTTTCCCGAGAAAAATGAAAGGGTAAAGGGGGAAAAGAAATGCCAGGGGAAGCCAAACCTGGTATTTCCGGGGCGGAAGGAGACCCAATTGTAGCGGTCGGAGAAGAGATGATCGAACTGGGAGAAGAGGTCGGAGCTGGAAAGCGTTGGAGGCAAATGCCTAACGACGACTTTGGTTCTCAACTTGTTTTCTTTCGCCATTTCCCCTCAGCAAAGCAAGCAGAAAAAAGATTCGTGCTTTCTTTCCAAGCTCTTTGATTCAACACTCTATCTCTCTCTCGGCAATGAAATTCGGATCTCTGAGCCTCAGGAGAAGAAAAGGGTTGGAGTGAAGGTTGAATTGAACCAAGAAGTTGGGGAAGTTGGAACGTTGGCAAATTCGACGATCTTCTTCTCCTCCTCCTCTGTATTTTTCCCTCCCGAAAAATAGAAAAGGGAAAATTAAGTTACAAGTGCATAGATACATTGGCAAAACGCTGGGTTAGCCATGAAACTTATGATTAATGTACATAAAACTCATCAAAGTTTTTCATTGGTCTAAATTAGGCTTTGGTCATTTTAGATTTGGCCCCGCGTGGCGCGTACCACTCCCGCGCCGCTGGCGCGCCAAAGAAGATGTCTTCCTCCGCGCAATTCGCACGATTCCGTAGCGCCCTCAACCACTCTTTTAATATTAAAGCCGACCTGAGCAGCTTCTTCTGCTCTTTAGTCTTTTCCCCCTTTCAGTAGTTTGCCCGACGGGAGACATCGAAGAGCGATCGAGTAAGCTTTTCTGAATTCTAACAAAGGCGACGCCTTTTACAGGTTTTCTGTGAATTCTGGTTTCTGGGTCTCTGCCTTATAATTTCTAGCTTGTTGGGTTCGTTTGCTGGTTCTTGTTCTCTCTCTCTCTCTCTGGGGTTTTGTGACTTTGATATTGTGACTGGGGTTTTCCCCCCCGGTATATCCGTGATGGGTAGTCTTAGGATTGGAGTTTGATTTGCTTGATTGGTGGGTACAAGTTGTGACTGGAACTGTTTCTACTGCTGTTGCTCAAGATTTTGAATTGCTAGACTCCTGCTGCTTTATTGTGTATGCTTTGAATTTGGGAAGGATTTTGGTTCAAACTTAGGATTAGATGGGATTATAGCTAATGTCCGGCTTTTCTATACTGGTTTTTCAACTCCCTACACTTCATCAGTTGCAGTAATTAAGAAGCTTTGTTTCGGTACTTACTGTTGGTGGTGCCTAAAAAGCAGCTGATGCCTTAGATGAATGAAAATTAATATTTTGACAGGTGATCGATCATCTGTAATTGGTGCTAGGATGAGTGGAATCGCAATAGAGGATGACTGGGAGTTTGCTTCACCTTCTACCGAAGACCCTTGGTCGATCGTTCTAGTTGGACGAACTGGTAATGGGAAGAGTGCAACAGGTAATAGCATATTGAAGAAGAAAGCCTTCCAGTCCAAGAATAGTTCATCGGGGGTAACGCGGTCCTGTGAGTTGCAGACGACTCTGTTGGGAGATGGTCAGATCCTCAACGTCATCGATACTCCTGGTATAATGACTCTGAGAATCCATGTTGAAGTTTTGATTTTTTTCAATCTGATTACTTTCTTTACTTCTTTTAATGGGTGAGCATATTGACAAGTATATTTCTTTCTCCAGGGCTTTTTGATTTCTCTGTGGGGGCTGACTTTGCGCACAAGGAGATAGCCAAATGCATCAACATGGCTAAGACTGGGATCCATGCAGTGGTCCTTGTGTTCTCTGCGAGGAATCGGTTTACTAATGAGGAAGAAGCTACCATTCGTAACTTACAGTCCTTGTTCGGAAAGAAGATCATCGACTACATGGTTGTATTGTTCACTGGTGGAGATGAACTCGAAGATAATGATGAGACTCTAGAGGGTTATTTGAGTGATGATTGTCCTCAACCTCTAAAGGTTAATTCAAAACTTGTCTTGTATCTTTAAAGTCCTTTTTATTATCATGATATAAATGGTTCTTATTAGTCGTTGATCTTCTGCAGGAAATTCTTTCATTGTGTAAGAATCGGAAGGTTCTGTTCGATAACAAGACTAAAGACGAGTTTAAGAGAGCTAGCCAGGTCGATGAGCTTCTTGCCCTTGTTAACAATGTTGTGATGCAGAATGGTGGACGACCATACACGAATGACATATTCGTCGAAATGCAGGTCTGTATGTGTTTTTGCGAGTAATAAGTATCAATTAATGGCAACTCGTAAAATTTTGGTTCTATGGGTTTGTCTACGAGTTTCAATCTTGATTTCTATGACAAATTGGCTTATCATAAAAGTGGTAATATTGCGATCATACTGTATATGAGGTCAGTGAAAAAACAATCTATCTGGGATGGAGGTTGTTTAACTTGGGTCACTCTCCTTATGATTATGCTTTCTTTTGTGTAAAGTATGATTTTTTCCGACTAGCTTGGCCATGTCTTAATGTTTTAGAATGATTTTTAATGTGTCTATTCTTGTAATGATTGGCTCTTACCTTAGTTTGTTTATAAGCTGTCGTAAGTATATTATTAGCTTTTCTATATACAGATTACTCGTCGAGGTATTGGATGTAATTAAGTACGTTCAATACTGTGATGTATTTATAAAACCTTACATCTTATTATTCCAGTCCACGAATCTGAGTTTATGCTAATTTGGGTTTACTTGATCTGACATTGTGCAGAAACATACCAAGATCATTCGTAACAAGCAAGCTGAGCTCGAGGCCCTTCAAGTTCAGCACCACTCTTCTCTGGAAATAGCTGGTCTGAAACAACTGATGCATGATCTATACCAAGAACAGCTCAAACACATAACTGACATGGTCGAGTCGAAGCTTCATGAGACAACAGTCAAACTCGAGCAGCAGCTGGCGAAGGAGCAGGCCGCACGTCTCAAAGCAGAGGAGTTCGCACAGCTGGCTCACTTGCAGTCGAGCGACGAGATCCGCCAGCTGAGGGAGAACCTCGAGAGTGCCCGAGCAGAGACTGAGAGACTCCGCGAGCAGGCAGAGAGGGAAACTGCGATCCTGTGGCTGAAACGAAGTCTGGTGAGGGCCCAGATGGGGACAGGGGAGATTCTGAAGAGGGCCGAGTCCCATTCTGCTGTGCTGTGGCTCCATAGGAGTTTGGAGAGAGCTGAGAAGGAGACTGTGGAGTTGTTGCATCAGGCTGAGAAGCATTCCGCGGTATTGTGGATTAGGGAGAGTGTGAGGAAGCTGCAAGGGAAGCTGAGTATCAATGCAAATCAGGGGGTTTGAGAGGCAATGTTTGTGACTTGAGGGAGAGATCAACCAGTTTCCTGGTTTGAGTATGTATAGAGTTTTCTTACTGGGAAGTTTATTTTGGGGATGATTTAGGTTTTTGATAATAAATGATGTCTGGCTAGTAGCTCCATGTAAATGTTTAAAGCTTTTATCAAGTTTCTCTTATCAGAATTCAGAATGCAAACCTTGGTCGGTTATTAGAGCATTTGTGTCTGGTTTTTGTTATAGCATGCTAAGCATATGCTGCTGGAAAATGCATTCACCAAATGTGGCTAATGGGTTAGCTTCTGGTAAGGTTAATATATGAGGAAATCGTGTTTTTTAATATCCGGTATGGTGTTGTTTCACAAATATGTAACTTTTCTATATCAAAATACTTAATTTATCATATTCTTTTATCGATATGATATGATTTTCCAAACGTGAAAAAGTCTCACAAACCTAAATATTTATATGAAACAAGCTTTAATTATAAATCTACCATGTTCATTATTTTTGGATTAGAGTTCAAAGCAAACAAAGTAACATTCCAAAATGTGCTCTAAAACTTATAATTAGGGATGGCAATGGGGCGGGTTTGGGGCGGGTTTGCCTAAACCATCCCCAAACCCATCTTCAAATACCCAAACCCATACCCGCCCCATATCCATGCAGGGGAATGTTTTGCAAACCCATCCCCATACCCGTGGGTTTCGGGTACCCATGGGTAATACCCATACCCGTACATCCAACATTATTATACCTAAAACTTACAAGAAAAGTTTTAATTATAATTCTAAAAGAACATATTATATCATGAAGTCAACAAAACACAGTCATTTTTTTAATATGGTTCAAAGAATATGATCCTAAAAGTATCCATTAATACATAATATAGAGTATAATATTTTTCAAATTATTATGTTCTAACTTTGATACATCTACTAAATAATAATTAACTAACATAATCTTGTTGACAAGGGGGAAGTGAAAGAGTGAAATGAGAATTGAGAGAAATGAATTAGGTTTTGATTAAGGTGGTCACTTAATTGCATTTCTATTATTTATTTTCTCAAGTTATCTTCATCATCATTGATAGATAATAATTTGACGCACATATTTTTTATATATGAAGACATTTATCGTGGTGGGGCGGGTATGGGGATGGGTATGGGGCGGGGGAGGCTAAAACCATACCCGCCCCATACCCATCAAACTTTTTGCGGGTTTTACCCATACCCGCCCCATACCCGGTCAAAGCGGGGATTCCCTGCGTTGACTGGGTCGGGGGCGGTCGGATACCCGCGGCCATGGGTTTGATTGCCATCCCTACTTATAATCTTTACTTTAGTTCTAGGAGTAAAGTTTAAACCAAATATGAAGTCATATAAAATTAAGGGACTTAAAATGTACTTTACCCTAATCCGATACCAATTCCCAGCTGCTAGTCTACTAGTCTTCCCCGCCAAGCAAGCAAAAGTATATTTGTCTAAGCAGAGTCCCAGTTTCTGCTACCTCCGAACGTTTCGTTCATTCTAGGTTTATATTACCCGGGCAAGTTCGCCGCCTCCCATCAAGTTCATCGGGAAATACTAGAGGTGAGATGCAGCTTCCCTTCTTCTGAATTTCTTACCAGCTCTCCGCTGACTCTCGAGTTCTCTCCCTGAATTTGCGCGGTAAAAACTGGGTAATTTTCTGATGGGGGGTTTCATGCGATTGTCTATGTTTCTTGTTCTATTTGGCTTTTTAACTTTTGGGTTTCCTTAGTATGGCGTTTGGCTGAACGATTGATCGATTCTGTTAGCTAGCTGAGACCAGGGTTTTTTTCTCTTCGCTTTTCTTCTTACTGTTCTTGAGAATCGGTTACTGATCGAAGGTTTTGGTGTGTTGGATGTTAGTTTGCTGGTGGGTTTTTCGTAGAACTTGATGGGCAATGGTTCTTCTTTGCTTATGTTCTAGGTAGAATCGTGGTTTCTGTAGGTTAAATAGAACCTGGGGAAGCTTTGCCAGTTTCCCTGTTGGATGTTGGGTTTCATAGTTTCGGATTCAATGAGGGATAATCGATAGCTGTGTTAGGCCCTGCTGATGATGAAGGCTTACTGGGTCTCTGTGGTTGTTTCATGTTATATGGTCAAAGCAAGATTAGGAGTGTTTGTTATAATGGTTGCTGTTAGGTGCATGTTTTCCTGCCCTTTTTATTGCGTTTTTCTGATATATCTTTTGATGGATGATTTGAATTGCTAGAACGGGAGGATCATCATAATTGCTTAGAATGGGAGGTTCTGCAATAGAAGATGAGTGGGAGTTGACCATGCCATCTAGTGAGCCTCGAACAATTGTCTTGGTTGGAAAAACTGGCAATGGTAAGAGCGCAACAGGCAACACCATTCTCGGAGAAAGAGTCTTCAAGTCGAGGACTAGTTCGTCTGGTGTTACAAGCAGTTGTGAATTGCAGACAACGGTCCTGGGACATGGTCAAATTGTCAGTGTTATTGATACTCCTGGTATGCAATCCCGATTGTTTGCCTCCAGGATTTTGTGTTCAACAAATCACTATGTCCGGTTTATATTGTGTCTGCCTTTACTTTCTAGAGCTTGAAATTGACATTTGTAATTTCCGCCAGGACTTTTTGATGCTTCCATCGGATCTGATTTTATTGGCAAAGAAATAGTCAAATGCATCAATATGGCAAAAGATGGCATTCATGCTGTCATACTTGTTTTGACCGTGAGGAATCGCTTTTCGGAGGAGGAAGGAGCTGCAATTCGGAGCCTACAGTCTTTATTCGGGACGAAGATAGTCAACTACATGGTTGTAGTCTTCACTGGTGGGGATGATCTGGAGGAAAATGATGAAACTTTAGACGATTACCTGGGTCGTGATTGCCCTCAGTCTTTGAAGGTTAATCGTCTCTTACGATGTCTCAATTCATTACAGTAGGACGTTCTGCTTGTGTTTTCCTTTCTGGTTTCTTGCACTTTCTGTTGTCCTCTAAGATTCTCTATAGTGCCATGTAGGGCCTGTTAAGATTAACTTTTTTTGCATCTGAATCTTTGGGGTTTGGGTTGAAAACTCTAATGACTTCAACGGTTGGAGCCATGAGGATTTACAGTACTTGCTCATAGTTGTTGTGCTTCACTGAATATGAAATAATGATTTGTATAAGTTATTCAACTCATGCAGGAAATCATGCAACTATGCAACAATCGAGTTGTGCTTTTTGATAACAAGACTAAAGATGAACTGAAGAGGGTTGAACAGGTCAAGCAGCTGATGACACTTGTGGACAGTGTCATATCACAGAATGATGGAAAACCGTACACAGATGATATCTTCATCGAGATGCAGGTTTGTCCCTATTCTTTTCTCTTAATACGATACATCAGCATTGGCCTTTGATGCTGCTTCATCCCGTGCAATGTTGAAGTTAATGGATGATTGATATTTGCAGAAGGCGAAGATCCTGCGTGATAAAAAACATGAGGTCAATGCCCAGAACTTGAAGGGTGCCTCTGATCAGGAACTGGTAAATCTGACAGCAGAAATGAACAAGGCATATGATGAACAGCTTAAACGCATTACTCAAATGGTACTTCTCCCCTTTCCCTGTTCTTCTCCTTCTCTTCACATGTTCATCTATGTCTTCCTTAGGTCAGGTAAATACATCAATGACCATTGAACTCATAAGCCGCTAACAAACTGTTTGCGGAATTTTGAACATTAGAGTAACTAAACAATCAAACATTCCATCCATCTCTGTGTCTTAGTAATCCATTGCATGTGTCAGACACGAAAACTTGGAAATGGACAGAGTGGCTGTTTCTTTTCCCAGTCCAAATGCCACAAAGTCTAGTAAAAGATGTGGCTCTGAAAGCCAGTGGCCGTTTATGTAGATTAACCTTGCCCTGTATCTGTCCCTTTAATCCCGAGCTGCTGATGGGGTGAAATAGGTTGAGGAAAAGCTAAGGGAGACGACGAGCAGGCTGGAGCAGCAGCTGGCAGAGGAGCAAGCTGCACGACTGAGGGCAGAGGAGGTCGCCCAGATGGCTCAGTTGCAATCCAATGATGAAATCCGTAAGCTCCGGGAGAATCTAGAGAGAGCTCAGAAGGAAACCGAGGAGCTCCGCAAGAAGGCTGAGAAGGTGTGCACAATCCTCTGATGCAGCTAAGAGCAGCACACATTTGCTCTGTGGGGCTAAATGTGTTGGTAGATCTTCTGTTATGTGGCCATATTGTCGGACTCATGAAAAATTCGGACTCGGTTGAGGGATAATGACGTGACGATGTCGAGATTTTAGTTCTGGTGTAAATATGACTCTTTCCAAATTTTTCGGGTTTACTGGATTTGGAGTATTGAGGTACGCATGCATGTCATATATGCGGTTTGATGTGGTAAATGATTTGTACGTTTTGCGCTTATAACCACAGTTCTCGTGTCTAGTTTGTAGTTAGGGGTAGGAGTCTGCAACGGGTTTGGTCCATACTGGACCACATCAGACCAACCGATGTTTGGATCGGATTATATCGAACTGAATATATGAATGGATCTAGTACTCTTTGGTATGATGAATTTTATACATACGGAAAAAAATTGTTTGAATTGACATTTGGGTTGGACCTACTCGAATCAAATGCAATATTAATCACACCCTTTGTCCTAAGATGATTGTTATTATTATTTATTGGTAATTAAAAAGGCAAACAAATTGCAGTTCTCATTCGGATCGAAATGTTGTACACCCCCCGATTAGAAGTAGTGGTGGCAAACACGTTGGTATTTGTATCAGATCAACCGACGCATTTGGTTCGAATATGCAAATTGGGATATATCTAGATAACTTCTCAACCCTTAATACAAAATGCACACAAAATGTCTCATGGATCAAGGCACACCCAATACTATTAATTAATTAACCATGTCACCACCACAAGACCGATCTTCAAACAACACATTAAACACACAACACAAACACAGTATTCATCATCATCAAACCACATAGGATATTCATTAATTAACACAAACACACCACAATCTACGTACGTACGTACCTCACTTATTCTTAAAATCTCTCCACATTAGCACAACATACCATAATAATCCTTTTCCATGCATGCATGTCAGACGATCTGTGCATGCATCATGCTGACACCATTCATCAGCCAAGGTGGAGGTGGCCGGACTTCTTGTCGGACGGATTTGGAGACTCGTCGTGGTGGTGGTGGCCGTGGTGGCTGCTGCTGCCGGCGCCGGGGGAAGAGAAGAGGTCCTGAGGCTGCTGCTGCTGCTGCGGCGGCGGATCCATCATTTGTGGAGCGAAGAAGTTGCGAGAAGCCGCCAGCGCGTGGATTGCATTCAGCTCGGCGCCGCTCACCATGTTTGCTTCGTGAACCCTCTCCACCTCCGCTATCTGTAATCAAATTTTTTTTTTTCCCCCATTAATCAATTTTTCTAATCAGTCTTTGGTTTGGTTAATTGTTAATTCAATGATGTAGATGCACATACCTTGGTACGAAGACACACACTTTCATTCTCCAGCTCAATCTCCTTCACAGAAGAAATTATTAATTCAATTGGTCGATATTAGTATACAGCAATTAATTTTGGATGTGAATTAATCTACTAGAAATTATAATTTTGTGTATAATAGTTGTTACCCTTTTCTGCAGATACTCAATTTCAGCTAGCAGAAGCTCATGCTGTTAAAAACGACACAATAATTAACCAAAGTGATTATCAAATTTTTTTTGTAATGTAATATTTGAATAATTAATTAATTAATTAATTTATTTATACCTTCTTGGACCTGATTCGGTTGATGCCACGGTCGAGCCGGTTCTCGAGCTGCTTCAGCTCCTTCACAGACAGTGAGCCCAAGGATTCCCCCATGAGGTGCCTGCAAAGCATGCTAAACATTCCAAAACATCCCAACATTTTTATGGATTCTCTTCTTTGGTACCCAAAAGATAAAAATAATATATTAATTTAACTCTTGGGCAGTGAATTCACCTATTGGAATTCTGGAGCACCTGAATTTGTTGGCGCAGCTTTGCTGACTCCTGCTGGTAATACTGCAATGACAACAGAAACATATATGACATTTGTCAAAATTTTTTATATCATCCTCTATATTTGGTAAAATTTTCAATAGAGTCCTTCGAATTTGAAAGCAGAGAGAGTGATTTGTTTTCTTAGAAAGAAAGATAGAATTTACCACCACCATAATGAAACATGAATTATATTTAGAGCATTGTGAAATGATGAAACAAGTTTAAAAAAAAAATTACCGTCAAATTTTGATAATGAAGATCAGTAATTCATCATCTAAATTGTGTATTAATCTCCTTAATAATGGAGGTTAGTTGTAATTACCTGAGCGTTAATCTCAGTCACGGAGGCAGTATGGGTGCTGTCTGAGTTTGCCTTCTTGTACCTCTCTATGGTGGACTTGATGCTACTAATTAATTTCAAAAAAAGGAAAGGAAAATAACATTGAAAAAAAAAAATCTCATGTAAACAATTAACAATAAGCATAATAACAAAATTAATAATATTTCCAAAGAATATAATGTAGTTGGCAATGGGCCGGGGTGGTCATGGTCATGTACGGTCTAGAATCGAATCAAATCGGGAGGACTGAGATATAATTAGAAAGCGAAAAATGAGAATTAAAATCGGATTGAAACAAATATTTCATGTGATTCAGCTTAGTTTGATTTTAATGAATGACAAAAAAAAATTCTTTTATCTTTAAGAGAATTTACACAGAGGACACGAAACCGGACATAATTATATTATATACTACACAATTCGATCCGGTTCAAACCCGACCAGAATCGATGCACAACCCTAATCATTACCATTTCTGAGCATCAAAAGAAACGATGGACAATGACTTTTTTTTATTATAGTTCCAAGGCGCCATAGACAGCAGAGAGACAGCTCCATGAATGGTTCTTGTGTGTAGAGATGAAACCGTGGTCCATTGTTAAGTTGAATCAAAGTTTCCCTTTCCATGATACATTTTGTTTAACTCTCGAAGAGGACTAAAGCAACAAGTAAAGAACACAAGGAGGGACACAGAAAAAGCCATGACAGAAAGAATAAGAAGGAGGAGGAAAAAAGTGAAGGAAATTTCAATAAATATGTGGTAATCAGAAAACCCTAACTAATGTTATAAGCTAGGAGGAAAGATAACTAATTTCAAAATCTGTGAAATTTTTCCATCTTTTTATTAATGAGGGACACCAATCCCATCCCAGCGCAGAAGTAGTTCTCTACAGAACTGCAGGCAAGAAATGGAATGTTTCAGAAGGGCAAAGTACTTCCAACTTTTCCTTATGTTTTTGTGAAAGAAGATCTCTTCACCAATAGTTCAAATTACTTCATCTCTCTCTCTCTCTCTCTCTCTCTACAGCTCTTCTTTTCTGCCCCAACCCCAACAATTTTCTCCTCTCCTTTCTTCCTTCTTTGCCATTTTATGGGTTTTTTTCTTTCTTTTGGTGGATGTTTTTGTATTTCAGTATTTCACATTCAACCTTGTTTTCTGTTTTTTTTTTTCCTTCCCTTCTTCTTTTCACTGTTCATCTGAACCTTGTTTTCTTGTCAATGTCAGTGTGGGTTGGAGCAGCTGTAAGAACCCAAAATAGTGATTAGGTAAATAAATGTGGGGAAAAGTCACCAGTCTCCCTCACATAACTAGAAGTGGAAACCCTAGAGCTATAGCTAGACAAGAGTTTTGTCCAGATTACCAATGTATAGCCTTGTGATAGGGTTTATTATATCATAATAATATACTCAGCATAAGGTCATAATATGTAGAACCTCTTATAAATCAACTCAGACATGCTGTAACAGTACTAATTCTTCTGGTCAGAAGACAAAAAAAATCAAGAATCTCAAACTTGGAAATGGACAAAGAGAGAGAGAGAGAGAGGGAGATATATATGTTCTTATGAGGTTTTGGAAGCCAAAAGTGGGAAAGGCTAACTATGAGAAGAAACTCACAGAACCAACCATAATATGATGTAGTAGTAGTCTAAGATTGCAACACCAAAAAGGCCAACTCATGTTTTAAGACTTTATGTATATATATATAGAAGAGTGAAGATCAGTGGGTGCAGGCTAGTATAGCAATGTAAACAGCAAACCAAAGAGTGCTGAACATAGTAAGTTAACCAATATATGCAATGGTTGACTTGCCTTTTTCCTTCTTGTATAGCATATATTCATTCAGCTTCTCTCATCATCATGCAAACAGAAAACTGACAAATTTGGATGTTTATATACAGATTAGATGAGGTAAAAAGAAGGAGAGAAGAAGGCTTGGTTCCTGTCAACCCACATTCTTCATTAAACCATGTTCATCCAGACTCAATTGGATGAACAACATTACCATAATCACAGAGTGCACTGAATCTCTTGTAAAAGATTTCAGACCAGGCCCCAATTTCACTCCAAAATGAAAATGGTGCATCTTTTTTTCTTTCCCCCATGAAGCTAGAGCTGATTAGGTTAATCGTTTTTTCTAATTATATTCCTCCATGATGGGATTCAAATCTAGGGTTTAGGTGAATGTTGTCGTCCAACCTATTATCTTTAGATCAACCCTTTAGATTAATTAATATTTTTCTGCTTAATTTTATTTTTTTTTTGTTTATGAATGCTTAACTTTATTATTTCACATAATTAAGAACCCAAAAGAAAAAAAAAAGGTTTTATATTTGCAAGGGAATTTATCCTTCTCACAAATACACTTAACAATTTGGGGGAACTAGAACTAGTAACCTTAGGTACTGCATTAATTAAATACACACACCTCCCAACTAGAACTAGTAACCTAATGATTTAACTAGAACTAGTGGTTTAAGTACAACCCTACAATTATTACACCATAATTCTACGCCAAGGGTTAAAAAATATACCCATTTATACATAGATCTGGATATATAGATCATCCACATATATATAGAACTAAAGCATAAATCACTAAACACAGTACTAATTAATTACTTAAGCTTATTGATTAAACCTAAGATTAGCTTACTTGTTGTTGGAGTACTCATAGAGGCGGCCACGGCTGGAGAAGACAATGAGGGCAACCTCAGCATCACAAAGCACAGACAGCTCATAGGCTTTCTTCAGCAGCCCATTCCTGCGCTTGCAGAATGTCACCTGGCGATTCGTGGTGTTCTCGATCCTCTTGATCTCGATCTTCCCCCTCCCCATGCTTCTGTTGTTGATCTCTTCTTGATCTTCTCCAAACTCTACAAAATAGCATAAAGTTAGCATCTTTGTGAGATCTACTTACAAGCAAAGGTAAAAAAAATGAGAAAAAGGGTTTCAAAGTTTTGGACTTTTCTCTTCAGATCTTGCAGGAGGAGCCATTTTTTTGAGAGAGCTAGCTTAGCTCTTTGGAGAAAACAAGAAGATGAATGAATGAAAAAGAGGTGGTGTTGTAGTCTTATTATAGAGCTCTTGGCTTGAGAGCTTGCTAGGGAGACACAAAGTAACAAAGACCCATTTCTCTAGTACTGTCCTTTAACTGTTTTCATGGAGCTAGCTTAGACTTGTATGTGAAAAAAAAAAGGGCGCAGTGATTGTTTTTCATTTTTTTGGACCCAAAATACCAAAGGAGAAAACTTTCCTCAATTTGGACAATCAAGTAGTCGTCCGTGTATTTTACTTCGTCTCTGTTGAAATGGATAACCAAGATCAATTTAAGGCTTGTTAGCAAGCTTTGCTCCACATTAGTTAGAAAGATAGATTAAGAGGGTATAGCCAAAAATGAAAAGCAACCCTCTTGATTAAAGAGAGAAAAGATTGAACCTTGCTCTAGTTTAGGAGAGTTTGTGTATGGGATATCCATGGAAACAACTATATCATAAACAACAAAGAAAGTAGAGATCCCAAAGAACAACAGAAACAATAGAGAGAAAGAAGAAGAGATCTTTAGAGACTAGAGAGAGAGAGAGAGAGAGATCTTGAGGAGGAAGAAGAATTAGATTTTGTCTCAGAAGGAGCTAACTTCTTGCTCTTTTTTTAAGCCCTTTTTCCTCCCTCTCTTCCTCCCTTCACAAGCTCTTATTCCTTTCTATGTTGGGTTATAAATACAGGAAAAACCAAGAGAGAGCAGAAAATTAAAAAGGAAAGAAGCATGCAGAGGAGAACCAAAGCCCAAGGAGAGAGCTAAAAAAGGATTTATTATTCTATAATGATGATGAATTGATGATGATGATGATGAAATGAGAGACTGATCAAAGAGTTCAGAGAGAAACCTGCAGCTGAAAGAGAGAGAGAGAGAAAGAAGAGATCAGGTGGCTGGTGAGAAGAGAGGAGTGGGATATATGAACTAAATGGAAAGTTTAGAATTCCAAAGAACAGATACCTCTCTCTCTCTCTTGCCCTTCCACTCTTCTTCTTCTTCTTCTTCTTCTTCTTCTTCTTCTTCTTTCTTTTATTTATAGCTCTGTATTTTTCTTGCAATTCCTTCTATGCTTTCTTTTAATTTGCCTGTATGACTAGCTAACCCAGCACTTATACAAGCAAAGTTGTGCAAAAAATTAGAAATGAAGAAGTGGGTAAGTACTAAGTAGAGAAAGCAACTTGTCCACAACTGCTTGATTTTTTCATATTTGTTTAGTTAAGTTTTCATTTTGTGTCTGTTACAAGGGACTGGAAATTGATAATGAGTTAAGATGTTTAATTAAGTAGTTAATCTCGTGGTTAAAATTAAGGCCAAACTCGATCGGATCGTTTTATATATAAGTATGGTAGGTTGAAATCAATGGAGTATGCTTCCACATCTGATCTAGTCAATTTTTGATCGATTTCGACAAGATTATGTAGAAGTGTTTACTCATAATCTTGTGTTAAATTTTAGATATGAAATTCCGTTACATACTTACATATATGATTTCAACGCTAATTGATGATTTAGTATCCCATAAGTGGTACATTTGCTTTAGTATGACCTCTCTCAAGATTATCATTTCGTTAAATGTTTAATTACTGTGATAGTCAAGCGGTTCGTACAGCATGCATAGTAAAAATTTGTTAGCAATGTCTTTTTTTTTCTTCTAGTTGGAATCTAGCTTGACCCAAATAGTTTATATATTGATCTTTTGGATGAAAAAAAGAAGAAGTAAATAACACATAAATTGATGAGATTCTATCAAATATACTTATGCATGCATGTGTCTTAATATAATTGAGCTCATTTGAGATGGAATTTTACGAAACAATTTTTAATAAGCGATATTGATCTCTCAATATTATCAAGTCGTTGAACTTTTTAGTTCTACAACACTCAAACTGTTCATGCCTGGAGCATGTGTATACCTTAAATTCCTTTAACAATATGTTACGAGAGATCAAGTGCTACACTTACTCGAAGAATTCGTAGTAAGTTTATAGTCGATCTGCCATCTAGTAAAAAGAATCTACTAATGAAATTCAAGTTGAAATAGAAAGGAGAAAATAAAGTGAATTTGAGCTCCATAGGAGAACAAACATAGATCCAAAAATAGACTATTCTCTTTCTTAAGTTAGCTTTTGGCAAGGAAAGAGAGGTGATAGGGAAATAGTAGTGAAAGAGTGAGTTGTTGCTTTGCCAAAAACAAGCCCTAGATGTTGTTGTTTTAGCTGAAAGTGAACATCTTTTCCAGGTGTAAATTCGCACCATATTCTGCAAATGCTGGTTAGGGTTCTTAATTATCATTTCCCCACCCTCCATATGCCCTTATTTTACCATATATACCACCCCTATGGCCGCCTAGCTAACTACCTACCTTTACCTTCATGAATCACCAAAGCTCAATTTCTTTGGCCATCTAATTATAATCCTCCACTTGATTAACAATTTGTGAAAAATAAAACAAATGGGTGGGGGAGATGGTAAATGCGCAGGTTTGGATTCAGGAGGTCATGGATTTAAATCTTGGTTGTTGTCATTAATTTATGTGTTATCCCCTCGGTTGCTACCGATAGAGCTGTGTTCTCGACTTAATTGCTTTTATGGCTTTTTCGAGTATTCATAGAGACGGAGATTTACCATCTTTGATGGATTTCCCTCGTAACGAAAAATGAAAGAGAAAAATAAAAGTGGCCGGATAAACAAGAAAATAGCTAGGGCACGTTATCTTGAGTGTTTGTGAAATCTCTATGTATCTAAATCAATCGTGAATGTTGGATGTTATCAGACTTTGAATACATTATTTATCCATCATTTTAAAATTCGATAACATATCACAATCGCTTCATTCCAAATAATTTGAGTTATAGTTAGGAAGAGCGAGAAATAAATTTCACATGCGTACAGTAAAGCTTTATCACATCAGTCTACCAAAATTTGGATGCTATTTACTGGCCTCAACACTTGAAAATATCATCATATGTATATCCCGTGCTTTAATGATCAAGAGGCCTAACATGAACACCTAATTAACGGTCCTATATGTGTTCTAATATTATTGACTGAGCATACGGTAATGATGGATTTGTGCAGCGATTCACCAATGATCGATTTTTCTTAAAGCGGCGTACACAAAATTTAATTTGATATGCATTCTCCCATCTCTTCTAATTATTTGAGCTATTGTGATAAATTGATGATATCGCGATTTGTGTGGGTGGTTGTTGATTTTGATCGGTTGCTTCTTCGAGGATTAGCTAATGGAGTAGTGTCCGTCAAGTAATTAATCTGATAGCACAAGGCCAGCACCTGCGGGGAATATTAATCTTTTGGTGACTTTCAACTATTTAACTTATTCAACGCTCAATTACGTAGACGGAAAACACACTTCGAAGTTGTGTTTCAAGTTTCAACTATCACAGCCAAAAAACGAAAGGAAAAAGGAAGGAGACAGTAATGGCTTCTTGGTTGGAGCATTGAAGTTAAGAAAAGGACATGGCCGCATAGGCAAATTGGTTGGTAACATTCAGAGACAAAGGTGCTAGGGTTTGAGGGTCATCAAATGACCCAAATTTGGTGGTGGGCTTTATGTGCAAAGAGTTGGCCTCAAGGGTGGCTATACGGTCCGGTCCGGTTAAATTGGACCAAATTGATTCGGTCTCAGTCCGGTCTTTTCGGGAATATAAGGACCAAAGATTGGATTGGATACAATCCGGTCTTGATCCGGTTCGGTCTTGACCCGGTCCGGTCCCAATTTTATCTTGATTTTAGGTGTTGGGGGTCTCTTATCCGATCTTTATCCGGTTTTTTTTACCTCAAATCTAAGCCCGAATATGAGATTGCATTGTTTGCTATTCGGTCCCAGTCCGGTCCCGATCCGGGTTATACGGTCCGGTTTCGAGTAAAACCAAACAGTCCGGGACCAAATAGCCAGCCCCTCAACCAAGGGTCCAAGACTTGTTCAACCACTAATTTTACATACATACTTCTACCCACTAATACAGTCAAATTGGATCCTTTCAGAATCTAGCTAGCTACCAGAATTTGAGCCTAAATCCATAGAAGTGAGGGATGGAAGCAGCAATGGATGTGAGAAACGCATAAGCCAGCAAAATGGACAGAGCCACCATTGGAGATGCTGACTTGGTGTCCATGAGCATGTTTACAAGACCCGTCAGCACATTTGCCTGCAAAAAAAACAACCCAACCAAATCATGAACATATTAGCTAGTAATTAACTACTATATAAGGTTATATGGTGAGGGAATTATTGATCCTTATTTACCACAAGAAAGGTGGCGAGTAGGTTTCGATTTACTGCTTCTTCGAGGGTTGAAGTTTTACTGCTCTCCCTCAAAGAATCCGATACCATTAGTATCGCTAATAACTGCATGCGTTCGGATATAAACGCGTTACATGATTATTTACAACAAAAACTATTATTGCGAAAAACAAAAACGTAACGAATCGTCTTGAATGCTGAATTCACCTGGAGATTCTCCGCCAGAATTAGAGTGACATAAGCAAGATTGCACTGCCATAAAAACAAAACAAAACCATTATTCATATATATATTTCCATGGACGCAAAATATTTTTTGATGACTGATATATTATGCAAGATCAGAATCCAAAGACATCAATTCATGTCGATTGTAGCAAAATTCGAATGTTTATTAGTAACCTCGTACCATTCGGCGAGAAATGCTTTCAACATACTTATCCAAGGCAATAGTTATCAGCCTGAAACGAAACCACTTAATCAGGTTAATTAAGAGAAAAAAATGATTATATTAATGATTTAGTGAAACAATAAGAAATTAATTAATAGAGAGCTACCATTTGGAATGGAGATTAATAGGTACCAAAAAATAACAGAAAGGCATGAGATTTTGATCTTGATCCACTTGTTGCTCTCGTTGTTAGAGGAAGGTAATTGTCTTCCAAAGAAGAGATAGTTCCCCAATTGGATGCCAATGAGGTACATGCCCCAAAACCCTAGTAATTTGAACACATATAATTTAGAAATTAATTTGAACTTGATATTGAATGTTTTTAATTTATAATAATGAGATTATCCTTACCAAATAAACTGAATAATCCTTCCTTGTTTTGGCTAATGATATCGTCTCCCCTCGTATTAGAAAGCAAGTACGAGTTTGATCCTTTACTTAACCAACATTGATACCCTGATCATTAGCCAAACGTACTAAAGATTCAATTAACTAACACAATTTTCTCTTAAGTTAATTTTTTTTATTCGAAACTAGTATTAATGGTTAATTACCTATCAAAATCAAGAGACCCGAAATCGCAGAGTAGTTGGTGGGGATTCTGATGAAGGATGCAAGCATTGCAAGAGCTGCTAATGTGAAGAAGAAGTTCCAATGCACTCCATACTCACCAGCAGGAACCTAATTCATTGAAGGCCAATTTTGGGAGGAAAATGGAGAAGAAAAGATTAGTTCAAATTGGAAGATTAATTCATTAACATGCACATAGATTTGATGACTAATGTTGGGACTTAATTGGCACTTAAATTCCTTAGTCAAAAGAGATTCCGTCATTTACCCCATAATGCACACTTTTTGTCAAAATGAGTCGCCCAAATCCTACAGCCAATGGAGGGATAATGGCGCCACTTGCATCCTTCAAGCTCCTTTAGACAAGAAAAGAAACAAGTTATTACATGGAACATTAGTTTATGACATCTTGTAATTTGGATGGTTTAGATTTCAAAACTTTGATTAAACTAAAATGTTTTCCTACGCGCGATGAATAATATTTTACGATTTCAGTAAACAAAACAGCTCGTGCGTATTATATTTCCTTCGGGATCGTGGGTTCGATTGTACCATGTTGATAGTAGCTAGAAACATGAAGGCATAACGATGAAAACCAAACTCACAACGAGGAAATACCACGAGCTTGTTTTGACACCACTGCATTAGTCAGCGCAAAAGAGCCAACCCCAAGATCCATCTAATTCAAAATAAATATCAATCATAAATATGGTAATTTACAAACTCATATATTTTAATGACAACAAATGTATAGCGGGAATGATTAAGTGATGATTACTTGATTAGTAATTAGATTTAGGGTGGACATCAATGTTTCTTACCAAACTAATCCCATACATTCTTGATTTGGCATGTCTTCTTGGAAATATTTCGAAATCAACGGCCAAGATGCACAGGCAAGCCACCTCCATCTGAAACCCACAAAATCGTCCATTCATTGTTTTGGAAGGAAATGGGCTTGAATTTGGTAACTAAAATAACATCACTGTTGGGCCAGGCCTAACAGGCTTTACCAGAATTTGCAGAGTGGGCTCATTATTTTGGACCGAAAGCAAAGAAGGGAGAAGATGAACTTTCGTTTCAGCTCTTCACTATATTTCCTAAAATTTAACCTAAAATTTAAGATTTTTTTTTTTTACTGAATTTACACAGAGAAGAATATGGAAGAACATTCAATGTAGAGTATAGTTACCACAATAACTCTGTACGATGTAATGTTTGCTCTAAAAGATTCAGAAGATTTTGAATCCGTACTCGAGCCAACAAACCTAAGTAAAATCGATTCGGAATTTGGTTAGTTTGAAATGCACTAAATTTTTTTTTTTAATGAATAGAATGCAATAAGAGCAAAGATATCTTAGCTAGTTACCTCTTCGATATACCAAAGAGTAAGAGCAAAACCCCCAAAATGACTGTCCATGTATATGTTTGTTCTTCTAAAACCTGTGTTCATCATTCAAAGTATCTTTAGGATTGGTAATCAATACACTAAGTAAAATTAATGCATCCCTAATTACAAGGTGACAAAATAAAACATATGGAAATAAATAAATAAATATCGTGGTATAATTTCCAATCAAGTTTAGACGATCTCAATAAAATTACTTTTAACCCAAGGGGACTTACAGTAAAAATCAAAAGCATTGGAACAATGAGGAACACGAAGTCCACAGCCAGTCTACTGAAGTAAATCCATAGGCTTCTACTCCTGAATTCACCACCACCTGCAAATTAACCTCATCAATCTAGGGTAAATTCTCAGATTTCTGATGAAATGGGTTAAACTCCAAATTGAATTTGGAATTCACCATATATTCTGAAGAGCAAAATGAGGAAAATCATATACCATTGTGATGATGATAGTTGAAGCCCAATGAGTGTCTCATAACAAAGAGCAACTGAACCCACATTAAAAAAAAAGCAAAATTTTACAACGAAGAATCAGTAGTACTCAAATTGACTGTAACTATAAGATCTAAATAAGTTAACTTGATGAGGAAGTTGGAAGGTGAAAAATGTCTCAAGAGGGAGGAAAGTAGTACTGGGACAAGGGTTGACAGTGCAAGGATTTCAACTATGGAGGACCTGAAAAAAAATATGGAGAGCTAAGAAGTTGTATCGACTTAATTTATTTCTTTTTCTACGAATGAAAGAATACGACAGGAAGACACGAGATCGATAAGCCTGCAGGATGATGAAACTTACTGTTGATGGGCATTCATATATGGGTTGAGAAACATTGAGAAGGAATCCATGGCTGAATTGAAGAAGAAGAAGAGAAGAAGAAGAAGAAGAAGAAGAAGAAGAGAAAAGGGAAAGAAGAAAACGAGAGTGAGGCTTGTTGGTAACTTTTTTCAAGCCTTTATGAATGTCTTGTTGTAAAATGTAATTAGCTGGGGTAAAAAAAAAGAAAAAGTTACTGCTATAAGGTGGTGGTGGTTATTGGAAATAAAGGAAGAAAGACACATATATGGAATGATATTCATATGAAGAAATATATGGTGGTTGGAATTGTTATTGCATTTGTTTCCACTAAATTTCTGATTTGGGATTGTTGCCTTTTGTGGGAAACGTCTGCTGGACTTGCATTTATAACCGTAGTTATTATGGCACTGTCAGAGTGATTTTGAATTTTGAAACTTATTCTTTTAGTTACAACCACATGTAGAAATGTTATTACATGTGTCCAGAAAAAGGGGAAGAAAATTAGAGACTAGGGATGGCAAAACATGTGAGTGATGCAAAGTTGAATGCTAGCTTGATGAGTTCTTAATTATATCGGTTGAAAACAAACTCAAACGTCATCAACTTTTTTCATGAGACGGGAAAAATTTATTATTATCATTTTGATAAAATTTCGGATGGAGACGCGAGAGCGAACGAATTAGGCGAGACAATTCTCTTTATGAATTCAAATTGTGTTGTTGAATTGGACTACGACGCATTTTTCTCAAGATCAAGATGGTAGAGCTGGTGATGACAATGGAGGAGAATGTGGCAGCTAACTTAATTAATACCTATATATCCATGGAGGCATGTGGCCTTCTTGATCTAGTCTAGCAACATTTCATTCATTATTATCACTTTGATAAAATTTCAGATGGAGACGCGCGAACCGAATTAGGCGAGACAGTTTGGTTCAAAGCTAACAAAGCAATAATTACGACTCCCTCTCGATAACGGGTAATCATCAATCACTTCCTTCTGCTTGTTAGTTATGATCATCGCTATGTGCTTTAATTAGGCTGTATATGCATTTGTGACTTCTACTGTTAGGGTTTAGAGAGCAATCTTGTGTCTGTGTGCATGCTTAGTAAACTAATTAACGGTGTTTACGACATCGTACTATATTGCATGCATATTGGTTGAATCGAGTATTGGATTGTCAACCTCGATAGGGGTTTTTGCCATGATTTCACCATGGATATCATCTAGTCTTTTCACAGTTTTAATATAATGAATAGCCTTGATCATCAACTTCGTTGATCTCTCCAGTTTGATGTCGCGTACGGTTGCACAAATATTGTTTAGTTGAGTAATGCTTCATACATGTCTCGTTTCTTTTATAATCACTTCGACAACTTATTTTGTTGTGTTAGTAGCCTTGCACGCGAGGACGATGCTGGATTCGATCTTGCATTATAATTTCATTCTTAGTGTATGGTTTCTGATTTCGACAACTTATTCTGTTATGCTCTTCCTATGTGGCAGTCAACTCTCATATTGACCGTTAAATGAGTAACATGATAATATATCGGAATTATAACTAGGTTAACTAATAAATTGGCGATTACCGTTATTGTTATACGAAAATTAAGAATACTATTAAATAACATCATAATAAGTCGTTAATGAGGAACATGAACGTATCTTTTTCGATTTTGTCTTTAAGCTGCTTTCTGGAGCAATTAAAAAACATCTTATATATCTACTTATAACTAGTACAACTTATTTTGTTAGATGATTGTTGGCAAGATCATCATCATGGGTAGGCACCAAAATTAACCCAAACTAGTAGAACCAAAGAGGAAAAAACAAAAGGTCTTCAAAGTAGCATACTTTGAAGTTTGATCCCCTGCACAGAGAACATGGTGTTTCTACCTCCAGAAAGCTGAGGACAACTGCTGCTAGCCTATTCGATACTTGCACCATAAGTAAGCCATTGAAGCTCCAAATCATGAAGGCAGAGGAGTTGTATTTACCATTTCCACTGTAACCATAGCTTTGTCGATTTTCAAAACTCGAGCCACTTCTGGAAGTAGACACAAGTACTGGGAGAGACGACACCATCAGGAGTACAGCTACGTATCCTTGGACATACCCCACAAGGCATGGACGCCATCGCCCCAATCCCAGGCTCTGCAGCAGCTCCAACTCTTTGCTTACCAAAAGCCTTGTAGCAAACTTTCCCCTCCGGTATAGCACCAAACTCCCCCATCCCGTTGCTCTTCACTTCCATCACCTCGTTGTCCAGAACCAGAGCACCCAATATCTCTTCAAAGTGATGCTCCTTCAAATCGGCCTTGATCGCCCCGCTGGTCTTGATCTGCTGCAGCACACTCTCCAGTGTAGCCACCTTCAGCTGTTTAATCTTCTGTAAGCAAATCTTTTTCATGATGTTGATGAACTCCACATTGAGGATCCCATCGTCGTAAAACGCCCCACCTGTAAGTTCCGTGGAAGGTTCAAACTCGACTGCCATGTAGTGCTTCTTCCCCTTGTTCTTGACGTTGACCACTTCCTTGATCATGTTCTTGGCCTGGAGGGAAATGATGGATTTGTTGACAATGGCGTCTTGGAGATTCGATCGTCGCTTGATGTCTCGCAACCACATTCCCATATTCTCTTTTTCGTGGATCACCTTGTAGACGATTTGCTCTTGATCGGTCAAGCCCTGAGAGGTTGAGGTTGAGTCCGGGCGCTTTCGTTTGAGGATGGAAGATAATTTGAATCGACTCATCTCTGGTCAGAGAACAGCAAAGTAAGGATCTTCAACGAAAAAGTAAACCCAATCAAGTATGAATCCACAGCAAACGCCAATGTATCACCTAGGAGTTAACAGAAAGCTATCTACACTACTGTAACCAGACCCATTCTTGACAGGGGCAAACCATCAAACAGGTTATGTGCATCTGAGAAGCAGCAAAGCGGAACAAGCCTAACCCACCAACTAACATCAAAGTTATCCCATTTCAACGAAAACACTACGAGGGAAACGTGATTTGAGAGAAACCCAACCGAATTCCGATACACATTTACCTGCACTCTCCTGCAGCACTTAAATCACCCGCCAAAAGCCGCACCGAAGTGCTCTTTTCCTCCCACAAATCTTCTTTCGGATTTAGAAGATAACGGCCGAGCCAGAAATCAAAACCGGTTATACCAAACGAAATCGATTCGTAGGGTTCTTCTGCTATCTTGCACCTAAAGCCCAAAACTTTTAGCGCGGCAACGGCGGAGGGAGGTTTAGTATTGTTGATTGAGTAGCCACGTATTTACATTTGTGGCCCTCAAACTGTTTCCGGATTTCATTTTAATACTCATATTCTCACTGTAGTTCAAAATTTCGCATCAAATTTTTGGCTGAATACGTTGGATCTCTTCTACTACTCGGTCTCCTACTGCTGCTAAAACCCCATTTCTCAACTGCAATCTTTCTCCCTTCACCGGTCACCGCCGCTTCTCCTCCGACGTTCCTCTCGATATCTCAGGTACGCCGTCTTATTTCTCTCTTCTTCTGTTTTAAGACTTGGGTCGATCAGCGCCTTTCTTGTTCCTTTTGTCTCCGTTTGGTTCGGAATTCCGAAAATCCTCTGTTTCTGGGTTCTTCCATTTCGTCCTTGTTCTGTTCTGGGTCTCTGCGATTCTTCAAGATAAACCTTGAAAGTTCTGACCTGATGATGGGGAGTTGGTCGTCGTGATCATCCATCCTACTCTAAATGTGAAGAACTGAATTTTGATATTTATTTCTATGTGGGGGTTCTTGATTTCTATTGTCTTGCAATTATGATGAAGATCGATGGAATTAGTGAATCAGAGATGAAAGTAGAACTGACTCCTCTATTCTGACTGTTTTGTTTGTTTGGCGAAGAGAGGGAAACATGAACGAACCAATGGGGAAGAGAACCAAGTTATCGGAGTTAGTGAAGGAGAGATTAATTTCTAAGAAGGTGGAGGATGAAGGGAAGGAGAAACAACTCTCTTACCTTGACAAAGATTGCATCTCAAGCATTCTCATGAAGCTACCACTCGAGTCACTGCCATCTTCGAGGTTTGTTTGCAAGGCATGGTACGATATCATCAACAGCCTTCCCTTCATCAATAACCGTCTTGCACAGTCTGAATCCGTCTTGATATATCTGAAACCGGTCCCCGTGGCTAGCTCCCATCATCACTCCTCTCAGACATCAGCACCTTCGTACCGGAGACCCATATTTTCAATTGAACGGACAGTGCTTCAATCACAGCCCCTCGACATGTTTGCGCAAAAGCTCGGCAATAGGTCTTCCAAACTGAGCATTAGCTTTGTTGAGTGCAGAGAAGGGAAGGGTGTTACTCGAGATTATGGGATCGAATGCCTGGGCAGCATTAGGGCAGCATGCAATGGTTTCATCCTGCTCAACAATAGTCTCAAGAAAGGAGGGGTCTTGGTCATGAACCCTGTCACAAGGAAGCAACTTGCACTTCCTGTGGGTACATTGACCCGACCTGACTGGGAATCGTACGGATTTGCCTCGACCGGTGGAGGATACAAGGTGGTCCACTTGTTCATGGATGACATGAAATACGTTGCCTGCGAGACACTCAACCTCGGGTCAAGATCGTGGAAGCCAGTGAACGGACCCCCCTCGGGGCTGCTTCGTCGTTTTGGTTTCAATCCTGTCTCGGCCATTGGAGCTCTGCATTGGCTTTCTCGCAGTAACAACTGCACAGTCTCGATGGATCTGGAAACTGAGAAGTTCCACATTGTACCTCTCCCCAAGATTTGTGGGAAGCACGATAGGATTCTCGAAATGGGCGGCCTCTTGGGCTTCGTCACTCACGAGGATCGCCACATAGATGTATGGAAGCTGAAGAGCATTGCAGGTCAGGGTGATGATGCTGTATGGACGAAGCAGCATAAGATCTCCAGAGGTAGGTTGATCAACTTGGTCCCCTTGTTTTGCTTGAGGATCAAGGGAGATGTGATCTTCAAGAGGCATGACGCTCGTTCAGTTTATTCGTATGATTTCGAGTCTGAGAGGATGACTAAGGTTGTGGTGGATGAGGGGTTTCGTTTCTTTGGCAGTTTGCTGCCTCATGTCAACAGCCTTGGCTCTTGGACTGCTGCTACTCAGAATCTGATGTGAATGGGATTGATGATGATGAATAGGGTCATTGGACATGCATTGTTTTGCTACAATATTAGTCATTTCGACATGGTCTGGTTTATTTACAAGTCAACTTGTTCGTTTCCTTGCTTTATGATCTCTTGGTTTGGGAAACTTGAATTGTTTAATTTTGAAATTACTATAATTGTATGGGGAGCGGCAAGTAATTCAAAATGACTCATTTCAAATAACTCGTGACAATTGATCAGATTATCTCGTCTGTTTCTCAAGATCATTTCAAGAAATTATTGAAGTCGAATGTAAGAGCTTCAAAAGGATACTCCCACATTTCTGAAACTGAAAGGTACATCCACTGCAATGAGGGCACAGTTCCAAACCTATATTAGCTAAAGAAGACGGGGCCTTTAAACCCAATGAAAGGCTATCCTTCCTAAAATTGTACACCAAAAAAATCTTATTTCACATCAGCCTTCGCCAATTCTTTCAGTTCATAACAAACCGGAATATGAGCATCTCCTTTCTCCATCGATTTCAAAGATGATTCAAAACTGTTCTTCTGCCAACCTGTAGATTGCGAAAAATGTATACCAAGAACCACCATTTTCTGAAAGTTGCTGCTAACTGAAATACAATAACCTTGAGGGGGCCGATTTACTGAACTACGAGTGGTGCTTCGACTGAAGCAGCAGTTGCTGCGAGTTGAATGTTTCATTGGGCAACTGCAGGAGACCTTCGTGTTGCCGCCTTTGCATGCAGCCTCTCCATGAAAGCTGGGTTGGCTTTCAGTCTGCCCTTGACATATGCTACTCGGGCATCCTCTGCCATCTTGTTTGCTTTCCCAGCCTCCTCGATTATGGAAAAGAGCGTTCTCAGGCAATCTTTCCTGTTTTCTTCACGGTGTTCAAACCTGTAAGGAAGAAAACTGACTATATTATAATTTATAACAGGGGTAAGGTAAAAGTGGCATCTACTAATCTGATGCACAATAAAACTTAACCAACAAGTAAAAATATTAGTTGTTCCACAGAAAGACTTGGATCAGGAAGATTTCCATATAATCAATTGCCTAAAAGATGCTTCTAGTCGGCAAGTTTTTCTTAAGCCTAGCTTTCTAAAGCAAGTTCTTCTAAAGTTTACCCTGTCCTGTATTTCTTCTTTCTCCCTAGAGGTTTAATTTGTAAAGGATGGAAATCATGCAATGGTTCGAAAAGAACAAAGAACCACAGGCAGTAATCGATATATACCATATATGAATTACAGACTCAAATAACAGTTCAGAAACTAACCTTTCACTGGTAATTGTGAGTTCATCTTTGCCGGGGTGATAACGTTTACCAACCAGTTCTCTCATTCGCCTAAATTGATGCTTCGAAAGGCCGAGCTCCTTGACTGTAACCGACATTTTGACTTTCCTGTTTTTCGGATGCCATGCATCACCACCAGGAGCAAAGACTGCACGAGTCTGCCACCTGAGAATTGGACCTTCGCCTGGTGGATCGTCTGTACCTTTTTTCTTGTCTGGCACAGTAGTCTCGTCAAACTGATTGGCGCCCTCAGTTTCCATTCTCTTTCCATAGTCAATCACAATTTGATCCTCAAATTCTTTGAACAGTTTGTAGGCATCTTCAGGCTCAAGCTCCCCATTTTCGCACATATCCCCCAACTCATTGAATTTCTTCTCCACCTTCTCCTTAATGTCAGCTGAAAATATATGTCAATAAAAATATAATGCATAAATCAGAACGAATTGAGCATCATAGTAGGGTTTTATGGTTAAGCAAAATCTCACACTAGATAGACAAACTATCAATATCAAAGTCTAATACTTTTGATGAATCTTGCAACTTCAAGTTCTTATGGAAATTTTTTATCATGGATCAGAATAAAGCCATAAATTCCTCATAAAATGTTTGAGGGGAAAATGTCAAGCATTAGCACTGAAGAAGCCATTGCTATAATGCAGTATCCCTGAACTTCCAAGTACTACCAAACCACTTCAGCAGTGAGTGATAGATGCATTTTGAAAGGTTTGATATATCATTAAACCATTGCTAGTTTAGTATCCCTGAACTTTCAAGTACTACCAAACCACTTCTTCGTCCGTGGGCGATAGATGCCCTCTGAAAGGTTTTGTATTTCACCAAGAGTTCAACACTGCAGTATACTTGAAGCAAAATGAACAGGATAATTAATGTCTACCCTCTTTTTACAACGAACCTAAATGGATCATGAAACTCCTTTCCACAAGCTTTCCATATTTTTACAGCAATTGAAAATTCAAAATGTATCATCCCAAACATAAAAAAAGGTGAATTTGACTCCAAGACGATATCGATTAGTACTATTACGCTCCATAAGAGTTTGCAAGGTTCTATTAGCACCCCAATCTTTGGTAGAATGCAGAAATTCAATGTTCTCAGAATGGCAACACATACACAGCTCAATTGAATAAGCAACAATGGAAATTTTGAAGGGTGAAACAACTCTACCTGGAAGAAGATTGTCCCAGTTAAGCATGTCTTCCAATAACTCCTCACACTCCCTCGTATCTCTTATAACTCCATGCGTCATTGCCTCATTCACCATCTCGTCCCACTTCTTATCATCCATATTAAAGTACTCGTCTTTCATCATTCTCTTAACTACAATGTCCCTCGCGCTGTACAAATCATCAATCTCGTCATCCGTCGGGTGCGTATCCTCGAAATCAGATTCGAACTCCTGATCTTTCACATCGTCCAACGGCTTCATCTGAAGTTCCTCCATCAACTCGTCATCGGTATCCTCATGCTTCCCTGACAGTCTCCTCTTCAGAATCGATTCCATGATAGCAGGAAGCACGTCTTCGTCCCCCGTGAAGTACTTCTCCATCATTTCCTTCAAATCTGAAAACCAAGCCCCACGAGATCCTAACTCAATACACCTGCTATTCCTTTATGTTCAAACGAATCAACCAATATAAAAAAGGATCGCAATAAGAGATGAATTTCCTTTTTACCTTTATTGCTCACATCCTCTACTTCCACAGACTTCTCTTCCTTGCCGAGCTTTGCCACCGCCGACGATGTCTCCGGAGCAGCGCCCGGCTTCTCGCCCGACTCGGACGAGTACATTCGGCAAGAGAAGTTTCTCAAAAGAGAATGCCGCATCTTGTCAACGGAGGAGCCGCAACCGGAAGAGTACGACCTGAGGGAGGAGCGAACGGAAGCAACCGGAGAAGGCGACGTTGCCTCGGAAGGCCTAGAGATCGGGCAGCCAGCATTTCGCGCCGGTGTGAGGAGCCGGCGGGTGAAGATTCTGAATTGAGACGATCGCATTTTGCATTCTCCTCCTGCGTCTCTTCTCCGATGAGATTTTTAGGGTTTTAGATTCTGCAAAGGTTTCCCTTCCTTCTAATTTGTTTTTCAATATTTTTCCACTTTTGACGCCGGAATTTCTCTGATGTGTCTGTTTCAACCCGAAACTTCTAATTTTCTCCATTTAAACCCCAGGTTTCAGTGGTCCAAGTTCCTGATCGTGGGCCTTCAAAGTTTGCCCAACACAGCACTATGCAGGTTGGCCCAACAGGCCGGAAAGAGAGAAAGAAAAGAGGCCCAATTTACTGTACCAATTTATTTTTTCTTCTTCTTTATTCAGTTGTCGTTAGAAGACCAAGCCGCCATCTGAGAAGATCCCCGTTTACCGGGGAAGAACACACTTTCTTCCAGATTTGTGGCCGTTCAAACATTTTTCCCGCGAGCGCTCAATTCGCCGAGTTCGTTACAGAGAGAGAACGGGAGAGACAGATGGCGACAATGGCGGCCACAGCTACCGCTTGTTGTGGCAGCAGCTCCTACAATTCCAATTTGAGGGCAACTCGGAGAAATGGAACAGAATCTCATACGTCGGCCACTTTGGCCTCGCCGTCGTCACGATTATCGTTCTCTTCCAGAGTTTCCGGTTGTTCTCTCCGCGCCCAGCGCTCCCTTCCTTCCCTTCCAATGGCGAATTCCGGGAATCCGGCTCAGGTAATGAACTGGGTTGGGCGCGGATTGGTTAGGGATTTGGAATTTCGGATTGGGATGATTTTCGGATTTCATTGGTTCTTTTGGTGGGGGTTTTGGAATTTTTTCAGGCTGTTTTGGCTTCGGCGAAGGCGGATCCGCCGCTTAGAATCATGATTTCAGGTGCTCCGGCGTCGGGTAAAGGGACTCAGTGTGAGCTCATAAATAAAAAGGTAGCTCTCTTTTTTCCGACTTCTCTTTGTTCTTTGGGTTTTTGGCTGTGGGTAATGTGCGTTTCAAGTTGTGGGATGGGTCACGAACTAGCCTGAACATTTTGTTTGCTCATTAGTGTTTGTCATTAGATAGAGGTAAGATGGGAAATGAAAATGGTTACAGTGACTTATTAGGATAGGTTTAGTGTTTTACTCGTCTCGATAGCTGATTTTCGGTGCTGAATGAGATAAATATAAGTAGATGAATCAGTTGTCAAACTGGTATTAACCTGTATTGTGATGTAAGTTCGGCTGGGATTGCGATTGGGCGAATGCACACTACATATTTCTTTCTCAGCATCTCCTGCATCGGTTTGTGATCTAAAGTTAGTCACTAGAGACATACAGATTGATTCATAGTCATGCTCTCACATGTGCAGTATAACTTGGTACATATTGCTGCTGGAGACTTGTTGCGGGCAGAAATCGCTTCTGGGAGTGAAAATGGCAAGCGGGCAAAGGAGTACATGGAGAAAGGACAGCTGGTTCCAGATGAAATAGTTGTGATGGTGTGAGAAATGAACTTGGTGAAATGTTTATCATCTAAATTTCTGAATCTTGAGTTGTAAGTTGGTAGTATGCTTTGCCTTGTAGATGGTGAAGGATCGGCTGCAGCATCCTGACTCGCAAGTGAACGGCTGGCTATTAGATGGATACCCACGGAGCATGTCTCAAGCTACTGCCCTCAAGGGATACGGCTTTGAGCCTGATATCTTCATCGTCTTAGAAGTAAGAACTTGAGAATTATTGCAGTTCCTCTTGTTTTAACTGAAAGTTGAAAACTTTGCAACCGTATCTGCAGGTCCCTGAAGATATATTGGTTGAAAGAGTTGTTGGACGTAGGCTGGACCCTGTTACTGGCAAGATTTACCACATGGCCTACTCTCCCCCTGAAACTGAAGAAATAGCTGCCAGACTCACTCAACGGTTCGATGACACAGAAGAAAAGGCACGTCTTGGCTTTAGTATTGTGATGAATAGGTTGGAGAGTTAATTTTCTCGCGGTTGATGAATTGGTTTGTTTTATCATGACAGGTGAAGTTAAGGTTGAACACTCATAACCAGAATGTGCAGGCCGTCCTCTCAATGTACGAAGATATTACTTTGAAGGCAAGTCTATCAATTTTTTGTTCCTATTCTGGTGATTAATGCTTTATTGCATAACTTTCATAACCTTTTTACTTTAGTTTTAATGATAGGAAAATTAGTAAGAACTTTATTTTCTCATGACATATTCCAAACGTGTTAGCTACCGAGTACTGGAATTCTGTAACTTAAGTTTCAGCAATCTGGTGCTTTAATAGCGGGAGAATATGTGCCTAGTTTTCCAATATGAATCATGTAAAGAACTCCAAACTGGTTATTTCACCCTGTAGTGTTTCTGAGATTTCTGAATGAAGGATTTGAAATGTTGAGACACTGGAATCAATACCGTTAACATTCAAAAAGAAGAATCAACAAGAGTAGTTTGTAGAAATAGGAACAACACTTTCATTTCGACAAAATTTGAGGTATATCATCTTACCCTCAATGCAATCAGGCTATAGGAGGAAATTCATCAATTTATCTCATGCACAAAGGAGAGTTATATTAACTTACATTTATCATGATTAGCTTTGAAGAGTTTCTCAGGGAACTTAGGAATATGCATGACTTGTTATGAAAAAGATAAGGTGGACTCTTTGTTGTGATATTTAATATTTACCAGTTGTATTCATCGGGCATAGGTTTTGCATGAGAATGGAGGATAACATTTCATATGTGACTCTTTCTGTGTTTGATAAAAAAAAAGTCTTCGAGCATCTGACTTGGGTTTCTTATTGTCCTTCTCAATTTCTAGGTCAAAGGGAATGCGCCAAAAGAAGAGGTTTTCACCGAGATCGACAATGCTCTGTCGAAATTGATTGAGAGCAGGAAGGCAACTTCAGAATCTCTGGCTGCTTGATCTGAAAGTATGTTTGCAAGAGCGCCTATGTTGTATTAGTAACTGCGAGTAATAAGTTGGTTTTTTATAGCGCACGTAATGTTGGGCTGTAATTCTCGTTTTTTCTTCCACTTTTCTTCTTCTTGACAGCATGCGGTTTGATAATCTTGTACATGCGGTTTGATAATCTTGTACAGTAGCATTTAAAACATAAAGAGACATTTTAGAGCTATGTCAAACTAAAATTCAATCATGGTTCTCTTAATTATGCACTCTCATTTAAATGTCATTTTGGCAGTAGAAATGATGAGTTAATGTAAACATCAATCTCGCTTTCGTTTGAGGAGCTTGGAATAGGATAAGCGAGAGTATTGATTGAACATCTTTGTATAACTCCAGTAATTTATATGAACTGAACGAGGATTTGCGTTTAGGTAAAATTGCACTTTTAGTCCCTGTTCTATGTTGTTTGAACATATATGCCTTTTCATACTATGATTTCTAAGGAACACGAGATAGTCAAACGCTTTAGGGCTTTCAGTCGAATAACAAATAAAATAAAGCAAATAAAGGAAGAGTAGAGTACTTTAGGTTTTTTCAAGTTATAGGTGCATAATAGTAAAAATACGTTATCGTAAAAGATAAATCTCGAATATCATTATGCATACTAAAGCTCAATCATAGCATGCATCAATTACTCATTTATAACATTACTCTATCCCTTCCACTAAAGACATTCTCTACTCGTGCATTTGTTTCTCGAGATAGATCTCTCTCTTCCTCTCTCTATGATAAACGTACCAATAGGATAAGGTTTCGTGAGATTAAGGTTGTTTTATGCGGGAAGCTTTGATTTGGTATCATTGATCATCTATCTGACTGCTTAATGCAGGTTGCATATTTTTTTCCTTTTAAACCAACTCTGATTTGATAGCATTGATCATCTAAATAATAAAATCATACTCTAATCGCGACATTCTCCTATAAACCAGGAACAACAATGATACACCAAACTAAAAACTCTCAATAGCTTCTAACAACTTTCAAGACTCAATTGAGTAATTGACACAAAAAAACAAATTCAGGATACTCGGCGTGAAATAAACCAGACGACACCGTTTTACTTATTGACACGGACTTCATTTAAATTCTAATGTTTTGGCGCCATCTCTAATAATTATGTGCGTAGGACAGGATTGTCCTGTCTTCCCAGCTTCAACTTAATTTTGTTCATGGTTCAAAAATAGCGCACTTAAACTAATGGTTAGGCACGCTTAGGTGCTAGGCAACGCCTAGACGTTTCGCAAGCAAATTAGATATTGGGGAACACACTAATGGAGTAAAGCGACACTTAGATGTCTTGTATGGATAATTAGATCGAGCTAGACATTCAATATAGCAAAAAAGTGATTAGGATCACCCACAAAACTAGATCTTTTGTGTAAAAAATTTTGATAGCTTGAAAATTTTGTAAGCTATTGATCTAGATCTATGATTCTATGAATTTGTGAGCGCACTTAAACAATATCTACTATCTAGTCGCTAGACAAGATCCTCCTAGCAACTTCTGGAATGTAACAACAGAGTAACCATAAAAGGATGTCAATAGGACAACAGAGTAACCAGCAAATCCAAGAAGCGGCCGCAATCAACACGGTCAATACACCACGCAAAACAGAGTGAACGGCTCTCGACATGATCAATCCCTTCTCCTCCGTCGCCAACACCACACTTCCGGCCGCCGCCCCTTTCCACTGGAACAATTCCCGACCAATCTCCGCCGCCGCCGTCGTTCTATCGGCAGCACGCTTCTCCACCTCCACCAGCCGAATCCTCCCCAACTCGTCCGCCCATCTCACCACCAGCGACCCCTTTCCGCCCCGCAACTCTGCCACAACCACGATGCGCAGAAATCGTCCCTGCGGATGAGGCAGAGCTGACAGAATCCTCCTCCTCTTGCCGCCGCCGATCCCGAACATCATGACGTCTCCGTCCTCAAACAGGCAGAAGAAATTCCGGTCCCTGTACCCTATCCCCTGGCAGAGCCGATCTCGATTGTCCCGGTAAGTGTACTCCCGCCACCGCCGCTGGCCGCGGCGGAGCGTCCTGAAGCTGCGTAGGCCGTCCACTAGGAGGATCGTCCAGTCGCTGCCGGTCGGCGGGGCGGAGAACGCCGCGATTACCTTCACCCAGTGGAGTTCCGATTCGGGGAGGCGGATGAAGCCGGCCGGCCAGGGAAATAGGGGATTGTAGCAGCCGAAGATTCGGTGGTCGTGTCCCAGAAGACACCACCCGCTCGCCCAGCTGTGGATGACCAACGCGCCGTTGACGGTCGATCTCGACGGAGCATTATCGGGGATTGTGAGGTGGGTATAAGGACGAGGAATCATCGCTGCCGGCGGCAGCTCGAATTTCGAGGCGGAGGCAGGGGAGGACTCGAGGTCGATCCGGCGCCAGTTCTTGCAAACGGATCGAAACTCGATGTCGCCGGCGGGGCCTGGAGGGAGCTTGGCGTAGATCAGGTTCAGCACGTCGGGAGTCAGATCGGCCCATGGTCGCTTCCTGCTCTTTGACATGATAGGGAAGATCATATCCGCGAAACTGATGTGTTTTTCTCCTGGATTGAGATAAGAAGAAGACGGATGAAAAGCTAGGGGTTACGGTAAAAGCTTTAAATTATGTTAGAGTTTGAGCCTTGTTGTAACTCATTACATGATTCGAACTGGATCAATTACCGGATATAAGTAGAACATCGAATCAATTACAAAATGATTCGGTTCTTTGCCTGGATGGTTAGGGACAGGGGCGGACCCATGGGTGTTTAGGGGTGTCCCCGAACATCTCTAAATTTTGGGAAAACGATTATTCAACCCCCGGTAGTAATTTACGTATTGACAAAAAAATTATAATTGATAGTCGGGGACATTCCTAAATTTAAAAAAGTGATTATCCTACTCTCATCTTTTAGTTTGAGTATGAGAATATAAGTCGTAGTTTGGGTAATTCAAACCTAGGACACTTTTATTATTAATAAACATAATTTTCATTAGACTACAACTCATATGTTATTCGATTTTAAACACTATGTAATAGTATACTGTCATTCTCTATCTCTAATTATTTTCAAAATCTAACAATTAAACAAATTTCAAGCTACCCTTAATTTGTATTGATTTATGGTTGTACAACAAGTATTGAAAGAGTCTTTTCAGCTTTGGATTACATCAAGAACAAGTTTAGAAATTGTATTGATTTATGGTTGTACAACAAGTATTGAAAGAGTCTTTTCAGCTTTGGATTACATCAAGAACAAGTTTAAAAATTGAATAAGTGATCAGTTCGTGAATGATTCTCTAATATGATATACAGAGACAATTTTTTTGAATAGTGTAGACCCCAACTCCAAGTGTGTTCTACAATCATTTTATAATATGAAAACACATTGTGAATTTTTTCAAACTGTATGAGTAAAGTATTTCTTATTTAAATATTATTTATTTTTTATTAATTATTTTAGAATTATTTGTATTTAATTTATTTTTTAAAAGAGGACACCCCTATGTAAAATTTATGGGTCCGCCACTGGTTAGGGATGGATAGAATGGCACGGAAGTATGTTGGATACGAAATTAGATGAATCATTATGGTTTGACTGGTTCATTATTTTAATACGAAAATAAATTAAGGAACAAAAAAATATATAGATGTAAACTAAGACCATCAAATCTAAATGACTAATTTTATATATCCTTCCTCTTCTTTGTTTCCAGGCCATTCTATTGGCTTTACGTGAACCACTATCGAATACTATCCTAATTACTATCTCGAATTTAATAATAAAAAAAATTATGATATCTTTTGTATTAAAGTTTCAATGATTTGTTAGAAGTTTTTAGTGATAGATGATATGGATTTGAAATTGTCAGTGATTAATTCAGTTCTAAATTAATTTATTCTAAATGTCTTCTATATTATAAGCCCATGAATGATTCTATCAACGATTAACCAACAATTAACAGCAAGAATATTTCCACGCCAGATCAGGAGTTCTTGGCCACGATTCTAGGGGTTGGTGCGGTGGGGGTCCACGATAAATATCTGGGGCTTCCAACGCTGGTTGCTCGGTCCAAAATGGCTACTTTCAGATATTTGGAGGAAAAACTCCTAGAGCGACTTTAGGGGTGGGGTGGAAGCAAAAGACATTGTCGTGGGCTGCTAAGGAAACATTGATTAAATCCATAGCGTTGGCTCTTCCCCTTCATGTTATGTCATGTTTCCGTCTTCCCCTGGCTCTTTGTCGTCTTTTAGATAAGCATGTGGCCCGTTTTTTGTGGGGTGCAGAGGACGGTACTCCCAAAATTATATGGGTGTCCTGGCGTAACATGTGCAGGAGTAAGCATGATGAGGGGATGGGATTTCGCCAGTTCGAACATTTCAACCAAGCTCTGTTGGCTAAGATAGGCTGGCGTATTCTCAATGAACCTCAATCACTTATTGCCCAGGTCTATAGAGGCAAGTATTTCCCTCAAGGGTCTTTCCTGACCGCGACTGCTAGGTCTCGTCCCTCTTGGGGGTGGCAAAGTATCCTGCATGGGCGTCAGTTATTGGAGAGGGGTTTGAGATGGCAGGTTGGTAATGGCCAATCGGTCTCCCGTCCTTCATTCTAACTGGATTCCTAGGTACCAATTTGATCCCCCAAGCTATAATCCGCGGATCTTGCCAGAGGGGGGTGATCCCTTGGTGGCGGAGGATATTTGTGAGGGGGGAGGGAGGTGGTTTGATGAGAAGCTCAGTCAATGGTTTGACTCGCCTACCTGTAAGGCTATTAAAGTTATTCCTCTCCCGCGTTGGGACGTGCCTGATAAGCTTATCTGACATTTTACGGCTGACGGGGTCTTCTCGGTTAAGTCGGCCTATCATTTGGATGTCGATTTGGACAGGAGGAGGGGTAGGTGGCGATCCTCGGTTAGCTGGATGGATAAGCCGAGTTGGATTAGAGTTTGGGAGGCGAAGATCCCTCCGAAGTTGAAGGTTTTTGTTTGGCAAATTCTTAATCGGGCTCTGCCGACTATGGAGGCGCTTATTGAGAAAAAGGTCTAGGTGCTACCTCGGGTGTCCAGTTTGTTGGGATGACCCGGAGACAATGGAACACCTGTTCCTTTATTGTCCGGTTGCGCGGCCCTCTGGGATTATTCTGTGCTAGAGTACTTGGGGGAGGGTTTGCCTCGACATACTTTTCCTTTATTTCTCAAACGGCTGTTTGGGTTTGATCCATCAACCGTCAGTGGTTATGGCTGTTGTTGCCATCCTTTGGAGGATCTAGCGATCTCGGAATTGGATAGTGTTTGAAGGCAAACAATTTGGGATCCCGGCACTCATGCGACAGTTTAACCAACAGTATGAGGAATGGGTGGGCCTAACAGCGGATCAGGCGCCTAGGGCTCAAATCCCGATAATGCAATCTACAGCACAAGTGGGTGATTCCCATTTGGTTTGCATGTGGGACAGAGCTACTAAAGGTGGGTCACATTCGGCTGGTGGGATGGTTCTTTTTGACACAGCGCGGACATTCCTTCTGGCTAGAGGGGTCCAGTTTTCTCAAATGGATGATCCTGTAGTGGTGGAATTGCTTGTGCTTAGGAATGCTATTATTTGGTGTGTGGAGCAAGGTTTGTCGGAGGTCCGATTTTAGGGCGATGCAAAGGTGATTATTGACAAAATTAATCAAGCCGACACAAGGGATAGCCGCTTGGGTACTGTTCTGGAAGAGATTGCTCATTATTTTCGTACTCAGCCTGGATTTAGTGTGCATTTTGTAGGTCGGGAGAACAATAAGGTAGCTCATTTGGTAGCTAGAAAAGCCCTCTCTTTGTATCCGACTATGAGTCGCTTCTTTAATTTCCAGACCTGGCTGGTTTCCAGGATGTAACTGTCTTTTTTCGATCAATACATGATATCTTTTGACAAAAAAAACCATTAAAACATACACCATTAATTTTTTTTATGTTCAACGTCGGTTCAATATTGAAAACATAAGGTTTGAGTTGAAGAGAGGAAAATCTAGTGTTCATAATTTAAAGCTACTAGAACTTTATTAGTCATCACCATTATAGGATACCTCAATTTGACAATATTAGTGAAACCTCTTAAAAGACCTCAACACTAATTTTACTATTTTCAGGCCACCATTTCCCCATATCTAACAATTGAATCGTTAATTATGTAACCCACTAAAGCAACCACTACTAAACCCAATTCAAAACCCAAAAAATTTATTTAAGTACATGCTTGTGATAGTAACCATTCCCTACATCTTCCACATGATCAGTACCAACATCAGCAGACAAGGGCTCAGCATCTACGAGCAACCTCACCACTTCTCGCATCGTCGGCCGCAGGCTCGGCAGCTTCGTGGTGCAGAGGAGCGCGATTTTCAGGACTCGTAGGATGTCGTCTCGTACGGCTTCATTGGTCGCCACTGAACCGTCGAGAACGTTCCTGACGATATTATCGTTGTTGGTGAGATGACTGGATACCCACGACACAATGTCCTTGCCTTCCCCGTGCTCGTCATCGTCCTCGATGGGTTTCTTCCCCGTCACGAGCTCGAGTAGCACGACTCCGAAACTGTACACATCGCTCTTTTCTGTCACCTTCAGCGAATACGCCATCTCTGCCAAATGAAGTAATGAGCAATTAGTGACAAAGTTTGTAACTTAAAAAAAATACACAATTTTAAGACAAGTGGAGTATGTAATGTAATATAGGGAGCTTACCAGGAGCAATGTAGCCATGAGTACCAGCAAAGCAGCTATGATCACACCCTTGCTGACCATGAGTCACCTCAGCAAGCTTCGCCACACCGAAATCCGCGATCTTCGCCTCGTAATCCTCGTCGAGCAACACGTTGCTCGACTTGATATCTCTGTGAACAACGGGAGGGGAGCAATCATGGTGTAGATACGAAATCCCTTTCGCAGCTCCAAGGGCAATTCTGTATCTATGAACCCAATCCAGCTCCGGCAGCTTCCCGCCTTTGATCCTCCGATGAATCGCCTCGAACAAGTTCCCATTCGGCATGTACTCGTAAACCAAGTAGCTGCATCCACCCTTCAACAAGCAAGCGTAAAGCTTCACCACATTCCTGTGCCTAATCCTCCCCAAGATCTCCATTTCGGCGGTGAAGAACTTCAATCCATCTCCTTTCCACAGCTTCTTCACTGCAACTGTGATTCCCTTCTTGTTCAATTCCAAGCGGTAGACTTTCCCTGTGCCTCCACTTCCTATCACATTGTCTTCCTCCAACTTGCTGATCTCGTCGGCTTCGATTTCGACTTGGTGAAACGACGAGACGTTCCATTTCGGCTCTGCTTCTTCTTCTTCTTCCTTCTTCTTGTTTCTCTCTAATCCGAGCTCCGAATCGGCCAATTCGTGCTTGAAATTCATGTAGCTCGCGAATAGAAGCCAGGCAAGAGTGAGGACTAGAGCGACTGCAGCGGCGGTGAACAATGCGAGCTTCAATGATCTAGAGTTCTGCCCTTCTCCTCTGTTTTCTTTCCCTGTACAGACGCTGATCATCGCCGAACCACTTCCCGCGAAGGAATTCTCGATGCAGAGTGCTCTGTTTTCGGCGAAAGATTTTTCCCCTGCCATGGAGAGGAGGGAGGGTGGGATTTCACCTGTCAGCTGATTTTCGGAGAGGTCGAGCAAGCTGAGCTTCAGGGAGCCGAGATCATCGGGGATCGGACCGGTGAGCTGATTTCGGGAGAGGTTGAAGGAGTTGAGAGTGATGAGGTTTGAGAATCCGTTTGGGATTCGCCCGGTGAGAGAGTTGTCGGCGAGATTCATGTCTACTAGTTTGGTGCATTGTACGATCTCCGGCGGGATAGATCCTCTGAGCGAATTCTTCCCCAGTTGGAGCGATGAAAGCTGTTTCAGCTTCCCGATTGATGAAGGTATTGGGCCTGAGAAGTTGTTGTTGTTTAGATAAAGCCTCTCGAGGTTGGCTAGATTCCCAATTTCCGATGGAATGTCGCCGGCGAATTTGTTGTTGAAGAGAATCAGCTGGTTCAAGTTGGAAGAGAGGCCGATTTCAGGGGAGATTCCACCGGTGAAGTTGTTGCCACTGAAGTCGATAATCACAGCGAATGGCATCGCCCAGATTCCGTCGGGAATCTTTCCTGAAAATCTGTTGTTGTTGATTCGGAATCTCTGGAGTGATTTACACTTGGAGTAGGAATCAGGAAACTCGCCGGAAAAGCTGTTCTCCAATGCCAGCAAGAACTGCAAGTTCTGACCTTCGCACAAGAACTTTGGGAAGTTTCCGGAGAATTGATTCTCAGAGATGTCGAAGCTGTTGAGAGGAGAGAACCTGCCGAAATCCGGTGGGAATTCCCCGGTGAAGTTGTTTCTGTAGATGGAGAATCCGTTCAGGCTGCGCATTTCTCCGAATCCAGATGGAATTTCTCCAGTAAAGTGATTCTCGTAGACTTGAAACACGGTGAAGTCCAGTTTCGCAAGGCTCGCCGGAATCTCGCCGTGTAATTCGTTGGCGGAGATGTCCAGCTCTTTTAAATGTGTCAGGTTTCCGAGCTCCTCCGGTATCTCTCCGGTCAGCAAGTTGTCGAAAAGCTCGATTTTAAACAGGCTTCGTAGCTTGGAGATCGATTTCGGAAACTCGCCTGAGATCTTGTTCCGGGATAGATCCAGCGTCCCCAGAGCTTCCAGCTCGAAGATCGCATCGGGGATCGAACCGACTAGATGAGAATTCGCCAGAAAGAGATAAGTTAGATTCTTCAAATTCCCAATGCTCGCCGGAATCTCACCTTTCAAGTACTTGTTCTGTCCCAATGCCAGCATTTTAAGGGAACTCAAATTCCCGACCCACGCCGGAATCCTGCCGGAGAAGAAGTTGAGTGACAGATCCAGAACCTCCAATTTCATTAGGAAAGATAGATCAGGGATTTCGCCGACCAGATTATTCCCCGTCAAATTCAGCACCCGGAGATTCTTCAGCCAGGCGATCTCCGGTGGAATCTTCCCCGAGATCGAATTACTCGGCAGCCAAAGGGTTGTCAGGCCGGAGAGCTTCGAGATCACCGGAGAAATCTCACCGGAGAGTGCCTTATCATCGAACGAGATAACTGTAGTCTGGCCGGAGACCTGATCGCATGTGATCCCCGTGAAGTTGCAGCGGGATTCGGAATCTTTCTTCCATGAGCTAAGGAAGTTCAGAGGGTCCTTGAGATGAGACTTGAACTGCAACAGAGCTTCCGTTTCCGTTATGGCCGTTGTGGGTGGCGGGAAAATTGAGAAGAGGATCAAAATCGAACTGAGGAGGAATTGGAGGGAAATGTTCAAGGAGTGTTTCGTCATATTGGGATAACTTGAGGGATGAAATGGTAATTTTCCGCCTGCCAACCACTCTCTTGGCAAATGGATCTTTCCCCTTTCTCTCCTAATAAAGGCCACTCCAAAATAATTGATGATTGCCAGCCTGAAAAACAGAGGTATATACACAATCAATAATTTTGGAATTGTTTCCACATTAAGAGTATGTATTTGGTTAGGAAGATTTAGGACAAAAAAACAAGATCAGTGAAGGATTAGGGAAGTAATAGCACATGATAAATGTTGCTTTAGGTTTTCAATCTCTTAATATTAGTAGGTAATCTTCATAATTAGCTAGCCATTTTATCTTTCTAGTGGATAAAAGAGTTTGTTCATCTCACTAATTGAATTGCACATTAGGGGAAAAAATTAAAATTGAAAATATCATAATTATGGTATAATATCATATTATTGTGGCGATAATTTAGATTGTTCATCAATAACGGTCTTCTGAAATGTTCAGAGTTTAAACTATAATTTTGCAAACCAATAAAATCTAGAGGACTGAAATCTCTTATATGAATGAAACCAATAGCACAATAAGCCATATATATTTGGGATAATGAGAAGACTCGTGTAGTCTTCTAATTAATCTCGTTCGAAAATTACATGATTATAGATAAATATGATTAATAAAAATGGTTTAATTCGCTCATTAATAGTAGCTTTCGAAGAATTTCGAGTTCGAATATAGAGATTACTAGTGTTATATATGATTTAATATGTTCGTTATCAACTTCTTTTGGGACGTTTTGAACTCGAATCGATAGAGACCTGAAGTTACATCATTTAGTGGGTAGAATGAACAAATTATGTGTGGATAACAAGGAGACTCGTAGAATGGGTAGGCATCAATAAGCAAAACAAAAAGTGACGAAAGGTCACTGATAAAACAGAAAGATAAACGTTTTAAAGAGGTCAGCTGACGTTTGTCTCTTGTTAGAAAGGGTTTTGATTATCCTTCGAAGTCACTCCATGGGATATTTCTTCTTTCTTTTTGGCGAGCTTTCCCCTGTTTTTCTATGACGATTAAAGTGGAACCCAAAACAAAACAAGCTTGATATTAAAATCCCATAAACTAATCACATCACGGCAAGAGGAATCAGAACAGCCAAAAACAGACCCAGCTAATCAACAACAATTGATTAATCACGTAATTGTCGTCATCATCATAAGCTAATCAGTGTCCATGAACAGAGGAAGGAGATGAGTAGAGAAAGCCATAAAAAAGAAAGCAAAGTAGTGAACTTTATAGGTAAATTAACTTACCCAGAAGATGAATTCCGGTAGAGAAGGGAGAAATCTCTGGAAATTGCTGGGGGGGAAGAGCTTATTTTCCGGTTTTCCCTCTTATGGAGCAGAGTAAAGAAAGAGACTTACTGGTTATGGGTTTTTGCAGGGGAAACAGAGGACTTGGGTTCCCATTCTTTCTTCTGGTTTTTGTGGTCGAATTGGGAATTGATTCAAGGGGAGAAATCGGGCCGTATTCCCCAAAAGAAGGGAGGAGCTAGTTGGGTTTTTTCTCTCGATAAGAGAGAGAAAGAGTGGGGGAGAGACTAGAGAGAGAGGGAGGGAGGCAGCAGAGTGTTATGGAGGATTGATTGTTTCGTTTGAATTGATTAAGTAAGAAGAGAAAGAGAAAGGAGGGGGGAATGGAGGATGATAATATATTCCCGAGAGAGAATTGATTCAAGGGTTGAGAACTGGAGATGGTGACAATTAATGGATAATAATGACATCGAAGAAGAAAGGAAGGACCAGAAACTAACAAATAAACCAGACTGGGGAAGTGAAGGAATGAGAAGTTTGTTTGTTTTTGCTCTCTTTTGCTCTTGGGGGGTGTGTTTTGGGAAAGGAGATTGGGATAGGGGAGTGTTGTGTCGGTTGATTGTAGTAGTGCTATGAAAACCTAATAGATAAATAGAGTAACAAAGATCGATGATATGAATCCAATCGTGAAATCGAAGATGTAAAAATTTGATTCTTGCCATCACAGTTGATCAAACAATTCAAGCGATGTCATTCATAAAAGAAATAAATATACGGTATGAAGAAGATGGAAACAAGATTAGAAATGCGAAAAGAACCTCGTCTACAGTTAGGAGACGAAAACAATAAATGAGATGACCCGGTCGTCAACACTCCAACAGTTTGAAGATGGTTGTGACTTGTGAGCGTCCAACGCATACAATTGGTCAAAATCTTAGCAGCAGCCCACAATGTATGTAATAGTAGTTCAAAAATGAGAACCATGAGTTCCACGCCATCGCACATACCTCTGTACATATGTGTTGGTAAGTGGTAGCTATATCCCCGCGTGAACTCCAAACTTTTAACTGGATTCCACCCGACGTTAACTCTGATCAGTGTTGACTGTGTTGTTGCGAATGCACTTACATATTACATATTCTTGACTACCAAGAACAACACAACTCTCGAGATGAAATGAAACGAAAACCTTGTTCACATATGGTGGGAAGTTTTTTTTTTTTTTTTGTAACTTGTGATGTGTTTTCTAGCCAAGCCATTTTTTGTTGGGGACTTGGCCACAATTGAATAGGGAATGCATCGTATTTGGTCTTGGAGGGTCGTGGGCAGCAGAGACAAGGCAATCAAGGGACAGATAGTACAGCATGGGAATGGGGAAAATGGCTGGAGCACTACAGAGTATTGTGGTGGGAGGCCCCAATTATGTGCCTTAAGTGACTTATCTTGTTGTCTCTATGCCTTCCCTTAGGTGGAGATTGTTGATGTGACTTGAATCGGATTATCAGCCCTACGACTGGTAATCGGGTTATTTGGGTTCGGGTTCTAGGCCTGGTCTGTAACCTATGCTGCCTCTCATGATTTTTTTACCATTGATAATAGGAGAGGCACTAAGGGAAAGAACTTCATGATGAATGTTAATCATGCTAACCTATGTTTCTCCTTTTAGGACATGATCAATTTCAGTTCCTTCCTAGGCAAGGCACCTTTCACTCAATTTGATATCAAACCTTCAATTGCTTTTATTAATCTATTTTATTCTATTTTGCTCCAACCATTGATTTTGAGAGTTCTTGTTCGTGCGTGGTTTGGTGCATCGCTTAGCTTAAAGGATTCCTGATCCTATTTTTTTCCTCAAACCATAATTATGAAGATATTATTATTATTATATGGTTAACAGATTAGCGTCAAACTTATAATGTAATTATATGTAAAGAAGAACAGCAGGTAAGATGCTTTTGTGTAATTAGCCATAATTATGTTGCTGGTGAATCATATTTATAAAGACAAGATGTGTATGTTAGTGGGGCGGGTACTTACTATTGGTTATGATCTTTGATTTTCCCTGAAGAGACCTGGGTTCGAGTCTTGATATTGATATTACTGGTATTTGTTTGTTGTCTAGCGGCTAAAATGCTTGTCTCAGCTATGGTTTTATGCAATAGGTTAGTGGTTCAATTCTTGCTATTGATTTTCGGTCATGGTTCAAATCCCAGTACATACTTTGAACAAAAGTACTTAGTGTGATTGATTATCATCTTTGTTTTTTTCGGCAAAAAAAAAAAAGTGGGGCGGGTAAGTAATTTCACCATTTTCATTAGACATTATAACTAATTATGTAAATAAATCCAACCAACCATGCAACCTCACTATTCAAAATTTCGTTTTGTATATGTAGAGAGTATAGTTAGGACTTAGGAGGACTGATATAGGAAATAAGCATGTTCACTTGTTGAGACTAATGAGTAATGACTGATCTATTTGTTTCTATCGTTCTTAGAGAGCATATAAGAAGTAGGTAATGTTGGAGGAAAGTCAGTCATGAATTGGAAGAACAAAGGAAAGAAATCAGGATCCGAATGGGTTAGCATTAAAAGGAATCATAGAGCAAGGAAGGAAGATATTCTGGGAGCGGAGCAATTCATTGAGAGAATACTTACAGGAAAGAATTCAAAGAAGAGACTTACCATCCTTGAGCTGCAACGGCTAGTGCCTGAAGAGTATAAGAAGAAACTCTCTGGATCAAACGATGACAACTTTCGGGAAATCAAACTTACAAGGAGAGCTAAAGAGTGTAGCCAGTGAGTTTGATACGAAAGGAGTGTCTGATTCACATTCGGGAGAGGATTTGAATCAGGGAGTGTTGGTCTCAACACTGTAGCTGGATAGCTGAGAAAGATCTGTGAGTTGGCGAATCAATCGATTTACAGGATTGGATCGATTGAGTTCGTCAGTGTAAAAGTGTACTACAATCAAGAGCTTTAAGCCTAGTGAAACGTTGGAAATCACAGCTTTGTGATCTTCCAACCGTGGAATAGTCAGAGTTGGGAATCTTCTTTACCCAGCTCTGGAAACCACGTAAAAAGTGACTGTGTTATTCCTTTGCTTGGTGTGCTTGTTCTGTTTTAATCGGTGACTCTGTTTTTGCAAGGTTTGTGAGGTTTGTCTAAAACAGGGGAAGTAAAGCTCAGGAACGAAACCAAGAAGACAGGTCTGGGAAGTTGAAACACAGCGGATCAAGACAAAGATTCACTAGTGCTCTGCGTTTTAAAAACCTGGGCCTGGTTTTATCGAGATCAAGCCCATTACGAGTAATAGTAATATATGAACACATAGAAACCATTTCCTTCGTCTTTATTCATCTTTCAACACCCTTTCAAGTTCCCTCTCCATTTCACACTGATCTTCGATCAAAAGCTGAGTTAGGGTTTCAGGAAGAAGAACGAGATAGAGTCATCCTCATGACCCAGGCGTCTCGCGCTCGACGCCACTAACACGTGGTATCAGAGCTCGGTCACTGACTGAGTAGGCATAACAACCTCGGTGAGAACCAGAATGGCGTCAAGTTCTACTAGTGCTGCTCCACTCTACCTTGCTGATGGTTTTTCACAGAATCGCCCACTGCAGTTTGAAGGTGTGAACTATGGGTACTGGAAGAATCGGATAGAGCTGTTTGTTGGATCAACTGATCCAAAACTATGGGCGAGGGTAATCAAAGGGCCACATGAACTCAAAGCTGATCAAGAGAAATGGACTGAAGAAGATTACGAGAAGTTTCAACAAAACTGCAAGGCCACGAATCTAATGTACTGCGCCTTAGGACCAGAAGAGTACCACAAGGTGGCTGGGTGCAAGACAGCTAAGGAAATATGGGATAAGCTACAAGTAACGTATGAAGGTACATCTCAAGTTAAAACTTCTCGAATAAACTCTTTGAAGCATCAATTCGAACTGTTCAAGATGGAGGATGGCGAGTCCATTAGACAAATGTATGAGAGGTTTACGAATATAGTAAACAGCCTAGAAAATCTAGGAAAGTCTTATGAGAGTGGTGATCTGATTAGAAAGATATTGTGGAGCTTACCAGAGAAATGGATACCGAAAGTAACTGCAATCGAGGAAGCCAAGGATTTGAGCATCTTGCAGTAGATGAGCTTATAGGGTCATTAGCCACTCACGAAGAGAAGCTAAACAAATCAGGCCAAGAGAAGGACATAACTGACAAGGGAAAGCGAGGGATTGCTTTCAAAGTTACAAGTCAGATGGATGAGTCCGAAGATATTGAAGACATGGAAGATGAAGAGCTCGCTCTCTTAAGCAAACAGATCAGCAGACTTATCAGAATTCGAAAGGAGAAGAAGTCTGGAGGATCTAAATTCAGAGAGTTTGAGAGAAATGAAGCAGGATCAAAACCTGGACAAGCAAGAACCACAATACGAGGACGAAATGAAGGCATTCAAGATTATAAAGGAGTAAACTCAACTGGATGTTTTAAGTGTGGGAGATCTGGTCACATTAAAGCTGACTGTCCTCAATTGAAGAAAGAAAAAGCATACGCTGCTACTTGGAGTGGGAGTAAAGATGAAGGAGAAGAAGAGGAGGAAGTAACAGTGCACAGGTCATTCATGGCAATTGCAGAAGATAAGGCAGAAGAAGATGAGACTTCAAGGTGCTATCATTCACAGGTAAGTATCTCTGAACCTCAAATTGAGTATGAAAGTGATGATGACATGTTGGTTGACACCATTAGGGAAATTCAATTAGATTTTGGAAATGTAAAAACCAAGTACTCACTGTTAAAGAAAGAAAATGAGAAAAATATCTTAAGAATAACTGAACTTGAAATGTTGTTAGCTGCAAGTGAACAACAACAAAAATGCTTGGAGGAAAGCTTGATGATTAAGATAAGAGAAGGAGAAAACTATCATCTTGAATGTAAAAGACTTGAAAGTCGAATTCAAAGGTATCAAAATCTGCAAAAGATGAATAACAAAAATAAACTCCATAAGCTAGTTGAATGCTATTATTGTCACAAGGTTGGTCATTGCATAAGAGATTGTAGATGGAGATTAAGATCAGAAAACAGGAAGAGTAAAACCAGTATGGTTAATCACTCTTCAGAAGTCCCTGATTGGCATAAACCTCATTCAAAACCACCCAAGCAAGTCTGGGTGAGAAAAACAACATGATTTATATGTGTGTGCAGAGATGTCTTCAAGTGAGCATGGAGACCTCTAAGTGGGTAATGGACAGTGGGTGCTCACACCACATGACAGGTAACAATTCCTTATTTTCAAATCTTGAATTAGGAAGCTTTGGAAAAGTATTTTTTGGTGACAATAATACTGCTGAAATCATTGGAAAAGGTCAAGTGGGGATTTGTCCTTCAATAAAAAATGTAATGCTGGTCAGTAGCTTAAAACACAATCTGATGTCAATTAGTCAGATGTGTGGAAAGGATAACAGAGTGATCTTTGAACCTAACTGTTGCTATGTTGAAAATATTAAGTCAAAACAAATTTTGTTCACTGGAAAAAGACATGGTAAGATATATACTATTGATCTAAATGACAAAGAAAGCTTCAATGAAACATGCCTTGTTAGTTTAAATAGAAATCCTCAAGAAGACTGGCATAGACGATTAGGACATGTAAATGTTAGCACTCTATCCAAACTAGCTCGTATGGGATTGGTTAAGGGTCTGCCTAAGATGAATGAGAAACCTGAATTCTTCTGTGATGCGTGTGCCAAAGGAAAACAAACCAGAACTAGTTTTAAAAGCAAAATAGTCATCTCTACTTCAAGACCCTTAGAGTTGCTTCATCTTGATTTATTTGGACCCACAAATGTGGTTAGTTATGGGGGCAAGTCATATGCCTTCGTGATAGTTGATGACTACTCAAGATTTACTTGGGTCCTGTTTTTGGTCAAAAAGGATGAAGCTCTTGCACAGTTTAAAACTCTACTTAAACGAATTGAGAATGAAACACTGTCAAAAGTCTACAGTATACGAAGTGATCATGGAGGGGAATTCTCTTCTGATCTCTTTGAAGTATTCTGTAATGAACTAGGAATCTTTCACAACTTCTCTGCTCCTCGAACCCCTCAACAAAATGGGGTAGTAGAAAGAAAAAATAGGACTTTGATTGACATTGCATGGACCATGCTTCATGATTATGGGATTCCAAAATACTTCTGGGCTGAGGCTATAAATACAGCTTGTTATGTAGTCAATAGAGCTTTAATCAGGTCTGGCTTGAACAAAACTCCTTATGAAATTTGGAAAGGCAGAAGACCAAATTTGGGTTACTTTCGTACCTTTGGGTGTAAGTGTTTTGCTGTGAACACCAAGGACAACCTTGGGAAGTTTGACGCAAAATCAGATGAAGCTGTGTTTTTAGGATATTCAAATTCTAGCAAGGCTTATAGGATTTTTAATAAACGGACCCTCAAAGTTGAGGAGTCCATTAATGTGGTATTTGATGAAGCTACTGTTGAGACTACAGATATCTTGGATGATGATGATTTTGGTCTTGGAAGGTCATCTCCTCTGGTCTTAGACAAGAACTCGGAGGTTCAAGCTCAAGAGGAGAATCTGATTGAAATCTCATATCCAAATCAAGAGAATCACGAGCTGGAATCTAATAAGGAGAATAATAATTCTTCTATGACCAGCAAAGGAGTAGGAGGAAGCACGACTGAGAATCAACCTCCTGCCTACATCACCAAACGACATCCTCCTGCCCAAGTAATTGGCCCCATGGATAAAGGTATGCTCACTAGATCCAAAACCCTACCCTCACACACTGCCTTTGTATCAATGATAGAACCTAAGTCTGTAAAAGAGGCACTGTCTGATGAATTTTGGACTGCTGCCATGTTTGAGGAAATGCATCAGTTTGAGAGAGCAAAGGTTTGGGAACTCGTTCCAAAGCCTGAAGATAGAGTAATTATAGGAACTAAATGGATTTATAAAAAAAAAACAGATGAAATTGGGGTAATAACTAGAAACAGGGCTAGACTAGTAGCACAAGGATACAATCAGGAGGAGGGTATCGATTTCGATGAAACCTTTGCCCCTGTAGCTCGGCTTGAAGCTGTCAGGATGTTGTGTGCCTTTGCTAGTGCAACCAAGATTAAACTTTATCAAATGGACGTTAAGAGTGCGTTTCTTAATGGGGAATTAAAAGAGGAAGTTTATGTTGCACAACCCCCTGGTTTTGAAGATAAAAAATATCCTAATCATGTATATAAATTAAAGAAAGCTCTGTATGGGTTAAAACAAGCTCCCAGAGCTTGGTATGATAAACTGAGTTCCATTCTTCTGGATAATGATTTTCAGAGGGGATCTGTTGATAAAACTCTTTTCACTAAACAAAAATCTGGACAGTTGTTGTTAGTACAAGTATATGTCGATGACATAATATTTGGGGGAACAAGTCAGAAAATGTGTCTAGAGTTCGAAGAACTTATGAAAACTAACTTTGAAATGAGTTTAATGGGTGAACTCAATTTCTTTCTAGGGTCACAGATAAAACAGACTTCAAAGGGGATCTTTGTCTGTCAATCCAAATACATTCAAAACATGCTTAAAAAAATTTGACTTTGGTAATCTGAAAACTGCTATTACCCCTATGGCCTCCTCACTTAAGATTGATAAAGATGAATCAGGAAATGTAGTGAATGAGAAAATGTATAGAGGATTGATTGGATCTCTTCTGTATGTGACTGCTAGTCGACCTGATATCTTATTTAGTGTGTGTGTGTGTGCTCGGTTTCAAAGTGCACCAAAAGAAATTCATTTGTCTGCTGTTAAGAGAATTTTTAGATATCTAGCAGGCACAATTGACTTTGGACTTTGGTATTCTTGTGAATCAAGTTTAGAATTGGTAGGGTACTCTGATTCAGATTATGCTGGCTGCATAATTGATCGGAAAAGCACTTCATGAACCTGCCACTTTATGGGAACCTCTCTTGTGGCATGGTTCAGTAAGAAGCAGAATTATGTTGCTCTGTCAACTGCAGAGGCAGAATACATTGCAGCAGGGTGCTGCTGCACACAGTTACTGTGGATGAAATATCAACTTCGTGATTATGGACTTGAATTTGCTTCGTTGCCTGTACTGTGTGATAATACGAGTGCAATCAACATGTCCAAAAACCCTGTCCAACACTCCAAAACCAAGCACATAGAGATCAGGTACCATTTCATTAGGGAACTTGTTCAAGAGAAGGTGATTAACTTAGAATTTGTTCCTTCTAGTTATCAATGGGTTGATATTTTCACAAAGCCCTTGGGCTCTGAACCTTTCATTCGTATTCGACGAGAGCTAGGGTTATTCAACTTGAAGGAGATAGAGGAACTGTCTGCTCAATCTTGATTTCCTTTTCTGTTTCAAATCAGGGTTACCTTTCTCATTCAAATCTTCTTGATTTGAGAAATCTCTGAACTTCCGGACCAAGGCTCTGGTCACCTTCCTTAGAATAACTCCTTTCATTAGGGGTCCTCGTCTCTTCTATAAAAAGATTAGGGCTCAACCTTGTTTGTCATCAACCTTTCCTCTCTTTCACTCAGCAATCATGGCTGCTCCGCATCAACATGTGACATCCTTGAAGTTGGCTCAAGCAGCCATTTTCAATGGTAAAGGCTTTGAGGACGCAGCTGGCTATGCTCGCTATCTTCAGCAGTTTCAAGATCGTCCTTTACATCCCTCCATCACTCTTGATCCATCAAAATTCAACAGGTATGGGATGGATATCCCCCGCCTGATCCATACCATAGGCTGGGGTGACATACTACCTAATCGAAACTATGGGTTTCGACCTGAGGCTGTGCGCATTTTCTATGCGAATATGAAGCCCTGTCTTCACATCTCCCCTCCATGTTTCACTACAATAGTGTACAACTATCTGATCACTCTCAATGTGGAGTTGTTGTCCCTACTACTGGGAATACCTATTTCTGGAGCTGAAGTCATGAATGAGCTGGATTTCCCCTCTGTGGAGTTCAACGAAGGCGATGCCCTGCGACTGTATACTCGTGATATAGGTCGTTATTATCCTTCGAGTTTCATACTGGGAGACTCCGTGATGATCTCAAGGTTCTGCATTTTTACATCACTCGACTATTCCTACCTCGCTCCTTTGGCCTCAACACCATTTATCCAACTGATTTATGGATTCTAGCTAGTGCCAAGGAGAATCGGGTTATAAGCTATCCTCACTTGATGTTCGACCATATGTTGAATTATCATGCTGATAACTTCGAAGCTGAGCTTCCTTTTGCTCCTCAGATCACTCAGATCTTGTTAGCATTGGGGATTGACTTAAGGTTCAAAAGCCGCTCGAGTGGACATGCTGAGTTCTCTTCGTGCTCAGTTTATTCTGCGTAAAGTAGATGCTTCTGTTGGCCGTCAAGGTCCTGTGGTCAATGCTCCAGGGGGAGACACAGCTGCCCATGAATTTCCTGAGGATGGTCTCAGTCTTGCTGAGCTAGATGGGGATGAAGCTGTAAGAGAACCAGAACTACCTATAAGAGATAATGGCAAGCGACCTATGGTGGATCCTCTAGAGGAAGTTCAGGCTATGTTCAGACAGGAAGAGACAAGCAGCAGCAGGAACCTGCTAATGGAGGACGAAGATGATATTTCTGATTATGTGCCGTCACCCAAATTTGCCTACTAGAGGAATATTGGTCTTAGGGGGAGTACCTATGTTTGCTTGTCAAGGGATTAATAAGTGTAGGGGGAGTCTGGTCGAAATAAGTTGTGTTTTGGAGTCAGTATGTGCTGGGAGTCAATAAAGCTCTGTCAGAGCGTGTGTCTTTGTGTCTGTAGGAAGGTCTGTGTTTCTAATGCTATGAGTTTCATATATGAGATCTGAAAACAGACGTATTGTTCATTTCTATAATTCTATTGCAAGTGATCTATCTGGTTCATCTTATCTAGAGCAGTCTGCACGTAACCGTTTGTTATATGTGTGCAGAAATTTCATAGGCAGCTGATGGGATCATTGACTGACTTAGGGGGAGAATGTTGGAGGAAAGTCAGTCATGAATTGGAAGAACAAAGGAAAGAAATCAGGATCCGAATGGGTTAGCATTAAAAGGAATCATAGAGCAAGGAAGGAAGATATTCTGGGAGCGGAGCAATTCATTGAGAGAATACTTACAGGAAAGAATTCAAAGAAGAGACTTACCATCCTTGAGCTGCAACGGCTAGTGCCTGAAGAGTATAAGAAGAAACTCTCTGGATCAAACGATGACAACTTTCGGGAAATCAAACTTACAAGGAGATCTAAAGAGTGTAGCCAGTGAGCTTGATATGAAAGGAGTGTCTGATTCACATTCGGGAGAGGATTTGAATCAGGGAGTGTTGGTCTCAACACTGTAGCTGGATAGCTGAGAAAGATCTGTGAGTTGGCGAATCAATCGATTTACAGGATTGGATCGATTGAGTTCGTCAGTGTAAAAGTGTACTACAATCAAGAGCTTTAAGCCTAGTGAAACGTTGGAAATCACAGCTTTGTGATCTTCCAACCGTGGAATAGTCAGAGTTGGGAATCTTCTTTACCCAGCTCTGGAAACCACGTAAAAAGTGACTGTGTTATTCCTTTGCTTGGTGTGCTTGTTTTGTTTTAATCGGCGACTCTGTTTTTGCAAGGTTTGTGAGGTTTGTCTAAAACAGGGGAAGTAAAGCTCAGGAACGAAACCAAGAAGACAGGTATGGGAAGTTGAAACGCAGCGGATCAAGACAAAGATTCACTAGTGCTCTGCGTTTTAAAAACCTGGGCCTGGTTTTATCGAGATCAAGCCCATTACGAGTAATAGTAATATCTGAACACATAGAAACCATTTCCTTCGTCTTTATTCATCTTTCAACACCCTTTCAAGTTCCCTCTTCATTTCACACTGATCTTCGATCAAAAGCTGAGTTAGGGTTTCAGGAAGAAGAACGAGATAGAGTCATCCTCGTGACCCAGGCATCTCGCGCTCGACGCCACTAACAGGTAAGACTATTAGAATTAGTTAATTTAAGCTAAAAAAAAAATTTAAGAGTCGAAATTTGTTTAAGGAGATTTCATGAAATTCAATTAGTGCCCAAAACAAGCATTCCATATCTCGTTGAGTATAACACCTTCAAATTAACCCTCTCGAGCAAAGAGAAAAATTAACCACTTCCAGAAACACAACTCCTCCGGCTGGGGTAATCGTTATGACCTTTATATTTCTAAAGTTTTTTGTATTTTCTTTGCATACGATCTTTTACATCATAATCTTGACCATGCAGATACGAAGAACCACTCATTCAACTTCACATGTCGATTGCTCTCTCATCTACACGTAGAAAGTAAATCAGTCAAATAGAATCCAAACCAAAGCTTAATACCTCATTAATCATTCTATCCACATATCTCTTGGATAACCCCACATTCCGATGACTCGAATTATCAAATAATAGTTCCCATAACAAATCTTGGGAAGAATCCTTGAAGTGGAAAACAACCTTTGACTATAGAACTATGATGAGCAAGCAACACGAGAAATATAAGTGAACTTTCTCATTAGATCAAAGTAGCTAGGTAGCAACATCATACCCACCACGGGAGTAATGGGGAAGTAAAGTACAAAGTACGTACATGCATCATCAAGCTAAAATAATTACTTGCCAAAGCTCTTCCTTGAATGAAAGCCTTCGTTCTCTTTTAGGTGGGATCACGACGGCCAAGATAAACAAGAGGAGGAGCAAATCTAAGCATATCTCATTCTAGAACCCGCCTTCGTTCTCTTTTAGGGTAGAGTTTTTGAAGCTAGAGGGCTTTGGTTCAAATTTCAAGTGGTTATTGTGGAGAATTATATAAAACTTGATGGGTATCGGTTAATTAAACAAAGTAATTTGAATCACATTCATGATCGAGATGGATACATCATTATTGTGACTGGGATTTGCCTTAACTTCGACAAATAAATCCTCATTACATAGTAGATAAGCATGTAGAGAAGAATATACATATGCACATACAAATTAATGAAGGCAATGTTGTTCGAATGCTCCCATTAATTATTCTGTAAATTGAAGGTTTCATCAAATCGAAGATTCCAACTTCTAGAAACTTGCTTCAAACACACACGAACACGACTCCATTCCCTCTATCAAGTCAATCCAAAGTCTATTAGAATCCTCTCCTCCAAATACAACAGGGAGAAACAACACGACTCAACAAAATTCATTAACTTTCTTTCTACACTTTCTTCATGTCCCCCACCCACATTTCTATCTATTTTTTTGCTTGACTTGCATGATTGTTCAATAATCTACACAAATCGTAACGTCTTTTGTGACTTTTTATGAGTTTCTTTCATTCTGATCAAAACTAAACTACCATGAAATCAAAATCATAGTCCATAACCTCTCATTAGGGTCCAACTCCAAGCCATATGAAAACTAGGCATGAAAGCCATCTATAACATCACTTATTTTTGGGGAGTACGAAAGAGGCATAATGTTGCAATGGACAATGCCGACACATGCAAATAGTCGGGCATTTTATGTAACGTGAAGGGTAAATACATTTTAATATCCAAACCTTTTATTTTAAACAATATAATAGCCAAACCTTTTCGAAAACAATCTAATATCTAAATTGTCAACTTTCTGTCTGTTTGACCGTTAGTTGACACTTCAAAAAAGTTCGAAGTACGACATTTCATCAATATCCATCGATATCTTCTCTGAAAAACCACCAACATATCGTAGTTCCAAACCCGAGAAGTCCATGACTCCACCATGATGGTATAGAATATCTAAATATTCAGTCATCTGCAATGCCAAAACAAGAAACAAAGTTGTATTGTGACAATTTCACCTAAACAAAGCTTTTTTGAAGTGTCAACTAACGGTCAAAGGAACGGAAGATTGACGATTTGGATATTAGATTGTTTTCGAAAAGATTTGACTATTATATTGTTTAAAATGAAAGATTTGAATATTAAATTGTATTTACTCTAACGTGAATTATAATTTGGAATGTGACATATTGCGGCTAAATTGGCACCACAAGACCGAAGTCCTAGCCCTAAAAGACAAACAAAAGCCAATGCTTTTAGTTATAGAAACTTGACAAATCTCCCCTTCAACAAGAGGTCCTTCATAGACTAGACCAAATAGTCGGGCATTTTTTGTTCCGGTAAGATAACGGTTAGGGGTGGGTGTGCAACGGTTTGGTTCAAACCGGACCACACTAGACCAAGTTGACATAAGGATCGGATCATATCAAATCGAATGTAATGTAGATTTTTACTATTTTTTTGGAATGTTATTATTCATCGATTTTGAGGGCAGTCCATCACAGATTTGACCGGTTTTTTTTTTAATGCTATTATTCATCGGTTTTGAAGGCTATCCATCACAGATTTTGACCGGTTTCTTCAAATGATATTACTCTTCCATTTTGCAGGCTATCCATCACATATTTTGACCAATTTTTTTTGAATTCTATTATTCATTGATTTTGAAGGCTATACGTAACTGATTTTTTGGTAGAATTCTATTATTCATCGATTTTGAAGGCTATCCATAAAAAAATTTGGCCTTTCTTGGAATGCTTTTTTAATATTTCAATAACAAAAAAAAACTTGATGAAGATTAAAGGACAAACCCCTAAAGTTTAGTGAGCACTTGTATAATTGACCCGGGTTTGTTTAGTGGGAGAGGCTGGGACCAGTTGGGGGCCTTTTAAGTATTTGGGCCTGGATTGAAAAGCCCAACAAGCATTACAATTGCATGGAAGCTGCAAAGCTCTGGGGAGGCAGGAGAACTGAAACCGGAAGTCAGTGACCAACTTCCTTCGCCTAATCGCCGACGAGTAAGGTTTCCTCCGCCATGGATCCCGTCTCCAATTCCTTCAATCCTCACAAGCTCCTCAAGGAAGAGTAAGGCCAACCAATCCTTTTCGCTACTTCTTCTCATTTCTCCCTCCCCGTATTTGATCTTCCTCTCTCTGATTCCCCCCTTTTCGATTCAGATTCGTGAGCAATTTGAATGGCTCGTCCATGCTTGAGATCGCCTCGCTTTCCACCATTGTCCCTGTACGTTCTCCCTTTCTTCCTCTCGGTTTCACTTGCCATCTTCTTTTTTCGTGTCAGTTCTCGCTGCAGTTTCAACTTTTCTCTGATGTTTTCCTTTTTTGGGTTAGGCTCTGTTCCTTCTGCGACGCGCGTTCTGCTTCAGCTACAAGAGCGGTAAGTCGGGCGAGAAAAATCTTGTGCTGTGAATGGGATTGCACAGATTGGTTGCTAAATTTCGTGTCTTTGTTTGCTTATGAACTTCCAGATGCAACGAAGAAAGATGATGATGCAGTTGCTAAATCTAGGAATTTGGGAGCATACTTGGCAGTGGTATCTTTGGATTTCCTGTTCCTCATTGTACCAACTCTTCTGGTGCTCACTGTAAGTTGACTATGCACTTACGCTGCTTCCTGGACTCAAATTGTGATCATAGTAGATCATGAGATTTCAATACGATGCTTTGTATCATAGTTTGGTTGAGTGGAGTCCAGTATTGAAATCCAAGTAAATTATCTTCTGCATTTGCATTGGTGATTGATAATTGCATGACTAGTTTGGTTAGCTATATAAATCAGTTGGTTCCTTAGTGCTTATATTGTATTGCAACTTGTAGTTTGGAAGGAGCCATAACCTATGCATCTGATATATGTGACAGGTTCTAGCAGATTGGGTGCATGTTTTGGCCATCGTTCTGGTGGTACTGATTTTATCTCTGGCAGCTAAAAGGTAGAACTTGTAAGTCCTCAGATTCTGCTCAATGTTATATTTTCTATTTTTAGTATCCAAGAATACTCATCTGATCATGACAATTCAGGTTAGAATTGAGAACTTATTTCCGATTGCTACTTCTGAATTCATTCAGGTTTGCTTCATTTGCATCGAATTCTGGGTCGGCCTCTCAGCTTAGGACAAACATTTCATCGTACAGGGTCAATGTGGTACACAGCCTAAGTCTAAGAACTTTTGCTTTGACTGCATTTTATTTTGTTAACTTTAGCCCTAACGAGATTGACTGCTGCAGATGATTGTGACTTGCCTGTGTATATTGGCTGTTGATTTCACAATATTTCCCAGGAGATACGCGAAGACAGAAACTTATGGTACCAGCTTGGTAGGTTTTGTCAGATCCTCATATATTCATATGGTAACCTTTTCTGCTTGATGTATTTTTGCTTGCTCATTGATTATAACTGTTGTGATTCTTTCAGATGGATCTTGGGGTTGGCTCCTTTATAGTGACAAATTCCCTAGTGTCACGACAAGCACGCGGTATATCATCCATGTGAGTGTTGATGGCTTTTGCTTCTGACATTGTTTGCGGAAACTAGGAAAAAACTAAAAGCTACATTCGAATTATTATCAAACTCTACTGCCGTAATTCTTCTTATTCCATCTGGTTTGATTAGTCCAATAGTTCTGTTTGCACTCTGCTTTTGTGGAGTCAGTATTAGGAATGAATATAAGCATATCCTTGGAAATAAACTTTTTGTGTAAAACAGTATTTTGAAGCCTAAAATCAACATTATGTGGCACACCTCATTCTTCCCATGATACTGGTGGATTAGCTCCATTGCCCTCTGTGACCTCTCCTAGCTCCTTACTAACTGGTATTGACGGACAGTTTATTACTGAGAATTGTAAGTCTGATTGGTTGATGCAATTAGTCGACTGGAGGTTAGTGCAGAAAAGGGTTCATGATGAGAAACACGTTGGTAGATGTGCTTTTGTATCTTTTCTTTTCTTTTTGCTATTATGTTACTGTTCCAATTAATGATGATGTGCTTTTGTGTCTTTTTTCTATCAAGGAGCTGGAAGGCTGCTTTTAAATCCTCCAGCCCACTCCTAGTACTGGGATTTGGTCGTCTTCTTTCTACGAGAAGTGTGGATTATCAGGTAAAAATATAGCATGCCACATCTTCGAGAATTACTGATCTGCTCAATGGGGAGGTTCCAATAGATAAATAACACATTAAGTTCTTCTACCTGCAATTCAGTTAATAACAGACTCCACTTGACTGAAATCATTTTGGCCTTTCTTGCTGTGGCTCTGTGAAAACGTTTTTGAATATAATGAACAGACTTGTGCCTACTTAGTGTGAGATGATGATGCTTGAGATAATCGCTCTGCTGGCACGTGGAAACACTTCATAAGTGGTTAAAACAAGGTCATTCGTGTTCGTAGTGGTGGAAAATAGAGTCAGCAACTCTTCATTTTCCTTCCAACGACATAAGACTTAGGTGTTACTTCAGTGGAACTGTTTTTTTTCCCCCTTATCAATAGTGGAACTGTAATTTTAAGTGTGCCTTTGAGGTGAATTTTCTACTTCTTGTTTCATGCAGGTTCATGTTGCAGAATATGGGGTTCATTGGAATTTCTTCTTCACTCTTGCAGCTGTTACCATCCTCACATCCATAATAAAGATTCCCCCCAAGTACTCGGGCCTCTTTGGTTTATCACTTCTTGTAGGTACTTCCCTACTCCAATCTAGATAAATTACCAAATTACTGTCTTCTATTTTAGCTGACCTTGTTTATGCCATGCCACTTTTTTCTTCAGGTTATCAGTGGTTGTCAGTAAATGGACTGAACTTATATTTGCTCTCTAATGAAAGGGGGACAGATCTCTTGAGTCAAAACAAGGAGGGTTTATTTAGCATACTTGGTAAGAGAATTTAGAGTAGTCCAATGACTTTCTTTTGCCACAATTTGCAGTCGATATCAGCATTGGTTGTTGCCCTTTTTCTCCCATTGAATTGTTTCATCTGGTTGATAAGTTTAATGGTGGTTAACTTATTATTCTTGACCTTTTTATCTTGAAACTATACCAAAAACATGCTCAAGTTCTTCGTCTTGGTTATATCCAGGATACTGGGGTATCTATCTTCTGGGCGTCCAGTTGGGCTACCATCTTTTCTTTGGTGACCATAAACCTGAATTGAAAAGCAAGAAATGGGCAACGATCAAAGTCTCCTGCCTTTCCATTATCTTCTGGTAAATTATATGTTTTCCACTTTCACTTTTAAATGAATCGATTTAGTTTAAGTGTTTGCCTCACCTCTCCATGCTTGGTAATCGTGCTGCAGGTTAACAACTGTGGTTCTAGACAGCCATGTCGAAAGAGCTTCACGAAGAATGGTAAGGTTTCCCCTCCCTTTGTTATCATCAATTTTAGGTTGGAGTTTATACTGTTGCTAAAAACCAGGAAAAATCTCTTCTTTGCAGTGTAACTTAGCTTATGCTACACTGGTGTTGGCTCAAAATCTTCAGGTCATCCTCCTCACCTCCCTTATTCAGCACAAAGTGGAGGTTATTTTTCTAAAATTTCGGAGTCCTTTCCTTTTTCAGGTTCTAGCAATACTAATGCTTTCGGATTGCATTGGCGTAAGTAGCATCTCCACACTTGAAGAAGCAATCAATCGGAATTTGCTGGGAACATTTCTCGTGGTGAGCACACTGCTAACACTATTAATCCAAATTGCACTCACCATTATTTAAGGTTCAGCATGGTCCGGTCGAGAATTAGGAGAATAACCATAGGACCAGGGCGATAAGGAGAATTGGCATAGGACCGGATCGAAAAAAGAAGGAAAAACATGGTTCAAGATAGGATCGAAAGCACATTCGATCCAGCTGGGTTTCCTTTGTTTAAAAAGGATCGTGAAATCAAAACTAGGGTGGACGACAACTTTTGGCATACACCCTACCGAATTGATTCAAATCGACCAGGCTGAATATACGATTATGCCTGATTTCATGGATTGTCTTAAAAGAGAAGGAAACATGGACCATATTGAAATCGGCGTGGAGTACTGATTCGGACCAATTATGCTGTGCATCGATATTATTCTCTCTTTCCTTTATTTTTGATCCGGTCCTATGTCGATTTGCACCGGGCCGGACTATTTCCACACTTAATTGAAAGAAGAAAAAAAGTGTTGAACTTGGAAGTTGAACTCTTATGGAATCCAAATGTCATTGCTGGTTGACAGTCTGGTGCTAACTTGTTTATCATTTCTCAATTGCAGGCAAATGTTCTTACAGGGCTGACAAACATGTTAGTCGATACAATCTTCTCAACTCCGCTCTCTGCCCTTTCAATCTTGGTCACTTATGCTTATCTTTTGTCCATTATAACTGGAATCGCAGACTTCTATGGGATGAGGATCAAGTTTTGGTAGTTACAGGTTCTTTCAGCATATTTTCTAGACTAAGTTTGTTCACAGAACGATACTCTTTTTTCTAGTTGGAATCCAACGGCTCCCTGTATTATTGTACCCATATATGGCAATGCAACTTATCAACCTTCCTTCTTTCAATTGGGAGTCACGATCATGAACATCAGTGCAAAATAGGGCATCCCCATACTGACTTTCCCACATGCAATTTTTTTTACACAGGTCATAACTTCTAGGCAAATAATTGTATTGTTTTCACCGCATAGCTTTGTGTTATTTCCTGTTGCATTACCCTAAACATGCATAGGGGTGAGTCATCATCAGAAGAAGAAGACTGCTAATAATGCAGGCAATCAGACAAAAGGAGTTCAGTTCTGGGGGGATGACTGGTATATTGTACTTTTGGGAAAAAGGGTAGAAGAGATGAAGGGTCATCACATGGATTCTGTGCAGTTTTGCAGAGTGATGACAGGCTTACTGGACCACGAAGTCCCACGGGAATCAAATCCATCGCACCACCAACTGTAGGGTCCCCCCCCCCCCCCCCCCCCCCCCGTTTCCCTGACGAGGTACGCAGTTCTGGTTTTCTGGGGTTTTGTTTATTTTTCAATGGCTACCAGATTTTGCTGTCACCCCCTTTTCCTTCTCTATTGTGATTTTCTGCATGGCCAGTTTTGTGGTTCATCATAGTTATAAAAAAAAATAGATTGTACAATGTGTCTTGACTCTTCAAATGTGTTTTTACTTTCAAGTTTTATAGAGAGGGTTCCTGTCACTAGGGGAGATATATGATGCAATAGGAGAGGAAGCTCTTAACCAGTTCATGCTGCTTGTTGTAGTAAGGAAAAATGTTGTTGAGTGATGAAATGGGTAGGGTTATCTTGTTAATTTCAGAATGAGGTAGGTCTGGCTAACCCTGTCCGGTTTTAACGGTTTGAAACGATTTTGTCCACATCTGACCGATTCATATTGAAGTAGACATTCGGTTCGGATTGAAGTCTAATTGGTTTCGATTCTCGAATCAATGACTTTTTTTAAGCTTCAGTTCCATGAACTCTACTTAGATTCCTGGCCAGGTCACTGCAAAGTTTCAGTCTTTCTATTGCAATTTGCATGGCAAGGACATAGCTGCAGGCACTGGTGCTCTTGAAAAAAGCTTCTGGTATGTTGTTTCTTCGACTGTCCTATTCCCCAACGAAGGGGAAAAACCACAGTAGTGAGAGAGGCAAGGCACCCTTCCCAATTCCACCAACAGTTTTTCTTCCATTTTCTTCCACTTTTTTGAAGAACACTTGGTGTTATTTCCAATCATTTTTACCCTGGAAAATGATAACAATCTCTGCCTAATAAACTGTGTTTCTGGGGTCTTGAAATTGTCAGAGATGTGAACTTCTGTGTCTATATCATTGCGATTAGTCTTTGAGTAATATGGGTTTCTGTCAGTAATTAGGATTATATATTCCCTACTAATCTTCTGCAGATGCTCTTTGAATTCTTGCATTTGTTCTCTTATGAGAATGCTCCCAAGCAAGTCATGACAATTTACAGCAAGAGGATATACGCTAGACACTAGGCACACACCTTTTCACAGATTTCTTATATAGAATCCATTTACTACATCTGTCATCATTTAACTTTTCTTTTCTGACTGTGCTCTAGATCGCGAAACCGTGTCGAATTACGATAACAACAAGGCGTGAAAATTGTTATAAAACCGCGATGAAATTGTGACAGGTTGATTACCGATACATAGTTCAACCGGTACGATAGTAAAAATTTCAAAATCTTCTAATTGCTGAACTCGATTTGTTGTTGATCAACTTTTAACCATATGGAAACGTTTCCTTGTTAAGTCCTTCGTTCCTTATTATGTTACATGGTAGGTTTTATTTCTCCTAGTACACAAAGTGAGGTAGGGTACTCCCATCGTGATGGCACAATACCGGCCGTCGGATCGGAAAGTGGTGAGATGAAGGGTTGAGATGCTATGAATGGCCTCAAGAGAGACAAATATTGACACGTACGATTCTGTGGCCTATGTGGCTAATGTGGGCTGTCCGTCACATTCACATGTGAACAGAAAACCATTTGTTGTTCTTGTTGGCTTAGAGAGAAAGAGGTTTTTATTGTCATAGTATTTCCAATAGAAATACGTTTAAGATACGAAAATATACAAGATTTTGTAGGTCATCATGTCACATAAACGTAAAAGAGATTCATTTCACTGAAAGTGAGGTGTTTGTTTTATACGCCAACGAACCACTTCATCGATCACTCGAGAAATTTTGTTACGTCTTTTTTCTTGTTCTTTTTTTTTATGTGCTCGGATTCCACATCCATGCCTTCAAAGCATTAAACTTTGTTTTGACCCATTCAGATGAAAGGTCGGCTGGAGATGTTTGAGGGATCAGACATCTTTTTATTGTCAAATGCTTTAGGTACGTTCCCGAGAATTCGGACGAAGGAAAAATAAAAAACGAATATGAAGACTTAGAGAGACTCGTTTATAAGAACTTAGACCATTTGCACGCTGATAATTAAACAAAGTAGTAGTCAATGTATATGAGTTGTTTATTTATGAAAGGAGAGAACTCTTATTTATTCAATTTGAAGTCGAAGTACATAAGTTAGACGTCTATCAAATCATTAATGCTATAACGCGGCGCCTTGACGATCTTATCCACGTGGCACCTCTCTCACACACATATATATACATATACGCTCCTTTCCCCTCGTCAGTGCATTCATTCATCACCCCTTGACATCTTTTGTGTATATCTTATTCTGTCCTTTCTCCCTTATCTTTCCCTCTCTTTCTCGGATCACAAAATGGCAACGGAAAGTGCAACAATGGCGTCGTCGTCTTCCATTCCCAACAACGACCTCTTCAACTACATTGTCATCTACGACACCATCTCCGCCGCTCCTTGCACCACCGCCGCCGCCGCCCCACAATACGACTACTCCTTCTTCTGTCCTCCTCCACAGCCACCTCCAACAGCACAACCATCACCTCCGCCGCCTGCAAAACCAGCACGTGGCTGCGGCGGCGGGAGGACAAGTAGTGGCGGCGGAAGCAAGAAGAGGAGGAGGAAGGCGAGGGTTTGCAAGAACAAAGAGGAAGCCGAGACGCAGAGGATGACCCACATCGCCGTCGAGAGGAACCGCCGGAAGCTGATGAACGAACACCTCGCGCTCCTCCGATCCCTCATGCCTCCTTCCTACGTCCAAAGGGTACACTAGTCATTTTCATTAACAAATCAATTTTCCTCCCATTGGGGACATCATTATTCATCTTCTAAATTTTCAGTAGAAATTTTCTACTAGTATCGTATCAAATTATTAAGGAAGGAGAGGTGAAAGAGCCTCTAATTCGGTGGTAGAATCAGAAATTTGAACAAAAGAGATAAACATTAGAGAATTTCAAACTGGCGAGGTTAAAATCTTACCAACTACTATATTTCTCTGACATCTGATGGCTCCGCCACTAACAATACTTTTACTAGATTTTAGGTTCGATTCAATGTTCGTTCATAAAAAAATATATCTCGTTTCACCATTAGTCATAATATCAATCGTGAATACCCTGATAATCGTCCATCCGAATTTTAAAACAAATATCAATCATGTTCACATTTCAATAATTGAATTAGGGTTATTTATGATTACATATATGTCTATACTCTATAGGGAGACCAAGCATCCATTGTGGCCGGAGCAATCGAGTTCGTGAAAGAGCTGGAACACTCCCTCAACACCCTCCAAGCTCAAAAACTCCAACTCACGACCACAACAACAACAACGGAAATCGCCACTCCATTCGCCGACTTCTTCAACCACGGTAGTAGTACTGTTCACAACGAGAATCTCCAGTCCCATCACGGCCACATGATGAACAGGGCAACAATCAGCTGTGCCTCTTCATCGTCTAGCTACAATGAGGAAACGATGAACAGTAACAGCAGTACGAGTAGTAGTTACAACAGCAATGGGAATATAGCTGACGTGGAGGTGACGCTGGTGGAGAGCCACGCGAACCTGCGGATCCTGTGGAGGAAGGAGATGAAGGCGCCATTGCAGCTGTCGAAGCTGGTGTGTGGGTTTCACGCGCTGGGGCTGGCGGTGCTTCACTTCAGCCTGGCTACTGTTCACCCTTTTGCACTCTACTCCGTCAGTGCCAAGGTAAATGTTATGATCGTTCTTCGTTATGGAATTTGAATACATATTAGAATGACAAAAATATTCCAAGACATAGTTAGTGTACAACAACCGTTCAGTCCCAATAACTCTAACTCGAGTTATTGGGATTAAACAGTTTATGACAACTAGGAAGTAGGGTAGGTGAGAATCGATATCGCTCAGAATTGGATCGGACTATAGGTTGATGCTCGAATTTATCAGTTGCAAACGGATTGATGTGGTATTCGATTCGGCTTTGATTCTAAAAATCGAGACTCTTTATTAGTATTGATTCGATTGGACTTCGCGGAAGGAAAAGGAATAATAATACATTTGATTTAATTAGGTCATTTCGCTCTAGTTAGGGAACTAATTAAGAAAGTATGAGAACTGTAACGGTGTCAGATCGTGTATAGACACAGGATGAACAAATCGTTCATCCAGATATATTATATAACGAAATAATCTTCGAGCCTTCAATACCATTGAAGTTCTAATACACGCATTTGTGTTGCAGGTTGAAGAAGGATGCCAGGTAAGCTCTGTAGAAGACATAGCTGCAGCAGTCCATCACATGCTTACACTAATAATCGACCAAGAAGCTGAAACCCACCAGCAGCTTCCTTACACTAATTCCCTTCTTCCCTTAATCACCTTATAATTAGATCACATAGAACCTCTCTCTCTCTCTAGATATGCACTTTGTTCATTCCTTCTGGAATCTTTTCTGTGAGTCATTTTGTAGTGTCACTATCTGTGTTTTGTTCTGTACATATTTTTGGTTCCTGTAAGACTGTAGCAAAAGAGTTAGATCCTCTATCCAACATGCATTTCCACCTCTTCTTTCGAGTGGATCTGTCGCACGTTATGGTATATTTTGGGCCGCCGTGACATTGGGCCGACTCGTTGGGTAGGAAGCTAGCAAATTGGATCCCAAATATTAATTCTTCTTTTTTTGGAATGGGTTGGGCCAGGTTTAGAATGGGCCTCGTAACCACCGGGTATGAAAATTATATAACCATATCCTACCCACCGGGTAACCACGAGTATTCGGGTAACCATGGGTACGAATGCTAAACTATGAACTTATACACATATATGCACACGCATATTGTTGTCCACTAAAAATTCTCAATACTTATAACTGTTCTAGTTTCAACAATCCACACAAATAAAAACATCAAACATAATAATCGTCTACATCTTCATCATCAATAATGGTAGCTAAACTCAATTTCTCAAGGAAAATTGACCCTTTGATTAGCGGGGCGGGTATAACAGGGCGGGTATTATCGATTACCACACCCGTAACCTACCCTTTATTTTGAAATCGGGTATTACCCGTACCCACCCCTTAACCCGTCAAAGCGGGTAATTACCCTCGTTCACCAGTTACAGTCGGGTAGGGTACCCATGATTACGGGTTGGATTGACATCCCTAATTGTGCATGATCAATATTATTGAGCAGTAACGCAGCATGAAACAGCTTATTTGAGAATCAGAAGCAAGGCAGTACATAAGATTTAGAGTACATGAGCAAAGTAGTTAGCTCATAATTATTCAAGTACCAGTACTCTCTCTCTCTCTCTAGATATACCGATCAGTGCAAGAGGAACTTCTTGTACCAGTAAGCCGAGTACTTGAGGTATCTCTTGAGATGATCCTTGAAATCGATGTAGATCAGACCGAATTTCACCGAGTAGCCAGCATCCCACTCGAAATCGTCGAACAAAGACCACGCGTAATATCCTTTCACGTTCGCTCCATCCCTGCAATCGCGCGTTGGTGTTATTACCATTCATAAGTTTGATTAACTTGCATGTAATTAGATTGTTATTTATTTACTTCACTAATTTTATTTTGTTTTTTAGTTCATTACTTGATGGCTAGGAGGAGGTTCTGGAGATGTAAATGGAGGTATTTGATCCTCATCCCGTCCTTAATGAACGCGCTCTGGGGCAACGTGTCGTTACTCGCATCGGCCAGACCTACGAATAACAAATACGTATTAGTATATATATGTATTTCGATATGTAAAATAAAATGAAGTAAATAAAATATATATAGGAATTATAATTGTATATGTACCATTTTCGGTGATGTATATTGGGGGATTCTTGTACGTGTCCTTCACGTACATCATTAGCGAGTAGATTCCCCTCGGATAAATGAAGAGCCAATTCAAACCAGTCTGCAAAGTAGCATTCCCATTAAGAAAATGGATGCATTATTTCAATGAATCTGAATTGTCGATGATTGGTTTTAAGTAAATTGGTCTTACAGGATTTAGAGAATTATTAGCTCCTAACTTTACTCAATACAATTAGGAGGATATGGTACGTAACATATTCCAGCGTATTATCAATTTAAAGTTTAGATATCGTTTTCACATTAAAAATATGCAGTACCCTCATCAAATTTACCCCGAATATAGAATAGAAATCTCATCTATATAATATCGACACATATATGTATATATAAACATACCGGAGTACCAATTGGAACTCCTGCCTTGGAAGCTGCATGTGGAAATTAAATTACTCAATATCTAATCAATACTAATAAAGGAAAGATTGTTGCAAAACTAAAACCGCAAAACTTACAAAATTTCGTGTCTTACCTCCCTTGATATGATGATAACATCGGTAATAAGGTACGAATTTCGTAGACACTAAAATTTTGTACCGTAACCAAGACAATTAGATATAAAGTAGGTATTATACGTACTTGTGAGAATAGTCTGGGAATCAGCGTTGTAGCTAGTGTTAGCACCATGCAGGACCGGATTATGCGCCGCGAAATTCGTCGTATAGTAATTGACCCCCAAGAAATCCAACGACCCCCGCAGCATGCGGGACTGCTCCGGCGTGAACCGGGGCAGCCGGTCGCCGACCAGCCGCCTCATGCTGGCCGGGTACTCGCCGTAGGTGATCGGGCTCACGTACCACCCGAAGAAGAAGTCGATCGCCCGGCCGGCGGCCTCCTTGTCGGCGGCCGATTTGGGAGACTTGGGCACGAACCAGTTGGTGACGATGGTGACCCCGATCTCTCCCTTCTGGGTGGGCTGGTACTTGGACTTGTAGAGGCGGACGGCGGCGGCGTGGGAGAGGAGGAGGTTGTGCGCCACCGTGTAGGGCTCGGTGGCGGAGTTGCCGACGGTGCAGTTGCCCATGTAGCGGGAGCAGTGTCCCGGGGCGAAGGTGCCGCCGTTGTAGCCGTTGATGCTGTAGGAGTAAGGCTCGTTGAGGGTGCACCATTTTTTCACCCGGTCGCCGAACAGCTTGAAGGACAGGTCGGCGTAGTCGCGGAAGTCGTCCCTGCATTGAGAGAGAGCGGTCCGCGCGGTGACTTCCAGTCCGCGACAGATAACCCGAATTCAAGTGGTAGTAACCAATGCAGTCAAAATCGCGCTTTAAAATTTAAAAGCTTACGTTTTTACCATTTTGGGTCACCAAAAAGCTTCTACGTAGAATTGTGATTTTCCCTTACAAATGTAGTCAATATTAGAGTTGTATTCTTTATCTCTAATAGTCAAAATCTTAGTTTTAAAACTTAAAAGCTTACGATTTTACGCTTCTAGGTCACCCAACCGCTTCTAGGTAGATTCACGCTTTTAACTGCATTGATAGTAACGGATTAAGCGGGTGGTGATGGAGAAGTGCTTACACGACTTTGGAGCTGAGGAAACCAGAGTATTCGTCCTCGAGTGCCTGTGGGAGGTCCCAGTGGAACAAAGTCACGAACGGTTTGATTCCGTTGACGAGGAGGTGGTCGATCAGTCTGTTGTAGAATTTCACTCCTAATGGATTGACTCCACCGCTCAGTTTTCCCTCTGCGTTGAAATTTAAATTACATTCATGCGATTTTATGTAATATATTTTTCTAACATAAAGTATGTCGTAACTCCTCAATATCATCAAAGGGCACAAGGAGGAGTGACCAATTTTTTTAAGGTTCACTACGAATTTCTAACTTACTCGGCAATAGTCGGGGCCAGGAGATGGAGAATCTGAAGGAGTCCAATCCCATCTTTTTCATTAACTTGATGTCCTCCTTCAACCAGAAAAATATATGTGTAGGTAAGCATTAATATACAGCTAGAGATAACGCTCCGTGACCACATTCATTAATGTCTATTAATAATATTAGTAGACAATAACTGTTGATTTTAAAATTTCAATTATATAGAATTGTGCAATGGCAATTATTTATTGATATTATTATGTGTGGTTGTTGACCTAGCTACTTGGAGAGGGACGCGGACTTAAATAATAAATGGTAATGGATAAATATAGTTTGAAATCTCTAAAATACATGTATCATGTAAATAATAAGGGATGTAATTTTTAAAGTACCCTTTACAAATAAATCATTGATTATTTCATCACTCATATATAATTTTGAAGTATTTTTTTCACGTTGTTCATTGCAATAAATGTTCTTTCAAACACTTGCATTAATAACATCAGGTAGCAGTAAACACCACTAAAATTTGAGGTTTTCGAGTATATCAAACTCACCTGCAAAATATATATACTAATTACAACCTAAACATAGATCACAAAGACACTTGTGTCCAAAACCAGTGGCGTAACAAAGAATTTTATTCAAGTGGGTGCATTAAAATTATCTTTGAACAATTGTCCAAACTATCAAATTTGGCTCTTAATGTTATCCCACCAAATAACCATTCACATTTTCTTTTCACTTGAATGGACGGCCGGTCAACTCGTTTCATTGCAAAAAAGCTTTATATCAACATGCATGTATATTAACAATTTCTTTATATCAAAGGCTGGTCAGCTCGTTTCATTGTGGTTGTTGGATTGTAAATTTGACAATTAACATTGAGATTTGGGGTTCAAATTTCATTATCGACAAATTAATACCTCATTACTACTAAGTTTTGTATATTTCTCTACACGACCATCGAATTTTTCCAACTTATATCATAAGTTAAACGAATTTCCGACCATAATAGTACTATACCCTCCCTAACAATGTAAATTCCTTGGAACATATACATATTTGTGTAGTACGACTTACCGCATACCGGTGGTAGAAATCATCGGCTACATCTCCATTACTATGATCCCATATTTTATCTGAAAACAGATTAAAGTCCACAATTATAACTTGGTAGATATGTAACATACATATCTGAAGATGATAGATCTAGAAATCGATCAGTCGACCGACCTCGATGCTCTCTGGTGAAATTGTCCCAAACACTTGCTCCCCTCCCATCCATATGCGCAGCTCCTTCAGACTGCACCAACGATCCATTGCATGTAATCTTTAGGTCTCACGGTTCAAAAAAAAAAAAAAACAAAAGACGTTAGATGTAAAGCGAGCGTTGCGCGCGATCTTGTCTAGCTTACCTGGTAAGCTGCTGAACCGGCTCCGAATATAAACCCTTTGGGAAAGCTGCTCCTGTTGAAGGAAGAGGTAATATGCTGCCGATGGATTCCGGCGGCGGCCTCCGCATTGCCGAGAATGAAGAAACCTGCAGCAGCTGCCAAGTAGCAAAACAAAAACACAGACACAAATGGACTACCAGCAGCCATTCTCGTTTCTTAGCTCTATTTGTGAAACTAAGTATTAGCTATATAGATAACTAAGCTACCGTACGTCTTCCATTATATAGAAAGATGAGAGATAACTTAAGGCAGCTGGCAGACGACAGGGATGGCTACCTGCATCGTGGGCCTCATATTCAATAACGGGATGGCTCTCCCTTATTATTATCAAGATCAACTAATCATTGCGTCTCTTCTATACAAATTCACCCTTTTTTTTTTTACTTTCCTTTGGGTTTACCACTAAAGATTAACTAGGTATAAGATTGGTTAGATAAATAAATACGATGGTGGTGGACAGTGTTTTTATAAGGCCAACTTAACAGAGACGATTGAATGGGTTTGATTGAGAGATTGAGTTTTGAGCTGTAGAAAAACACTTGTGAGGATAGTTTCGAAGTACGCTAGCGCTCTTTGACTCACACGGATAGACCATACATACCGCGTGCAGTTCCGACCTCTCAAGCATGAAGTGAGTACTACTCCCGAGCAGTGGCGGATTCAGAAAATTTTCACAGGGGTGTCCTCTTCAAAAATTAAATTTAATTATATAATAAATTAAATAATTCGTATATTTAATATCATACTTTTATAATTTGTATAAATTTTTTATTAAATAATAAATTAAAATTCATATTTTGAAAAAATAATATAAATAAACTCCGTGTCTGCACTGTTCAAAAAAAAAAAAATCTACATATCCTACTAGACAATACTTCACGAACTTATCACATATTTGATTTCTAACCTTGTTCTTAATGTAGCTCAAAGTAGAAAAGACTCTTTCAACACTTGCCGTGTAACCATAAAATCAATTCAAAATTAAGGGTAGCGTGTACGTAGTTTAATTATTAGGTATTGAAAATAGTTGGGGATAAAGAAATAGCGTTTTACTGTTGCATGATGTTTAAAATAGAATAACAAATGAGTAGCAACTAGCACTTATATTTTGTTAATCATAAGCAAACTATTATCGAGGGTAGGATAATCATTTTTTCAAATGTTAGGGTGTCCCGGATTACCAATTATATTTTGTATACCCATACGAAACTACTACCGGAGGTTGGATAATCGTTTCCCCAAATTTTAGGAGTGTCCCGGGACACCCCTAGAGGGCCATGTATCCGCCCCTGCTCGCGGGAGGCCGGTCAGCGTGGATTCCCGAGCTCGACACCTGATGGTGTGTTTGGATAAGAAAGATTTGGATTTGGATTTTCCAAATGTTGAATGGTTTAATTTTTTTTTTTTTAGAATTTCATATGATGTTTGGATTTATACCAAATTCATTGGTTGTGATTTCCAAATATATGGTTAGTATATTACTTTATGAATTTTAAATACCTGTGAACAAATGGTGATTTGAAATTCCTCAAAGCAACATATTGGACCACTTTGTAAACTCTTAAAAGTTATAGTGCAAGGCAACAAATATGAAGGTACTAAAACCAAAACTATGTCCCTATTTGTTAAAAATGGAAGTTTAAGTACTAGATTGCAAGAAAAAAATTAAGTACCAAATTGTTATTTTCCGAAAATTGTAGTATGTAAGAAAAAAAATTCAAAATAAAATAAAAAAAAGTCATAAAAATCCAAAATACTAACAAGGTACAAATGAGCATTCAAATTTGTTGTTTGGAGGCGCATTTGTCATGCATTTCAAATACATTGCATTTGAAATATACCTATCTATTTTTTATAGAGAAATACATATATATATTCAAACACACACTTATGACATTATTTATCAAGGTACTTGGCATCAATAATGTAAACTATCACGACCTTAAAGTCAAATAAAAACGAAATTAAAACTAAACGGTAAAATTCCTCTCACTGTGCTCTAAACATACCCAAATTTTTCTTAACTTTTTGTGATCGCGAATTGGATGATTTTCACTTGTTACCATCAATTATATCAAATAAGGTGACAAATTATAATAACTCCATCAATCCACATCTTATCTACGCCACCGACAAACGTGTTTCTCACCGGTCACCAGGACTTCCCTCAATCATTTCCTTGTTGGTTGGTTTTGTATTTCTGTCCATATTTACTGATTGGATCAAATCTTATTAATTTTGCCAATGTCAGCCACGAGATTCATTCTCATTTGGAGGGGAAAAAATTGCATTGATAACAATTATACTTTTTTTTTTTTTTTTTGCATTGCTTGGAGGCCGAAGCCAAGAAAGAGAATACAAAGCCAGAGGAGAGGGGAAGAGAACGAACTATCTATCGTGATGCACTACAATCTGTCGCTCGAAAGAGACCCCCTGCATATCCTCCTGAAGAACTCGACTCAGCTCACTGGGTGGTTCAACAAGTTCTTGCATACCGTAGGGATAGACGAGACTGTGCTTCGAGAGCCAGTCCGCGGCTCTATTCCCTTCCCGGTATGTATGAACTATATTGACCAGCCAATCCTGAGATAAGCGACGACGAATCGATGTCAGCAAAGAAGCATAAGGATGGATAGGGTCCTGTCGATCCTTAATCAGCTGGATAGCCACCTGAGAGTCCGTCTCGACAATCAAACTGGCACATCTGTGCCGCCAAGCAATACCCAGCCCATGGAAGATGGCCCATAGCTCTGCCAGGATCGCCGGAGCTTCCCCAATCTTGGCCACAAAACCAGTGACCCATCCTTCCTGATCATCACGTATCAGTCCACCGGCACCTGCAATACCCGGATTCCCTGCCGAGGACCCATCCACATTGAGTTTAAAGCAACCGCTAGGAGGGGCTCTCCATTGAATACTCTCTACCCTTCTATCAAGGACGTGCTTAGGCCTGCCTAGGGAGAGGGAGGGAGCGTTCCACGCCTTGTTCCACAAGCCAACTTTGTGATCAATAGCATGGCTCAGGGATGGAGCCGAGAAAGTGGCAGAAATACCTTTAAAACAGCCCATGCATCGATTTTTCCACAGTAGCCAGATAGCCGTGCTGAAAAAGGCATTCCAGTTAACCCCTGAATCTGTGGCCTCTTCTTTGAGTAGATTCCTATGCAGCTATGTCCCTGTAGGCAATGAAAAGAACACCTGCTGCTCAGCATATGGGACGTGCCTGCTCCAGAAATAAGATGCCGGTGGGCAATCTCGAAGAACATGCCCAATAGACTCGATCACACCATCACTTCGGTAGCAATTAGGAGAGGCAGCACACTTTCTTGAGCACCGCAGTTGATTAGTCGCAATCTTGCCCAAGGAGACCAGCCAAGCAAAGCACCGAATCCGCTCTGAAACTGGGAGTCTCCAAATCTGCTTCCAAAGCCTTTGTCGCGGATCATCTCGAGGTGGATTCGCCAGAAGGTAGGCTGTCTTCGTGGAAAAACGACCATTGGATGTGCCGCTCCAGAACAACCTGTCCTTCTCGGTGGAAAGGGGATCAACCGCCACCGCTGTCATCTTCTGCAGGATCTCTGTCGGGAGCCAGGGGGTCAGGCGCTCCACCTCCCAGCTTCCATCTTCCGCGATGTAGTCAGCTACAGACTCCAACAACATTTCTTCTGGCACCGGTTGCAGAGCCACCTCCACCAGCGGGACCTGCATCAACCAAACATCATTCCAAAATTTAGTGTCCTTCCCGTTGTGGATATTCCAAGCACAGCCTTGCTGCAGAATGCTAGAAGCTTTAGTAAAGCTTCTCCAGGCAAATGAACTTCCCTGACTTGGGCGAAGAAGGTCAAGCCCTTCTCGCTGTCTACCGTACTTAGCCCGAATAAGCTGCGTCCAGAGAGAGTCCTTTTCTTGCAGTAATCTCCAACCCCCTTTGGCCAAAAGGGCCAAGTTAGGCCTCAGGGGTCGCAGACCGGCTCCGCCTTGGCTCCTTGGCTCAGTAAGTTTCTCCCAAGCCACCAAATGCATCCTTCCTTGCTGCTGCTCACCCTCCCCCCAGATGAAATCCCTGTTAATCTTATCAATTGACTTACAAACATTCAAAGGAATCAGCTCAGTCTGCATAGGGTAGGTGGGAATGGAAAGAGAGACAGAGCGGGCCACGGTAAGCCTCGCTGCAAGGGATAGACGCCTAGCCTTCCACGGGGCTAGCTTTTTCTGGATTTGCAGAACCAGGGGTTCGTATCTACTCTTGGTGACTCTCCCGTGGATGGCTTGCATTCCCAAGTAGCGGCCGAGGTGAAGAGTCAGAGGTATTGCAGCTCTGTCGCTAAGCCGTTGAGCACGAGCTTGACCGATATTGGGTGAGACATAGAGAAGAGACTTGCTGAAGTTCACTCGCTGACCAGAGCTAGCACAAAACTCGTCCAAGCATTGTCTAATGATTCGAACTTGGGAGCTCTCAGCCTCCGCAAAAAGAATGAGGTCATCTGCAAAAAAGAGGTGGGTTAGAGCCGGGCCCCCTGGAGAGAGTCTGACAGGTTTCCACAACTTCTCCTGGACAGCCCGATCAATCCTATGGATAAGCGTTCCATACACAAGACAAAAAGATTGGGTGAGAGAGGATCTCCCTGACGAACTCCCCTGGACGGAGTAATAGGCTGCGAGAGCTCCCCGTTCCAAAGGACACGCATAGAGTTCTTCTCAACGCAGTACATGATACACCTGATCCACGAATCCGGCAGGCCCACCTCGCTGAGAGTATCCCGAAGAAAATCCCATCTAAGCCTGTCATACGCCTTTTCTAAATCAATCTTCATCACTAGACCCCCTTTCTTACCACGTCTCTTCCGCATAGAATGGAGAAACTCCTGGACAATAATGATGTTGTCCGTTGTCTGGCGCCCAGGAATAAAACTACTCTGACGTGGGGAGACCAACAAACTCATAACTGACTTCAGACGGCTCGTCATAACCTTAGTAATGGCCTTCAGGCTGACATTATTGAGAGAAATCGGACGGAGTTGACCTACAGTCTCTGGATTCTCAACTTTCGGGATAAGTACCACCGTGGAGGCAAAAACCTCTTCGGGTAACTCACCTTCCTGAAAGAAAGAGATGGCCATGTCCGTAAGAGACTTCCCCACAACTTTCCAGGCTTGTTGATGGAAAACAACTTGGAATCCATCTGGCCCCGGAGCCTGAAAAGGCTTCATGTCGAAAACTGCCCTGTGGACGTCTTGGATGGTGAATGGACGCAGGAGCTGGCTACGGTCCACATGACTGAGATGAGGGAAAGCTCTTCTCGGCATCAGGTCACTATACGGTGTTCCATCCTGCAGATAAAGCTTTGAATAAAACTCGAAAACCATAGCTGCCAACAGCTAGCAATGTCAGTCATTTGCAGTCAATTCGACATTAAATCTGGTTCTAATAATTCTTGCTACTGCAGACGGATTTGATATGAAAGCAGGATGCAGTGGTGGACCCAGAAATTTTATCAAGGGTATTAACAAAAATAAATAATAAAAATAAATTTTAATTGATAAAGTACACCGATTATCATTTCTCAAAGCGAACCACAACGTGCTTTCATATTCTGAAAAGTTTCCATAATACATACATCACTAATGTTGCGACTCACACCTTTTTCACTAAATGTAACTAGACAATCATTCATAA